CCCCCCCACATTTGCCACCCCCTTTGCCAGCAATACTTTTGATAAAAACTCTCGTAACTTGAAGTCCATCAATTTCCACTGCTCTTCCGGGACGCCGATTTCTTTTGGAACCTTCCAGAGATGAAATTTTGTTTATGCTAGCTCGGGCTTGCTTGATAAAACGCTGTATACACCATTGTAAATACTTAAGAGCTGCTTTAAAGAGTAAGAAAGAACGATGAATCGCCTGTGCTCTCACTGGAATGTTCGTAGGTGACCTCAACCTCAATAGGCTTGAACTCCATGTTTGGAAGAGGTGTAGTTTGAAACGGAATGCCTATGCTTGTCCCAGCAGAGATGAAAGGCGAATGCGTACACTAGAGAAAATATAAAAGCCTTCATGTTTGTAACCATCATTGCGCTAGCCTATTGCATGAGGTAGGTAGGCTATATTACATGTAGACTGCAGAGGAAGATGCGAGTACCAGGTTGGTGTCACTAACCTCCACTCCTCTTTGTATTGCTTTCTTGGTCGAACAGTTGGCATTTTCCCAATCTGTTGGGAATCATAAAATCAAGGCATGCATACATATATGCACGGGCCGTCATTTTTGGCAAAACTTGGTGCCCGTGCAGCCACACTTTAGAGTTCGTATTGATCTACGTGAATCCATCCATGTTACCAACACTATATGTACCTACATGTGCCCGAGATACACTTCCCCAGAAGCACGCTGTCACATACTCTCGCCACAAGGCCTCAATTTTCTGGGAGTTCTGATGCACCCCGCCTTCTCATCGTCGTTGATTACATTAGCTTTTTCTATCGTTCCCGACTTACATTCCATTCGTGCAGCTGCAGCAGCTGCCAAAATCACTTCCCCCCTCCTTTGTCGCAAAGCCGAAAGTGGGATTTGAGCCCATGAGATGGCTCTATTGCCAGTACTGCTTGCAGCAATATTCGCCATCTTCTACAGACAAGCCATGGCTGGAAAGGTTGTGTCGACAGTCATCCGAGTCGGCGATATATCGTACTACATGCACCCTTTAACCCCTTCTGTGAGGTCTAGTGCGTTTTGCAAGCTTGATCATTTGCTAATGATCCATAGGATTCTCAATCTGACATACCAACTTTTGGCCGTGATACGGTTGCTGAAGCGTGTACCATACTTACGATTGATGGTCAGTTTCCTAACGCGAGTGAGCTCCGGGCCATCTTTGATGACTTCAGGACTAAGGATGACGTCTGGTCGCCGGATTTCATTGGGACCATAATTGTCCAGACGACCGAAATTGACCGTAAACTCACGGGAAACGACAAGGATATTCTTCGTAGCCTTGGGGCTAGCGATATACGTCTATTCTACAATGGCGTAGCGGAAGCCCAGCTTCCTCAGGGTCCTTATTTTCTGCATTACGGCCAGCTTCACCAAGCCTATCGGCTGTACCCAGATACTGCAGATGCCTTTATAGTGGCCACAGTTCCAGATGATGGCGATGGGTGAGTATTGAGCCTGAAATCCCCGCCTTTTATGGCCAGAGCTAATCATTGTTAAAGCTTTCGATCTCTAGATGCTTCTGCGTACGGAGAACAGTTTCCATCAGCTCTTACTGTCGCCGTACCCTCTCGCCTATATTATATCAAATCAAGTGAGAAGCCATATGCGGGCTTGAGGATAGCCATTAAAGACATTATAGACTTAAAAGGGCTCAAGACAGGAGCTTCTTCTCGCGCGTACACCGAGCTTTATCCAGCCAGAGAAGAAAGCGCAGAAACCGTCAAGCGGCTTATCAACTTGGGTTTTGTGATTGTTGGGAAGCTAAAGACTACACAATTCGCGGACTCGGAATGGCCAACCAGTGACTGGGTCGACTATCATGGACCTTGGAATCCGCGCGGAGACGGGTATCTCACCCCCAGCGGAAGCAGTGCTGGCAGTGCTTCCGCTGTTTCCACCTATACGTGGCTTGACTTATCCTTGGGCACAGATAGTAAGATATATGATTACTGTATGTAAATAGCAATTTGCTAACTTTCTTCGGAGCTTTGGGGAGTATAAGATCCCCTTCGGCAGCTCAAGGAATTTTCGGAATGAGGCCTACGCTTGGAGCCGCAAACACCACCGGTGTAGTGCCGTACAGCTCGTATGTTTTGAATGCATATTATTTATGCAATTACATTTACTGACATATTTATCACCTAGCAATTGGGACACAGTCGGTGGATTTGCCCGTACGGCAACGGAGTTCAAGAGCCTCGCACAAGCGCTCTACGGCTCGGCGGAGACAGAAGGCAAGGTTTACGAGGTATGCAATTGACCTACAGCTTCTCACCGACTGCTAACAAACTTGCTATGAATAGAAGCCGACAAAGCTAATCTGCTTGACCGACTACTGGCCAGTTCATCATGAAGAAAGCCAGCGAGTCATGGAGAGTTTTGTCATGCGCGTTGAAAGCTTTCTGGGCACAAATCGTACAAATATCAATCTCGCAGACACATGGAAAAGAACCCGTCCAGTAGGGACAGACGAATCCATCAGCAAGTATTTTCACCACGCCTTCGACTGGTCAGCCAACCGTGATCAGTGGACAGGACTTCTCAAACCGTTCATCACAGAATACACGGAAAAGATGGGCAAACCACCAATTCTCAATCCACAGGTTCGATTTAAAGTGTAAGTAAGGTGGCATGCATAGAATTGGTAAAGACGTCTAACGTTTATGCAGGGGCTATACACCGACCATAACAGCAGAGCAGAAGGCAGAGGGTGAGAGACTTCTCAAAACATACCACGACTGGTTCTATGAGCATATTATGCCGCCTACCAGGGATGGCTACTCTAGCAGTATAATCGTTCTCCCCTGGACGAATGGTGAGCCAGACTATCGTGATAAGTATAAGAGCGGGCCACAAGAATTTACAGGCCAGGGGTTCTTTTTTTATAATGTAGGCCCTTATGCTCAATGTCCAGAGCTCATTGTTCCTGGTGAGTAACAACCGCAATCTGTGTCCTGCAAATAGGAGATCAAATTTTCTTTCCGGCCTTCTAACGCTTTACTAATTTATGATGTGTAGTCGGTACCACGCCATATATCTCAAAGTTCACGCAAGAGACAGAACAGCTTCCTGCCGCCGTTGGATTCATAGCTGCTAAAGGCAGCGACGTTATGCTGGCTGATTTCGTCAGTAAACTTTTTGAAGATTCATATACTGTCATCAAACCAGAGCAAGAACAAGCCCCTCTTAGTTAGTATACTTGCGAAGTTCAATGTCGCATATATGCTTGATAGCCCACAGGGCATTTAGTTGATTAAATTGAGTGTAGTTTATAAATTAAACTAACCACCACTAAATGCCGAGCATGTTCTTCACAAATACTCCTGAATGTAATGTTTTCACGAAAATATGCGAAATAGAATAATGTTTAGCTACCTATAAAATAAGAGTAAGGTGTTTAAACAAAAGGTTACATGTACCTAAAAGATTGGGATACGTAGATGTAGGAGGGAATATTTAAACTTGGCCGTTAGCATTCTCATCTATAGCCCAGGCGTTTGCGGTAAATCTGCTCAGCCTCGTTAAGCGATTGACTTTAGTTGGAACCGCTCGATACCTTGCATATCGGTTAAGGCAATTTTGCTTACCGACTTCTAATGTTGAGTAACACTTTGCAAGCATAGTCTTCATGTATATCAGGCTCTTCCTAATGTCATCGGCAAGCATTGTGCGCTAACGGATAAAAAACATGTGGGATTCAGTTAAATCTCTACTCACATAAGATATCCATTGATAAGCTTACTACTTATTAGCCTCAAAGGCGACACACTCGCCAAAAAAGTGAGAGAGAAGTAGGGCAGCCCCGCTGACCCTCGGGCGGTGTGGGTGAAACAGAAAATCTAAGACATGAATTGCTTCGTGATTCAGATTCCAACATTAACAGCGGGTCATCAATATAGCATTAGGCATTTACTAATTTATCATTAGTATTATTGTAATATATTATCCTAGTCCACCTGGCTGCTTCGTATTACCTTGATATGTATTACCGTAGATGTTTATACAGATCGCTGTGTCTTTATCAAGCCGTTTCTGTTCGACAATTATTTCAGAGATAATGACACTAGGTGTGTTAACCATCTTGAATTCTGCGGTAGCATTGTAAATTCTTCCACAAAGAAAAATCTTAGCGGTGTATGCAATGTGATTCAGCATAGTATTATCACAGAGTTTATAAGCAGTACAGTATTAGATCATATGCACCAGTTATCATCACATGTCTCATATGATGGAGAGTATTACCTCATATTCCATATGTAACGCTGTTTCAGGGATATTTGATCCAGAATATTATCATAAGTTTATGTAGTATTATCCAATTTGCATGATTGAGGTTATCACAAAATATACGCATATTAAAGTCTTAGACAAAGACTACATATGTGGATTATATGAGTAATAAAGCACCAACCTCCGCCTATCTGCACATTCGTATAAGTTATATCGAAGATAAGTAATAGAGGGTGCTAGAGAAAAATATCACTTGATCAGAATGCCACTCAGTAGAACACTCCCATATTTTCAGCTTATATTGATATCAGGTTTTACATGAAAAGCCACTGGATGTGCACCTTAGTAAGTGCCGAATCTGTTGGTGTGACTTCCCACAGCAATATTACTGAGTCAGCCTCACTTGCCCTCAAAAAGCAGCCGAGCTAGCAAGATGTGACACAACATACTGTAAGTCATTGCCAATTACTTGTCTTGGTGCATAATCTGAGTCTGATCGTGTTATCATATTCAGAAAACGATTTATTGGGGCGCCCATTTTTTGAGAACATATGTATGACCGTGGAAGGAGATACGTTACTAAGACCAATTACTTATATAAGGGCAAGGTTGTGCCTCTGGTTGAGCTACTAAATCTGCACCCACAGCAATTTACCCATAGCTCAAGGCTATTGTGGTGTAGTCTAATAGAATTATATCTCTGCCGCTTTATTGCGCTTTCCTCGACTTATTATTATGAAAGGAGTTACTCTCGCAGCTCTTACGGTGGGACTGCTGCCAATAGCTGGAGCCGGTACGGCTCCAGCTGCAGAGGCAGAAGTCCAGGCCGGCCGTCTAAATGTCACCATTCCATCTGGTACCATTATTGGTTCGACCGATGGAGAGGTCGAGTCGTTCAAAGGCATCCCTTATGCTGATCCACCAATCGGGGATTTACGCTTCAGACCACCAGTCAGACTTTCGACACATCTTGGAGAGTTTTATGCTACAGAGGAAGCTGCAGCATGCCATGAGGGACCCGTCTTTGGTCCATTTGCCGATACGAATGATACAATAGCTACTCTTGCAGAAATCGATGTTGCAAACGCTGTTTTTAAAGATATCGCCGGTGATAAGCCCACAAAGTATGACGAGGACTGCTTGACAATTACTGTTCAACGCCCCGAGGGTATTGAAGCTGGCGCCAATCTTCCTGTATTATTCTGGATCTATGGCGGCGGTTTTGTGGGTGGGAGCACCACTGGGTTTGATGGTACCGAGTTGGTCAAGACTGGAGTGCAACTCAATCAACCGTTTATCTTTGTAGCAGTCAACTATCGCGTTGGCGGCTGGGGCTTTATGCCGGGAGAAGAGATTCTTCGTGAAGGAAGTGGTAATGCAGGACTGCGTGACCAGCGAATGGGGCTTGAATGGGTGGCCGATAATATCGCAGAGTTTGGAGGTGATCCAGGGAGAGTCACAATCTGGGGAGAGTCTGCTGGTGCCATATCGGTGTTCGACCAGCTAGTTCTGTTTGACGGCAATGCAACCTACAATGATAGGGAGCTTTTTCATGGTGCCATTATGAACTCTGGTACCGCTCTTCCTACCGATCCTTTAGATGGTCCTAAGGGGCAGGCTATCTATGATGCAGTTGTCAAGAAGGCTGGCTGCGAGAGCGAGCACGAGGACTCGTTAAGCTGTCTCCGCAAATTAGACAATGACAACTTTACCGCTGCAGCCAACTCGGTCCCAGGGATTTTCTCATATCCATCTCTTGCACTGTCGTATCTGCCGAGGCCAGATGGCACAGTCTTGACGGACAGTCCCGATGCACTAGCAAGGCAAGGGAAATTTCATAAAGTGCCGGTAATAATGGGTACGCAAGAAGACGAAGGAACACCCTTTAGCTTCTTTCAAAACGATATGGGCACAGATGATAAAATCGTTACATATCTCTCGAAATATTACTTTGGCAATGCTACCAGCGACCAAGTCAGTGAATTTGTCGGTACTTATAGCGATAAAATTTCTGACGGAAGCCCGTTTCGGAGCAACCTTCCGTACGAGCTCTATCCGGGAAAGAGGAGGATTGCTGCCATTCTTGGTGACATGGTATTTAATCTAATGCGACGTATCACACTTCAAATTCTTTCTGAGGAACTACCTGAAATCTCTTCCTGGTCCTATTTCTCCTCATACAACTACAACTTCGGCCTCAACCCTATGGGCACTATGCACGGGTCAGATATCGCTGTTCTCTTCGAAAACTCTAATGACGAACATCCTACAATCAGTGGCCGAACATACTACATAAATTTTCTCTATACTGGGGATCCCAATATCGGCAGTAATGTAGAAGTACTTTGGCCCCAGTGGACGGAGGATCACCAGCTCTTGTGGTTTAATAAGACAGAGAACGGCCTCAAAAACGATACGTATAGGGAGAGCAGTTACGATTTCATGTTTGAGAATATCGATTCTTTACGCTTTTGATTACTAAATCCCAGGTTTGAGAGCCATGGCAGAACCAACGCAATTTAAATACTACAACTATAGCTTCTAGTTTAGCCAACGTTTGTCACGATCCAACTCATTCAAGGCCGTAGCAGCGGGTCTATGGAGTAAGAATCAAAGAAGAATGGACTTAGCAATAAGGCATGAATCAGATGAGCGCAGATAAAATGAGACTAGACATATAGGTTCACTTCACCACATTCATTTAGACAATTTAGATGATCAGTTGTTAATATTGCGATTATATTTTACTCTAAATGCCGTCATTCGTTGCCAACTGCTCTGACCGTTCCGTGGCAAATATAAAACTCTTAACAGGTATCTCCCTCGAGGACTCTACTCTAATGCATTCAGGCAATTTAATTAATGAAAATCCCTTCTTTTTTAATGCGCTATTGAGATTAACTATAAGAAGGTTTGCTGATTACCTATGCACGTATATTGGCGTTTTTTTTTTGGGGGGGGGGGGGGGGGTTCCGTGGGGTGCACATGCAAGCTGAAATTCGAGGCTACTAAGGAGGACACCTGATATAAAGGATGAGTATTCTCGAACTCTTTTAGTTAACACCCGGCATATAGCGAGTATATCTCTCAATATCAATCGCGAGCCTTCAACTAGCCAAGGTGATAAGTGACGTTTAGACCAGCTGCCGATGTCGTATAATTGCCTGGCGTCTGGTGTCTAGCCTTTCAGCTGTAACCAGCAAGCAAGCATGTCCTATATCTCCCTGCAGCATTCTACCAGTAACGTCACATTGACCAGCAAATAATGGCTAACTTCATATCTATCAAAGCCAATCAAAGGCTGCTGTTAGCGATCCCTGCTCTCTGCTACTACTACTAGTATAATATCTCCTAGAAAAAGCTTTTTTCTGCTCACGATCGTAGCCTAAAACGTCGAAACGGCAGCTTATACAGTATCGCAAGGCAAAGCATTCAAAAAAACTCAACTGGTGCAGTATGAATATCAAGGCCTTGTGAAACTTTCATCGACACGGCATGTCCTGGCCCACGGGGAAACTGTGCCCATGATTAGCCGCCGCGCCAATTGCTGACGCCGAATTTCGAATTCTCCGAGCTCATTCTCAGGCTTACGGCACGCCTACCTGGGGGCACCGGCAAGGGGAGCCACGAGACCTTCCCCTTGAGGGTTTCTCTTGCAGGACTTGCCCAATCTTGGTGTTCCACCACCTACGGGCCTGAGCAATGAGAAATGACGTTCAGGGGGCTCTGTAAGTCGTGACATGGTCATCTCCACGGCGGTTTGAAGCGAAGCAGTGCAAGCCAAAGCAAATCCTATCAAGTACGTGTACCTTCTGTAAGTAGGTACATGTGCCTATTTCCCACCCCCTTAGATGAAGATTTCGTTGCCGAGTTATGGATCCAACGAGCACATTTCGTCTATATTCTATCATAGATAGGCTCTAATAGGCTAATACAATACTATTGATTGCGCTTGTCTAACGAAAAGGCTGGTATATAATTAGATTTCCGAAAATTGTATCCGACCGCAAAAATGAAGCCCAGTCTCGTTCTAAGTCCTCGCTCATATCCGCTCATAAACCTAAAAATCTTATAATTAAATTGTAAAAATGTTGCAAAGCTTTTGACTATATAATAAACAAAAGAAAGAAAGAAATCATAGCGTCTCGTCGGACCGAGTAGAGTGATGGCTCTCTGCGGCATTCGCATGGACTCGAGTCTCGATATTGGCCACTAGTCCAGTCTCATCGTGGCCCAACTCGATGGCGTTCTCGTCAATGGTCTTGTCTAATGCCGATCTATCGACGTGATATGATCTCGTCAAGATGATTTCGCCGCGGCCGCTGACGCTTGATTGACCGGGGTTCTTAAAATATGAGGAGCCTCGAGCGCGTTGAACGTAGAGGGTACTGACGGCTGGAAGACAGGCGCATATTAAGCCGATACCAACCTCAGCGTTACTGATTTAGCACTCTGTTAATCTCGTCATTCATAATTTTGATTGTAAGTATTAGATAGATAGACTTTACCCCGATAAGATGACTTTGATAAAGACCATCGTCATGTTTGTAGACTTGCCCTCATCAACAATCATTGCTAAGCGATAAATGCTAAAGCCTGTGGCAACTCCGCCAGCACATAACAGCCCTGCAACGCGGAATCGTTTTCGTCGAGGCAGCTGGAGTGACCAGGTAAGGGGTGTCGGTAATAACAGGATGGCTAAGTCGCTAATCACGCTGATTATAGAGTCGGCTGTAACGATAGCGCTCTGGTCCAAGCATTTGCTGGTATCTCCCTCCCAGTATGCGTGAATCGGCCAGCAGATGAAGATTTTGATGAAGAAGCCGGAGACGTAATATGCCACGAGCATACCGATAAAGATGTAGATTCCGATGAGGGTTCGCCGGTGGACAGATCCAAAGACTCGGATGATGATAATAAGCAGGGCCAGTTTGACGGTCATGGCCATCGGGGCGTAGAAGATCGTAGCGGCATAGCAAGACTTTCAAGTAATCGTTAGACTCCTATAGCAGGTGTCGTGGAGAAGAGTTTCGAAATGGCTCTTACCTTAAAGTATAATTGAGCTTGTTCCTTGGAGACTTCCCACATGTTTAGACCTCCACCATGTGAACCAGCTAAATCACCATGAGCGGGTCGTGTTACGAAGTTGTGAAGGATAAAGGGTCAAAGACACACTTACCAAAGCACGCAGTGATGCAGTACCCTATCATGAGTACCTAATCCGCGTATTAGCCTTCAAGACCCCACCATATTACATCTTCGAAGCATCGTTAGGTTGCATACATAAGCCGAATACGTCGCGTCTGTTTCCTCAAGTCAGCTTCTGCTGGCGCGTGTGCCCCTTTGATACACATTAACCCACAGTCATCTGCTGTAAAGCCCCCTCCTAGCAACCTGGTTTTGGCATAAAATCGTATTCCCACGAAGATAGTGACGAAGCAGATTGTCAGCGCTTGTGTGACATAATTCACAGTTCTCAGTACATCTTGCGGGTGAGCAAGATCAGGGATAACGCCTTCGGGCGGCGGCGCAGCACCGGGGAAGCTCATGATGGGCAAAACTTCATGACCCTACAGCTTTGCAGAACAGGTTGAGAAGTGCCGAACGAAAATGGAGCGACTACCGGTAGTTAAATGAACACACTATGTCGTGAGGGAGGGAGATCATAACATAAAAGGCCAACAGGGCTAATCCGGTTGCAACTAGATTCGTTTGGACCTGAAGACTCAAAGAAGAAAAAAGAAAGGAAAAATATCCCTGTCCATGTGGCACTCCCGATTACACTAAGTTCCATCCACTTCTCCTACAACCTGTCAGCCTCAGACACTTACGCATTGCATTGGGTCCTTGGTGAGCGCGATATGCCGTCTAGCTGAATAGCTAGCTGCCGAATATGACATCCAAAGTGGGACCGGGCTAGGGACCCGAGCCGTTGTGGACCTGCCTACCAAGGCCAGATGAATTAGGACAAGCATGGCGCTGTCTGAAAAATGTCAACCAGGGGTGGAAACGGTGAGGAAAGTGTCCCCGTGCGAATCGGAAAACGACTCTAGACTCCCGGGAGGCAAAGGCTGCCAATCAACAGCACACTAAGCAGACCAGCTGGCATATACTAGTCATGGACCCTGCGATTACATGATTCTCAAACGAAACCTTTCGGTTACGCAGTATCCTGCACGAGGCATCTCGACAAGAGCACTCTGACAGGGTTCAAGTCCTTGAGATAGTTGGGGGAGGGGGCATGGGGCGCATGGACGAACTGATACCTAAGTTACACCGCAACGCCATCATGGAGAAGGACATGGTTTAAAACCGCCGCCATGAAGATCGTTTGCCCATTAGAAAACCGATCGTGTACTTTGGGAAAGGCATTGACCTACGATGCTACCGCTGTGGAGTCTGGTGGAGCGCCCTGCAACAAATTTCTCTCGAACCCATGTCAAAAGGTTGGCTATGCTCTTTTCGCTATTCAGCCCTCGGCTTCTGTCTAGGTCAACGGGGCCATAGATGCAATTGCTAGTAAGTTCTGTTATTTGCACAGCTTAGGGTTGTGAAGACTGCCAGGGGTGCATTCCCTTCTGTCGGACTTATGAGCGCCGCCCTCCTTTTCACTTTGGCACGGCCTCCCCGAGTCACTCTGTCGAACAAATAGTTGTGCAGGTCGTATTTACATTGGGTAATATCATTTGTCTTACTTGACTCTCATTCAACTTAACTGTTCAAAGTATTCATCACGCAGCACAGTCTAAAATGGGTTCTCAAGGTTACGTTGGAAAGGATTCGAAATTGTTTGAGCCGCTCGCGATTGCAAATGGGAAAATCACTCTCAAGCATCGAGTCGTCCTGGCCCCCTTGACGAGGAACCGTGGTACGCCTCTTCATACTTCGACGCCTGAGAATCCAAATCGCATCTGGGTTCCCAACGATCTCATTGCAGATTACTATGCACAGCGGGCAACGGATGGAGGGCTTCTCATTAGTGAAGGCATTCCACCTTCACTGGAAGTATGTCATCCCCCAGAGGCCATATAGAGCGGCGTTGAGAATAAAGCAAAGACAGGGTAGTATTGACATTAAGCTGTTTAGGGAAATGGCATGCCTGGGGTTCCGGGAATCTTTTTGGAAGAGCAGGCCAAAGGGTGGAAGAAGGTTGTCGATGCAGTTCATGCCAAAGGCGCTTATATTTATGCACAGCTTTGGCATTCTGGCCGTGCCAACATCCCACAGCTCACAGGAACCCCAATTGTAGCGCCGTCGAGCATTCCATGGGATGATGCAAACGAATATTTCATGTATCCTGCGCCTGATTCAACTCCCGTCAAGTACAGCGATCACCTGCCACTTGAGCTAACAGTGGACCACATTAAGAAAACCATCAGGGACTACTGCGCTGCTGCAAAGACAGCTATTGAGATCGGCTTTGATGGCGTGGAGCTCCATGGCGGGAATGGGTACTTGCCGGAGCAGTTCTTGAGCTCTAATATCAATCAGCGAACAGACGAATACGGTGGCACTCCTGAGAAGCGCTGCAAGTTTGTCCTTGATCTGATGGCTGAGCTGGCCAAGACTGTAGGAGATGATAACTTGGCCATCCGACTCAGTCCATTTGGCCTCTTTAACCAAACTCGCAGCGAGCAGCGTCTTGAGACTTGGGGCCACTTATGCCGTGAGCTAAAGAAGAGTCATCCCAAGCTTTCATATGTTAGCTTTATCGAGCCGCGATATGAACAAATCTTTTCTGAAGCTGAGAAGCAAAAGTTCCTTAATTCATGGGGCCTGCCTACTGTCGATTTGTCAATGTTCCGCGACATCTGGGGAGAAACACCCTTCTTCTCCGCTGGCGGTTTTGACCATACGAATTCATGGGGGATTATAGAAAGCGGAAGATATGATGCTTTACTTTACGGAAGATATTTCATCAGCAATCCCGATCTAGTGGAGAGGCTGCGGAATGGCTGGCCACTGGCTCAGTACGATAGGTCTCGCTTCTACGGGCCCTTTGAGGATCCAACGATCGGATTCACCGACTACCCGGCCTATACCATGGAAAAAAGCGATTGATGGTTTGAAGATGAATGAGAAAGGAAGATCTATTTGAAGATGATAGTGTTCAAATGTTGTTTGTTGTGGGTGTAATATCTCTCCCGGGTCAATTGTTAGTATTTAATGGCAATTAGGGTTCGCAATAGACGCAGGAATGATCAATCACATGTATACATGCACCATTACAAAACTGCGGTGATCAAAGCCAGCTGTGAGCTGGTGACTATCACGAGTCAGGGCGCACGGCAGCGCTATCACATGTGCTTACCTCGCCGACTGAGATTACTTCTTAGCAAGAAAGCGGCAACGGATCGCCCATCAATCTACACGCCGTACTTTGCCGAGCCTCTTGCCCGTTAGAGGTTTCGGCTATCGCTGCGAATTTTCGGGTCTTGAGAGAGTGATCTACGCATTGCCAACCTCGTATTGAAATTGAAACGCCGGGCTACAGCCCTCAACGGAGTCGTCGGGATCTTCTAGCGGTTGCTGGGCCCACATGATATCAACTGACAAACAAGGATATTAATAGCCCTTGTTCCAGCTTGAAAGTGCGCGACTCATGCCGGTTTGTACTTACGCAATCGCATGCGGTGTTCGTGAAGCCGTCTTGATTGAGCTAATTAGTAGGGCTTCTCCTAGGTCTCTTGGTTGACGGCGGACGACTTTACTTTGACGAACGGCTTACTCGCTTGCCTGCTTCCTGCAATTGCCCTGTGCGGTGCTACATGCTTGTTGAGCTGGTAAGGGCTTCATACATGCTCCATCATGTAAATCATTCGTGCGCACAGACGTCAATGCCTCGTGGGACTCTCGGTAAAATGGCGACATGATGCGTGTATGGAGTAAAAGCACGTTGGAAGATCAAGGATAGCTGCCCCAGTACCCGCACTGCATCCTTCGCCATATGCCAAGTCGATGTGGCTCATCTGTGCTTGTTGAATCTAAGACAGCCAGATAGACGATGAATAAGCTGAACGGGCGTATATGATGTGCAAAGATGGATAGAGATATCGAGCTATATCGGAGGTGCTGAGAGGCGAAAGGAAGGCAACACGAAGGCGCTCTGGTTATCGTTTTGGATGCGATCATGCCTTTTCGCACGCACACTAAATTACATTCACGCCGTTCTATCGACATGCTAGTGAAGGATGGACTATTCAATTCTCCTCCATCAATAGAAGGTGCCTAGAGATCGCTTTAGTTTCTCACGGCGCTAATAAGCGGTTTAACAGTATCCCAATTCGTAGCTACATGTATTACCTAACGGAGCTACTACGCCGTTTGCCTATATATATATATAGCTGTCTTGGTAACCCTGATGATTTCCATGTTATATGCCACTTTTAATAAACGCCACCAGTAATAATGTGAGGGACACTAATGCCCTCCCAAATATCACTTAGCCAGTCAAATGCGACCTGTGCAACCTGTGATTCTGCCCCAAGCTGGCAGTGCTCACCTGCGCCCAAGTCTGTCTTGAACAGGTTGTATGTGGCTTTACGCCCGAGAAGTCGTACCATTTCCTGAGCCTGCCCCGGTGCCAAGCTGTCATCCTCTCCTTCGTTAACAAGTACTGGACAATGAATGTCGTTAGCTACGGCTTGGTCGACTTTAAATTCGCGCAGCCTTGTCAACCACTCATAGGGGCTTGTAGTATCAAAAGCCCATAGTGACTGGGCAATCGCCCATCGGAGCTGAGTTGGGACGGCCGTATTGTCAACAAGAGAAAGTAACAATGTGTCGAACTCTGTCTTATTGCCACTTTCGAAAACGGAGTTAATATTAGACGGAAACTGGCTTTGAATTGAGCCAAACAAGTCAGTAACTCCGTCAATTGCCATAACAGCCGAGAGACGGTGTTCACGAGAGGCGGCAAGTGGTGCCAACGTTCCACCAAACGAGTATCCAATGAGACCAATTCTGTCCGTATCCACGTCATGACGCTTTGTTAAATAATCCACCACCGGAGTGACCGCCTCCCACCAGTTGGGAATAAATCCCAGCCCTTGCTGCCGGCGAACAGTTGGCTGACCCGGGCCTTCGTATGAAATGAAGTTCCAACCACGGTCGAGAATTGCTCGACCAAAGGTGTGGTAGAGCTCTTCCTGTGAACCATCGTATCCATTGCCTACAATTACTGTAGGACGCTTCGTGGAATTGAAAGGATTTTGTCTATGGTTGCCGGGTGTATTCATTGAACTTTGGGCAGAGTAGAATATGGCAGGCACAGTGAAATTTTCGGCTGAGATATTCACTCGCTCGCCTGGGACTGGAAGCAGAGATATTGCTTTGTCGAAGTCTTTCAGCGCAGAATTCCAGACTGAATAAATGCGTGGATCGCTTATGTTGGCGTATAAGAAAGTGGTGGCAGCCCGGTAGTAGGTAGCAGATCGAAAGTATGCCTCGCGAGCCGATATAGGGAAACGCTTGGCATTGATGGCTTCTGCTTTGTCGTGTATCTGATTCGCTAGAAATATGAACTCTCTGTACCAGCTCTCGAAATCGCCGGGGATAATCTGACTAGCCGCTCGCAGAACTTCACCAGTGTTTGCTCCGAAATTGTTGGAAAGAGATAGTGTAGCTCCCAACATAAACGCAAACTCGGTGTCATTGCTCAATTGGAATATGGCAGATCCTTCGGAACTGACTTGGGCGGTCTGCCTCTCTATCAGTATATTATACAAGCAATGGGATGATGGAACTTACAGTGCCCATAGCCAAGGTCCCGAGAGTCAAAATAATGCTATGGTATCTCATATTGCTTGGTTGTGTCTGTTTATAGATGTCAAGGCAAATTCAACGGATGAATGTCGCATTTTATATATAATTTTCCACTCCATGGCAGCTCGCATTGGAATGTTTTTGGAACCAGCTCGGCCTCCTCGGAGTAACAGCACTCAAAGTGATTACGACAACGGAATACATGCGACCAGGTGGCTACAGATCCTACCTCCTGTAATGCATAACGACCCTATTCCCTGTTCCAGAAGCTTGCATCGAAGCTTCGGTTTATTGCATCCAATTTTGTCTTCAGACCAGGATTTGTAGCTCGCATAGGATCCGCGGTCAATTCCATTCTTTGCAAGGCTTAGTATTGTGGCGGAGTATACATATTACGAATACTTGCTTAGATCAAAAGTAGCGAGTGAAGTTGATATCCAACTGATACCAACTAAAAGTTCAACGCGGGCGCGCAGATAGGCTTGGAGAAGCGTCAAAATCCACAAGCCGAGAGTGGCACCTACACAGCCTCTGCCACGTATGGATGTAAAGGATAAAACGATGGCTTTTGCATTACGTAGAGAACGTGATAAATGAGAAAACTTAGCAGTACTTCATCATCATGTTTAACTATGTGTTCATATGTAGTTTACGAAATGCTGTCTTATTGTATGCAGTACAACAGCTTATTACCCATCTGTAAATGAATCAACGATGAGTTCAGACTTTTTACTACTGTAGATCTAGAGTAAAGTCTTGCGAAACTCCAATGTAAAACCACTAAACCCCCACTTGGCCATTTTTCAACCTAAATGGGAAAGCCTTTCGAGATGAGTGTGTTGTTTCAAGTGGTCTAAGCTTTGAGAAATAGGCACAAATCCTTCAAGCCAGGTACCGTTGAGCTGTTCAAGTGTATGGTGGGCGTATTTTTTCATTTAATTTCCTCGCTGTTCCCGCTCAGGCTGCGCCATATGCCATCCCTAAAAAGTAAGCTTGTTATCCAATAATTGCCCTGTTAACGGCAGCTTCGTGGCGGATTTGTCTCATCCTGCCCCTCCATTCCAAATTCGGCGAAAGCGAAAGCGAAAGCGAGCATTTTGGCTGTGCTAAGGTAGAAATGCATCATAGTCGCCCATCAGGATTAACCAGAGCTATGCGTAATAAGGGAATAACATTGAGCCAGAGTCAATCAGTGATCGTGATGCACATTTCTGGGCGCTGATGACTACACGTAGCCTCACCCCCACCGCGGGTACCGAATCCTTCTCTCCTTGAGTTGAATATTTGCCGATCCTACAATGCATTGACATTATTGTAAGAAAGTGATAGAGAGTTCAGCCGGACACATAGTAAGCAATACTGAGGATGATGTAATCTGTTGATAACACTTGGGAACGGGAGAAGTTGGGCATGGGATCGATTCGTGGATTAGTGGATGCTCTAGAGTATTGAGCCGCTGTTATTTCAATAGCACTGGTATTGCTATCCTAGTTCTCCTAGCACGGGTTTGAGGTCTTGAAGAGTCAACTTTCTCCAGTTGCCTGTGTCCTTCGCGCTGAATGCCAGTTATCATGGCTTAAAATAGCAAATAACTTCAATATAACATAATTGTGGACATTTTGTTATAGAAACTCTGTCGCAACATGGTTTTTGTGTGTAGCGCACATAGAATCGGAAAATATGACTAGCAGATTATGGCCGGTGCAGGCAAAAACGATAACAAGATCTCATATTGAGAATATCTCAAAGTGACATAATTGAGGAACTTGTTGATCATGAAAATAATGGAGGTATCCAATGACAGGCTCAGCAGGCGAAGTGCCATCTTTTCAAGAGCCTACTAGCTCCTAAGGAGAATCCTTCGTAGGAAGATCCATCCGCATTGAGATTCAGTTGCGTCGGCCATGACCGAGATATATACCCATTTCGAATGTATAGACGGTTTCAGAATCGGAGATTTCCATTTTCGAGAGTCCTAATGTTAGTCGCTCTGATATGCTGAAGGCTGATCTATTACTAGTGTAACTCTGCTGGCAGAAGAGCCGCGTATGGGAGACCGTGTAGGTGTATTGCATTCCTCACGTTTTTTACCGCTAAGCATAAAATAGTCATATTTGGCGATGGATTGCATTTACAAGCATCCTGAAGCGGTACGGAAAACGGCATTGTGTCCAAACTACAGGTAGGCGGGCACTAGCATCAATCCTAGCTGTCGTCGATAACCGAGCAGTGATTGGGGCTGGGCCTACAGCATGCTATGTCCTGGTCCGCCTTGGGAGCCATAGTGCGCGAACAAATAAGCAAATCATTCGCCTTTTTGCACCGCTTAACCTCCGCCATTTTCTTACGTTGCCTGTCAGGATGCATTGGCTGAGCCCTGCACTGCTATCTCCAACCGCACCATGCCCTTTTGGGATATCCATTCGAACGACTCCAAGATCCAGAGTCTCAGCAGCTCTGTTCAAGGGGGATGTTCTTATTTTGGAAGGACCTGAAGCGCCTGTGCTTTTACAACTACTGAAACGAATATGTACATGTATTATAAAAGCGGCCTCCAGTACCTCCCCCAGCCTTGTGCAACTGTCACTAGTGGTGTGTAGTTCATTGATCTCGGACATTTACATTATATAACACGCTTCTTGTATTGTCTTGAATTTTGTTTCATGGACATTGTTATACATCCGTTGAGCTAATTTTCTCCTTCTCTGTTTCCACTCTACGGGTAGTAATACTATCCCCTTCAATATGGGCTCAAAAGACCACACATGTCCATCACATGATCTCTCTGAAGGTACTATACCATATCATGGGTACATGTAGCCAGATATGCACACATGTATAACTGACATCACGACTACAGATGCCACTGAAGCAATTTTTGGGACCATGACATTTTTCCAGTTTGATAGAATCTTAGCTGGAAGCTGTGTGGCAGTTGCATGCGCCGTAATTTTTATTCATCTGTCTAGTCACGCAAATCGGCTTAGCAATCCGAGCGAGCAAGTGAAGTATGTTTTTCTCTATTTTGCCTTATAGGCCTACAAAAACTAATTGTTAGTCGCACAGGATTATGAGAATTAGCCTTCTAGTTCCTTTCTATTCCCTCTTCAGCTTCTTGTCAATATGCTTCCCAAATGCGGATGTCTACCTCGAGCCATGGCTCGAGGTCTTCCAGGCAAACTCATTATGCGCGTTCTTCCTTCTCATGTGTGACTTTATATCGCCCAATTCCGAGAAACGAAACGACTTCTTTGCAAAAATGACGATCTTAGATAAGAAATCTCCTCAGGCTGGGAAAGCCGGCGGACTGTCTTGGTTTCGAGTAAGTAGGCATACTTATAGCATACAAAGTGGGATCTGACGTTTCCCATTTAGAGTCGTTGGATAGCGATCTTTCAATATCCAATTATTGCAGTGCTGACAGCAATTGCTACCGACATTTCCGAGGCGGTGGGAACTTATTGCCAATATAAGATCGAGGTATATTATACAAAGCTGTGGGTAAGTCAAATTTGATCTTGTGCTGGCACTTACAGCTTAAACTGCAGCTAATTATAACTAGATCACTATTATCTCTCAAGTCTCACTCACACTCGCCGTCACGTCAATTATCGTGTTCGTCAGGACATTAAATTCTGAACTTGCAGTTCATAAACCTATGGTAAAGCTAGTTGCGTTCAAGCTTATAGTGTTTCTTAGCTTCGTGCAGAGTGTAAGAATATTATTTATCCTATATACTACTCATAGAAAACTCAGATGTAGAGACTGACGTGTATCTCGCTCAGATAATTTTCTTAATCTTGGGCAATACTAGCAGCCTCAATCCTACGTCGAAGCTTACATATGCCGACCTACACATTGGATTGCCTGCGTTACTTAGTTGTATTGAGATGGTGCCCATCTCCGTATTCTTAGCATGGGCCTATTCCGTGCAGCCATACTTACTCGGCCGTGTTGCTGATATGGAGGATTCAAGTGGTCGTGCAGACATTTCAAGATCTTACCAAGGAGGTTTCCTTGGTGTGCGCGCATTTTTAGCCATGTTGAATCCTAGAGAGACAGTTGAGGGGATAATTCTTGCTTTCTACATGGTTACCAAACTCAATGAACCATCATGCACTTCTGACTTTGGTCATGATTTGGACCATACTTACCACTCTAACACCGGCATGATGAGGAATCATCAATCGGGATACCAGGCTCTGGATGGGGAGAATAGGTGAAGCCTTATGTTTTATAGTATAATCTGTGCCTCTGGCAATGCATAAATCTTTGTCTTGATAATAGAAATGGGAATTCTAGAATGTTCGGTTGCATTACAATACACATATAGAAATTTATCATCCACACCCACTCCCTCTTCCTGAAACGCGAATTTGTATGCCCCATATGCTTCATTCCCAGCAACACGCATCTTTTCCATAATGTCACGACGATGAGCGACTGTTTCTGTAGCAGCAATCATTAACAATTTCCACCGACCCTTTGCCTCGAGCTTTTGGGGAATGTGTATTGCAGTGGTGACGATCATATCGTCGCGGCTGCTATCATACGTAGGACGCAGCACTGGAACGGCGATACTCGCTTGGTCTTTGAAGCAGACCTTGCAAGTACAGCACTACATTAAACTCTCGACCTAAAATGCATCGTTTCTAACCACTACACACCCTGCAATAGCAGCCAAGATATTCCACTCCAGGTCATAGGCCACGAGTAAAGCTTTGACAATGGAGTTGTATTATTATAAAGAAGTCAATAATAATGCCATGGGCCAATGGATATTATATATAAATTTCTGCCCTTAAGAGTCATAAATTAATGAATAATTATGTAAGTGTTTTTATATATCTAACATTATTGGCTATATTTAGCTGAAATTTTATAATTTACCTTTGAAACGTCTCTAAAAGTTGACTTAATTCTGTTTTCTTCAATGTACCTCTAATGCCTTATATGAGCTCAATTTAAAGTCCTGGAGCTGAATATATTCTTTCAGTTAGACTCTCAAGGAGTTTAAACACGAAGTTTAACTTCTCAATAGCTCATAAAAGCCTTGCCTGCTGGCAGAATCTCTTTCCTCATCCTTCATGCGTGTGGTAATAACCTTATAGGGATAGATATGCGAAGGTGCCGGCAACTAAATACACTATGGTGTCGGTAAATTGGCATATAAGGGATTTTTTCTCAGTCTAGCTTTTCCAATCATTATAACGTGACACAGTGTATGTAGTAAATATGCAAGATGCCTCAAACTGAAGTTAATGATGAGTTATTACATGGTTGCTAGGGTAATATGATAGAAGCAAATATGATATATTAACACGTATTTAGATTACAACAGACCGTATTTTTGGAATCAATGTAATCCAGCCACCGACTGAACGGCGAGCCGAAAATCTATTGGGTAGAATGTCGCAAGGCGTGGTGAGACAGTATGCAAGGGGATTTCAGCCGTAAATACGGAGTGAGCAGCCCAACATTGTTACCAGCCTCCGACAGATTAAATCCTCTATCAATGGCTACACACCAATTCAACACCGAGCCGATCATCAATTGGACGGAGACGCCGATAGAATAACCATTTTTGCAAGGGGGATTCCAGACCAGGATAGCGGCTTGGACATCCGTTGGATAGGGGAGGAAGCGAGAAAAGGCAAGTGTTTTTGCAAGAGAATCTCAGACATATATACTCTAGTTAGACTCGGTATCAAATATTTCTCTAGGCTTCTATAATGTTCTCGGATGTTTATTAGGTATCTGTACATGGTCGAGCTTACCTTAACGAGGCTGTGATGCTACCTTGTAGTAGCAGCCCGACGCTATAGATGCTGTGAGTAGGTATCATTTCAGGCTGCTGCTGACGTGGCATGTTTACCTCGAAGCTCATATGTATCTAGCATTCTGGTGGGTTCCTCTGCATTTTCGGACCCCATTCTTTCTTGCATTGTACATATATTTCGCGTAGTACAACAAAGGTAGTGCGCTTTAATGTAAGACTACAGCCTGGGCACATTCGATAGTTGCATGCAGGTATGCTTGTAATGTATCACAATCCCCAATGTCCGACATGAAAGAAAGGGGCGACAATTCACTAACGTGGGCCATTACCATTGGCTGGCCAGCCATTTTCATTGTATTAAGGGTGTTACTCAAGAACTGTATTTACCCGGATATCATTATAGTAGATTTGAAATATATTTTCTTGGTGTGCCAAGGGGGTAGACACGTAATTTAAAGGCTAGACGAATCGTACGAGAACCCACGTACACGATAATAATGTGGCTATTTAGTACTTTCTTCCTGAGACGATATATAGAGAATGATGACAAATATTTCATGAATAATTGTGAAGCGATGTCCATGACTACTATTGAAAAGTACCAGGTAAAACCAACTAATATAGGATTGTATATTATACAAGCGTACATATAAATAGAGTAACTTGCAAACTTGCACACATGGTACGAATGCTGATCTGCAACCGCTAAATCATGTATTCCTCCTCCTCCTCCTCCTCCTCCAACAACAACAAAACAAAAAAAAAAAAAAAGAGAGAGAGAAGGGGAAAGCCAGTTCAGTAGGGGTTGGTCTTTAATTGTTAATGCCATTTGTGCCTGAAATAAATACGACAAGCACAGTGGCATATCTACACGCCCAGTATCGTGATTTATACCAGTCAGTAATTAACTCTATCATTCACTTCCGTGACCTGAAAGCAGGGTAGTGGGGAGTAACATACGTTGTTCCAGCTATAACCAAGTCAAAGGATTTCATCCTTGTTCGGGCGATCAAAGACAAAATGGCAATAAAAATAGCCGTAGTGCCAACAATAATGATCATTATGTACGTTAAGTTACTCACAAAGTTACAAATAATAACGGGAGTAAAAAGAAGCACTGCCATAAGAGCCGCTTGGAGTACACGTATCATTTGCCTCATCCGCTCCTCCATAATATTCGCCGATCTTTCCCTTCTGGGTTTTTTCGTGGTGTTGAAGTAACCGTTGATCAAATCTATTAGCCTGTCTGACCAACTACCGTTCCCTAAAAGTGTGAAAAGATCTCTGCGATTTAGATATTTTATTTCTTCTGATGCCAATGACTTATTATTGTCGTGCCAGTTCCTGAGACTTGAAATAGCTCGATCTCGAGAAGGCTCGAGATTGAAAGTTCGATACTGTCTTTTCAAAAAAGAGTCTTTATCGTTGTTAATAATTTTGTAGCTTTTTCATGAAATGGCGATTGATAATACCATAATCATTCAAGGCAATATCGATCTTCTTAAGGATCTCTTTTCTGTCTTGATTCGTGTCTTCGCGATTGTTTCCAAGAAATATAGGAAATAATTCCTCGTCTTCAGCATCTATATTCTCTAGCTGCTCCTCTAGCCGTGAGAGTTCATCCTGCTTAAGGAGAAGCAGGCGCGTACGCAAGGTCGAAAACCGGCGCCAGACCTGAAAAGACTTGTCGGAGTTAAGTAGTGCGGAATAACGAGGATATCCCTGTGGGAAATCATTGACTAGAGCGTGCTAGTTAGTAGTGTACTCCACGGTGTATCAAGTGCATGTGTTCAGAATCAAGGCTCATCTGTACCATAAACGACACCCTCATTCTCCTTTTCGATCCTTTCTCGCCAGTTAATTCTTTTATCTGACTTAGAGGATAGCACTTCAAGGTCATTATCCAATCCGGAAGATGTTTCAAGGTAATTATATGATTGCAAGGATGTTGTCGATATCGGGGGTGCTATGTTCTCAGTCTTTGTGATTGGGTTGAGGGGTAAAGATTCCTCGTTCATTTTTAGAAGTACCTCCAGATGAAAGCCTCGTTGATGGTCTTAGTGATAAATGCAGGACTGGCTCTCCACACGTTGATATGGCTTTGAGAAATTGTTGGGTGCTGGGCATGCCTTTGAGGATTTGGACATGGGGTAATGTATGTATGCAAGCAGCTCTGTCACAATTACCTCTAGCATCTTGTTGCCGCAAAGAAAGAAAATATGAATGAATAAGATTTTCTTTCAGAGAAAAGAGGAAGGGTAGAGGTAAATATAGTCAATTCATGGCACTCAGCTGCTGTCTAGCAACAAAGACGCTTCTAGCCCCACTTGATCTCCTATCGCTCTTCCTGTAGGACCCGGATCGAAACAACGTACAAGGAAGTGGGTGGGTGCACAACATTTCCGTTGGATGCAAAGCAAATTGTGTAAGAGTTTCGGTACATACATGGTCAAAAGGGTGAGTGGGCCTAAACATTGGCGCCTGACACGTCACCTGTAGCAGCTTGAATAATATAAATGCACGTTTATCTCGGTCGCTGCGTTTGGTCGGTTTACCTTCTCTAGTTTTTCTTATTTTTATTTTCGCCTCATTTTGACACGTCCAATAACTTGAAAAGACTGTTGATGTATAATCTCTCACATGAAGGTTGATCCCTAATACAAGTTGAATGTCATCCTAATCTTTTCTTTTAGGGCTACTATACCACGAGCTGTTGCTGTAAGTGCAGTGACCTTGGTTTTGTGAGGCATTTCTAATTTTAATAAGCCCCCGGAGTTCAATTCTGGTAAAAAGGTTTTCTATAAGAAGGTTCAATACACTGTAGCCTCTTTTGATCCGGTCACAGATAAATACACTATATTTTTGGTTGAGAAAGTTAAGCAAGATGATGTTGAGAAAATTATACAGCTAGATCCTGTTGTAAGTGTAGTGATCTTGGTTTTTAAAGCATTTCTAATTATTATAAGGGTCCGGAGTCCAATTATGGTAAAACGCTACAGTACAAGGAGATACCGTGGACTATAAAGTCTTTTGATTCAGACAGGAAAGAATACACAATAACTTCGGTTCAGAAAGTTGGGAAAGCGGAGTTAGAAGAAGAAAACAAGAAGAAATCAAAAGAGCAGGTGCAAAATGCAAGTGATTCGGGATCTCGTAATTCCGGAAAGCAGTTTGGGCGGAATACTAATTTGCGGCAATCCTTCAAATGAGCCAGAAGCGCATATGGGTTTTAGATATATGTCTTCATATGTCTGGATATGGTTATGCTTTGAAACAGATGTATCATGAACATATAGAGTCCGTATCTACATTTTTCAATGCCTGCGTCCCAACATCTTGTACTTATGCTTCTGCTCAAGTTTACACTGAGAAGTAATGAATGATGAATAACAGTATACTGCATTCCCATTTTAGGATGAAGCACATTCAAGTTCACAATATTTTCAGATCTAGAGTGTACGCATTCATTTCTTGTTTCGTACCTGCTCTTCGGGTGAAGGTTTATGCCGGGCACATTACAGACATGCAGCCATATACAACTGAAATGGTCTGTTGCCGTAGCATAGGTAACAGATTGATTATTCTGTCGCCCTTATCAAATATTCGATGCGTTCGAAAAACAGAACCAGCAGTGGGCACGTGTTTGACCCTGAAGGGCATAGAAAATAGAGATACACTAAATATAGGTGGATGTAACTACCTGATACATTCCCGTTGTGCCAAGACGCGAGGCTGGCAAGACGCTAGGAGTATAATAATAGACTTTAACTACGGACGAGCGTGCACAAAAAAAATTATATCGATGTTACTGTCCAACACCCCTTACATGCCAACACTCTGCCGGCGATGCAAATGGGAGTTAAATATGGAAATATGAGTCTGGGTGAATGTTGGTGTAGCGAGTGGCGTCGATTTGGGTAAAGGCGTCCGCAGCAGCGCTCCTTGCATGGCTATTCACGTCGCTTTGAGCGGCATATGCGGACTCGTGAAACTCCATGCTGATTGCCCAGCTCTACCTCAGCCAGTCGCCGATCTTCAGACGGCACGTTCATATGCATTTTCTTAGATCATGGTGGTGTGTCTGCCACTATACAACTTGGAGGTATTGAGTTTATTAGCACTGTGATATAAAGGAGGAATATTGCTCATAATACATGCAGCTAGATTATATGCAAATTGAAAGGCCATGGCTAAGTTGAATGACCTTAGTCTAACTAGAAATGAGCCGTTTCAAAGATAGCTTTAAATAATGTAATAATATACCAAGACCATCTTATTGGACTTGGGCCATCTAACATACTAATCAGATCTACATTATTCAGTTAGGTCAAGGTTTTCTTGTTAGACTCAAGTTATCGAATTTGGCTATGATTAGGTAGCCAATTGAGCAAGATCATAGAGTTTGACAAAGGTTATCTACAGAGATTGAGCTCAGATGAAAGACCAACTTGACTGAGCGATCTACTGCAACAACGCACTATATTTATATAATTAGAAAAAATATAGTTGTCTGTACTAGGCCTACACTGTGTGCATTTCGTTTGTAAAACGTATTATCACTGCATTGCATATAAGGAGCGGGAAAGTTACAAAGAATTTAGCTAATTACTACCCCGTATGAGTCGCAACTAAGAACGCATGACGGGATAAAATATAAATGCCTTGCCAATATACAAGTCTAAACAAAGCGTTGCAAGTTCCTGCTTTGAGATATATAATAACACGGAGTATATATCTACTCCCACAGATGCCAACTAATATTGTATTGCATTGGACCTCATACCTTCATAGAGGGAGAGATTCTTGCTGGGTAGCATAGGCAATTGGACTCGTCGAAGTATGAGGATCGGCTTGTACCTTCTGCTTTAGCAACGATTTCCGATACTTGCAACGTATACTATTCCTACATGGACTTTGTCTACTACTTGTGTGAGACTAGCACCAAGGCTTTAACATGGTAGGATAGTTTATGTGATTGCTGAAAAGATAGAAGTGTAAATTTGAACGCCAGTTGTGATTATTGCTACAAAAGTATAACTTTAAGCGCTATGGGTATAACATCATCATGATCAAGTTTAATGAATAATTTACCTAATAAAATAAATACGTCCTTAACTCAATGATATTATCATATATCAAGTGCGGCGGCCTCCATATAGACGCCTCTTATGACGTGGTGGTCAATCTTATGGCCGGCGGGGAAACAACTTGCGCCATGTTCTTGAGCTTTTTCACGATGTATGCTATTTGCCACACACCCGCATAGCTCATGCAAGGTGAGTCCAGTAGCCTGCATCACGACGCCGTACAGGTTCGTAGGTGCGTTAAGGATAACATTTTACCAGATTTAAGACGCCATGATGAGAGCAAATAAAGAGTATCTCGTCCCATCAATCCTTCATTTCGAGCTCAGCTTGATATACTTAGAAAGGAAAAGCCTCCTGAAGGAAGCTGGTGATGTCACCTTTATTCTCGCTATCCTTGGGACGAATTGCAACATGGAGAGAAGTGTCATAGATGCAAAGTTTCACTAATAAAGCATAAGATATTGTGGCAGTTTATATATAACTTTGATTAGTTCACGAGCGATTGCGGGAGTCCACTTTTGCCCGAGATGGCAGCGACATCATAATAAAAGCTTTAATTGTCCATTAGAAAACACGTTATTATAGTATGTTTGTAATTTATTTTTGGCTTAGACTAGTATAGTAGGGCAAGTTGCTAAGCAGGTGGCAGGTCCGGTTATCCGCTATCCGGGCATAGCGTACTGTTCCACTTCATTGTCTCTCCACGATTTCTACTTATATACTCTGCCTTAATATTTTAGTTCACCTCAATTAGGTTACATTCCACTTGCGCCGGCTAAAAATAAGCAGGGTCTAGAAATATGACGTATGTGAGCTGAGAAAAAAAGTATCGCGGACAAAGCCACAGCTGGCTTGAGGCTAAGGCTGTTAGATTAAAACATTAGAACCCAGTCAGCTTATCTTCTTTATAAGCGGATCGACTACTATCCGGTGTCAAGCGAAGTCTATTGCTAGTTTACTCTTTGAAGCTGCAAAGAAGTGCAAAGTCAATTTATATTTAGTAAATATGATGTTAGCCCTGAAAGAGAAGATGCCATCAGTTAGTTATAAAAACAACTTTTCATCTCACTTTCGAACACCAACTAGCATTCTACAACACTCATAACACCAATAACACGACTAACAACAATACTTTAATCACAACATCAATTTAAACTTACAAATTTACCAGAATGCGTTCTGCCATCGCTTTCTCTCTCTCCCTCCTTGCTCTTGCTGTTTCCGCAGCCCCGTCCTCTCGGAACGCAGGCAAGGTTACAGTACAACTTTCAAACGATGTCTCTGGAGCAAATGGCAACGCCGCCATTCCCCTCGATGGAACTCCTGTAGACATTGGACAGGCTTTCGGACACACCAATTTGTTCAAAGACGGCACCCTCTTTGTTACCAGCATTTTCTTCGTTGCCAACTTCCAACACGCCGAATGCACCGTGGTGAGGAACGGAGTTAAGCAGGTCGCCAACATCTTCGACCCAGCGAAGGACTTTGAGAGATTCGCTAAGCAACCTGTGGACTGGGAGCACGGCTTCACAATCTCCTGCACTTAAACTTAATCTTTTCAAAGCTGAGGGCTTGAAAGGGATCTTAGACTGAGGGTCGATTTATTCGATCTTTTAATTTGCTACGATTTAAATACCAGAAGACATGTGCCCACGTAATAATATATTGGTGCTTACGGAGCAATGCTGGGTTATTGGAACCATACGGAGGAAGCGCTTGACCCAATTGTTATTTAGTCGCTCCTTAGAGTAATTAATAGGCCTATATGATTATCTATTTACACACACATTGTGTTTATAATACACCGCCAGTTCCGAAAGTTTTGTCCCCAATTGTTTACACCAGTGATATTTTCTCCGTTTGCTCTCACTTCAATAAGAGATCTATACATTTGGTTTTGAAGATGGCATCGACAAATGCAGTAGAGAGAACCATAAAAGTCAATGGGTTGTCTATCCAGAGCCATAATATTCCCCCATGAGGGCGTAAAATGGCTCTGCAAAGCATGAAAACGCCGCTTCTGATGGGATGACTCGTAAATAGTACGCATACCAAATATAGTAATACTTTGGTTTTATTAGAATAGATGCTATTAAATATCTCATTTTCCCTTTTCATATACCCGCCATACTTTTATACGAGTGGGTTGTCGGGCAGTATTTTAATTACTAGTATACTTCCTGTCTACTCCGCCTTTGCTAGTGTCCTTCGGTCCAATTCATTCCAAAATGAGCTACTTAGATTTCGCCTGTCCCAAGTTGCTTATGCTAACTAATGGAAGTGAGAAAGTGAATCCCTTCTATACTAACTTAAACACGTCGAGTCTAAACTCTAGCGAACTATGCGGCTTTTATGCGAACTACTGCCTGCAGATAGTGTAGATTTAGACAATGGATGGGAAGAGATTAATATAGTACGTGAATAAATTTGGAGTAGATCTAAGAAGGGTTGTGACTATTGAGTTGAAGATGATCAGTCGTGAGAGTTCTGCAGCAGATGGATTCGTTATTAAGGGTGTTTATCGTACTTGCACTTGCCTGGGAAAGCCCGATAACTCTCCAGTCCGTCACTTTCTGCTTTTTTAAAGCACGGTAGTATTGATATCATACTTTTGGCAGCTTGGTGTATAGGGATATACCGCACTCAGACCAGGTGATAAGAACGACAGAAGCTCAGCTGTGTAGTAAAGTTGGCGAGTCATATGGCGACTCTCTCAGATATTACCTCATCAGCAATACGGTTTATAAGAGATCATAAAACAAATCCTGGCCTCATCATAAACATGTTTGTTTGTTAATATCTTTTTATTCAGGCTCTAGTATCTCTTTTGCATATAACACGGTTATAGGATGGAGCAAAGAGAATCTCATGTACGTTGTGTGATAGAAATGGGATTCTTGGAAGAGTCTTTGAATGAGCCACATAGTCAAATGTTGTGTTGAAGGCAATGACTAATCTACCTTGACAAACTGCCAAACAGTCGTTATATGCTGTCGCAACACCACCGTATCCGAGCCTTCTACGACGCACACTTTCTTGAGCGTATGCCACCAATGTGGCATCAGCAACTCATAGCCTCCTTCAGGATGCTTCCTTACTGTCATGAGCTCCCAAGCTTCATGTTGAAATGTTGCCGAGTGCATTTGGTCAGAATTGTTATGACCCATAAATCTGCCCGTTTGAGGATTGACAAAGCCAAAATACCCGTTCTTTTCGACGCATAGCCACGTGTGTTGCTGGAATTTGTCTTTGTTGAGGTCAAAAACGTAAAGATGGCCCGATGGATTTGAGCAAATTGCCCGGTTCGTACCGTCTATGAAAATATTGTATTTATTGCCTGGCCAAGGCACTGCAAAGCGTCGACCGTCCCAGACCTCGCCCAAAATGGTTGGTTGAGATGTTTCCGGTGTAAATTGCGTGAAGGTAGTGGATGATTTATCGGTTTCGTCCATCATGGTGGTATTTTGACAGTTATTAGCAAAAGCAACGCGACTTCCTCATGAATTGGCGGTTATAGTTTGTATGGATGTTCGCCCTGCCTCGAACCCAGCGTCCGTTAGATGGCGGGTTGTCATCAATGCCAAATCTGATCACAATAGGGCGCTTACCTAGAGGTGGTGCTGGGCTAGTGAAAACTCAAAACTTCAGTTCGTGCGATGCAAAGTGAAGAAAATAAAGATCTGGGGTTGACCGCGGACGGGAGATATATATATGGCGGTTATTGGTGCGACTTCAGAGTGAGTCAAAACACGTGTCTAACCCCGCGTAACATGCATGTACCTGGATAAATATTATCGTCAATGTTTATATGTAGTTTTTATTAGAATTATTTATAGGGATTAAGTGAAGAACACGTAAATGCTCAGACGGAGTGGTTTAAATACATTTATCGAGACAAGAAACATTCATTAAGCTATGCAACCTAACCAGAGTACCACACTATCATTGTGTGTAATTTGGAAGTGTGAAAGGCCTGTATTGTTTTGTCATTCAAATTAAATGTAACCATCACCCAAGCGAGGGGGTTGGAATGGATTCAATGTAACCTACCGACTTACATTCTCAAGCAAACTTATGGCCGTATACACAACCGCTGAGATCTATAGGCTGTAGCATCTGCAAGAGGCGAAAGGTCAACTGTGACGAGGGTCGGCCAGGATGTCAACGCTGCAGACGCCTTGGCCGTGAATGCGAAGGCTATGGCAAAAGGGCGCCGCGAGTGAGATTCGTCATCGTTGTCAGAAGTATCGACGAGAGAGATTCTAAGAGTCAGCGGCGAGCACTGGCCTCTCGTACTTCAGCTCAACCGATCATCATTCCACCACCAACGCCGAACAAAAAAGATGCTGCTCTGTCCTTCTTTCTCACCCAATTCGCCACTTTGGGTCGCAGTATCGTATAATAACGCTTGAAGTGCTGCTTGAATGTCTCGAGCTTAGCGGCGGCAATTTTGAGCTCTCAGATAACACTCATTCGTTCGTTCAAGAAAGTATCTAGGAGATGGTCGATTTCAACTGCAAAAGCGTCCCTTTATTCCTTGGAAACCGCGGCCGTATAGCAACACTCCACGATTTTACTGACTAATACCAGTGCTGAAGAATTGCAAGTATAAGTTGCATATAAAACCAGGCCAAAGAGTTGGGCTAAATCAGTGTAGACATTGTACTTCATCAGTTTTATTTAAAAAAGGCACTACATCTATACCGTGAGATCCAAACACCGACGCAGTTGCTTATCATTGGATCTATCCCAAGCTGTTTGACTGGATCCCTCTATTGCGGAGGCAGAAACTTGGGATGTCGGAAACTACATTGTAGAGCATTGGTTTGACGGCTTTAATGGCTATCACCTTTTCTAGATCGCTGATGCCTCCGTTACATACTGTAGCCGCAACGGAAGTGATGAGTTGGTGCATTTCATCCAGCAAGCCCTTCCGCTATACATAGAACATTCACGTTGAGAAGATAGGTTACTTCGCTGGTTCGATCGTCAAGACTGATGCAGAGACCCAGACATGGAAAATCTGGTCACCTGAAACAAACCATTTGCCATCGGAACCCATCTTTGTGTCCCGACCAGGAGCCACCGCAGAAGATGATGGCGTGTTATTAACAGTGGCGATGGATTCGGCAGAGAAAAAGAGCTCCCTGGTAATGATCAATGCTATCAATATGGAAGAGATTGGTCAGGCTCATATGCCCATCGTCATGGGCTATGGGTTTCATGGGGTTTATCACGCAGACCTATGAGAAAGGCATTTCATGTGAAGACGAATATGTACGTATTAAGGAAGATAGTAAAGGGAAAAAATGCTACGTAGCTCTACTAATTATGTTATTCAGATCCACACTATCTCCTATTAACTCATTTTACTTCTTATAAGCATTCTGAGGACGTTACAATAACAATGGGCGCATCTAATCATGCCCATGATGCTCTATTTGGCTTCTTTAATTACATTTAATTGTATCACCTCATTTCATAGTAAAATGAAACAGCACACCATCATAAATTGTCTTAAACCGTCGTCTTGATCTCAGCTTTAGCGGCTAGGGAATACATCTGCTGGAATATTTGCCCTTATTACTGGTCCAAGATATGACTCATAGTCATCAGGATTAGTCTCATTGCCATTCCACTTCAACGCGCGAGCAAGGGGTCGATAATCTCCAGACGTGATGTTGTAGGCTACGCCGTTGTTCGATAATGTCGGCGAATCAAACATATAAAAGAAGCCAGTGGATGGGGATGCATTATTAGTCAGATTCAAATCGCGTATTGTGCCATAAGTTGGCACGCCAAGGAAGCCAGGCAAGATGGGCTGATGTGTGTCTTGGTAGTCAATCTTGACGGAAGGATCAAACCCATAGATGGTCGGGATAAAGGATGTATTAGCGGGAACGAGTTCGTAGAGGATGTGTTTCGACGGCAAGAGGACATCTATCCTCAAGAACGGTACAATAGACTCCGAAGCATTTGCTTTCCAATAATATGTATCGATATTCGGTGTAGTTGCCTGAGCTGCGAAAACAGATTGCTGATTGCCTGGAATAGACAAGACCTGTGGAGTAGCATAAGGTATTGTTGTTGTGACATTCTGTGCTATCGGACCAACAGCGTCCCTGCTGTACGGCAAGCCCATGTAGGGAATCGAGTATACATAGCTAGCGCTGGCAATCTTTACAAACCCGCTATAGACCGGCGTCGAGTACGGATAGTTGTCCGGTTGAGGTGTAATGCGCACTGAAATGGTGGCCGATTCGCCGGGCTGGAGAGTCAGCTTGGTCGTCGAGAATTGAGCAGACGCAGGGACAGAATGCGGAGTATAAGCGCTATTCGAGTCGAAATTTGGTTCGCCGGCCAGATAATTTTCATGGGCTCGAAGCAACGCGGCGGGATCATGGCTAATTATGTAGTGATTTGGTAGATCTGAGTCATTCTTTATGGTTATGTTTTGCGGTGGTGGATTCGCAGAGTCCCTCAAGCTAAACTCCGAAGGAGTTATAGTGGAATCCGCCTTGACAGCGGCATAAACATCCAGCAATCCAGCACCTTGGCGAATCGTGGATGTGAATGGTATCGTGGAATTGTATTCTGGGAGTGGAGAAGCAGTAGTCTTGAGACGATCAAAGAGTTGCGCAACAGTGAGATGAGGGAATTGACTCTTGAGAAGCGCATAACTCGCAGCTGCGAGCGGCGTTGCCATCGACGTTCCAGATATAACTGCATAAGCACCCGCATCCAGCGGCCATGTTGATAGAATTGTGCCTCCGGGCGAAGCAACCTTAGGATGTAATGTCAACTCAATAGTAGGACCAAGGCTCGTAAATGAATCCATGAACCTTCCTTGTGGGTCGGCAATGAGCTGCTGAGATTGCGCAGCTGTTGAACCATCAAATTTCAGGCTATACGTCTCGTTAGGTGACAAATCTTTAATATTTTGCACAATTGCCTTTGAGCTATTGTAGGTCAACCATAAGATTTCTGGGGTGGTTCCTGGCTCATCTAGCACAATGAGCTGATCTTCGCTTGTGAGATAAGCCATAATAGTCGAGGCGCCCAAATCCTGAGCCGAAAACCAACTATTGCCACAATTGTTTGTGTAAGACACCAACAATAGAGTTGTATTCCAATCAACAGATGCATTAGCAGCTGCATCCCAAGCTGGCTGGTAGCAACCACTTGCGACAGTATCATTGATTGGTATTCCAAGCCCAGTTCCAAGCAAGAAGATGTCTTGTTGGCCCTTTGCCGGATAAGGGAGTACCGATATATAATCTAGCGACCTTTGCTTTTCATCATAGGCTGTGTAATGAGTTGGGTATACCTCATTCTCCATGGAGCCCACACTTAGCCCATCTTGGGAGATACCTGGAATCGATGCAGTGTATATTGCAGGGCCAAAGTTGCCAACAGCCGCCACAGTTGCTACCCCCTTCTGTGCGAGTTGAGTTACCACTGCGTCAAAAGGGTTGATAGCTTCCCATATGTCGCCGATTATTCCAATAGACATGGATATTACGTCCGCACCGTCTTGAGCGGCGCGAAGCATTGCACCTATAAGAATATCATTGGTCGCGTCGCCAACGTCACATCCAAATACTCTATAAGCTGCTATTGTCGCATCAGGAGCCGCTCCAACAAGACCGAAGCCTTCATTGTCAGGATCTTCCATGGCCAAAATACCTATCCTAGTGTTAGCTGTTGTCCATACAATCCCGAAGTGCATTGCTTATCGCCAGTACTTACCGGCCGTGTGAGTTCCATGTCCACCACTAGCACATGTTGCCAGTGGATCGGGATCAGGCATAGGAGTATTGAAGCCGGTGTAATTATCGCCCACAAAATCCCAACCTAGAGCGATTTTGTGGCCAGGGCCGAAGCCTCCGCCAAGTGCGGGGTGTCGATAATCGACACCGGAATCAATAATGGCGATCTGGACTCCTTTGCCTCTAATGCCCTGATCGTGAAGCTTCTGGACATTGGTAGAAACTAGGGGTTGGTTCACGCCGCTAACACCTCGTAGATTGGGCAAGGTCGTATTGCCACTACCGCTGGCCGATTGGACTTTGGGGCTACCGTTTCTAAAGTACGGCTGGGGTCGAGGAACAAGGGCCACATGCCAGGCATTCTTCACCCCATTGGCTTTTCTGACAGAATCAAGGTCGACGTTTGTTTCAAAGGAGACTGAGACTCCCAGGAATAGATCAGAGGAGTTGTACTCATGGCGGATTTGGTAGCCTGCTTTAATGCCTATAGGAGTTTGGGCAAAGCGTTGTAGAGGGTGCAAAGAGGGGTGGAAGTCTGGTTGAAACTCAATAATGTATGCATTGGGAATCACAGTGGTATTGGCAATTTGTGTTGGTGGTACAGTCGAGAGCGACGTCGCTCTACCAGATATGGCCAGCAGGCTAAAGGCGGCCTTGACCTTCATTGTCCTGGGCCAATCGAAGACTCAGGAGCATCCAATCAATTAGAGCTGAGATATAATCAAGCCAATGCAATTTATTGTGGCTTAACAAATGAGCGCCCGGATGAGATGAATTTTCTGTCGCTCTCACTTATATATAGTATGTATAAGCGGGAAACTAGATGCATCTGGTGGCACAATTAGCGGATCTTCTGGTAGAATTCTAGTGACACAATGCCGATCGAAATACGAGGTAGCATTGCGTATACGAGACTTTCCGATTGGATTTGCCATCTCAACGTGTGAAATATCCACTTTTGATTGCGATGGGCGAAGTAAGGGAGGAAACGTGCAAGGAAAAGTGGGCGTAATTCATGCCGGATTGATCTTCCCACTTACAGTAATCAGCAACTTCTACGAGATCACGCAAAGAAAAAGATAAGGAATCACGAGAGGCTCAGCAGAATCGGGGCTTTTGCAGTATCTAAAAACAAGAGCAGCGTATAAGATACAAATATAGTAAGACATTGCGAACTTTGGGCTGGGGATGTCCGGAAACGTGTGTGGTTTACCCCAGTATCGCGTGCGCTAGTCGCATGCATGCCGCTAGCAGACCAGTTGTTCACGGTAAAATATTATCAGTCAAGTTCTAGACGGAGCTTTGCATAGCTAGGATGATCTAAACCTTACGGCAATATATAAAATTACCCTTCGACTATCATGAGCAACTACAACTTGAGTATTTAGGAGAGGGTAAATTTTCTTGCTTGACAGAGACTGTCCAACACCACAACACCAGTAGCTTGACATGTCATCGGGTTGTTAAATAAAAAGAGTGCCTTCTTACTAACTGAGAATAACTATTTGTATAGCACATATGTATCTTCCTTTTGAAATAGTTAGAAATAATACATTTTAAAGCAAAGTAGGGATTCTCATATATCTTCTCACATATCACCTCCGCCTACCATATATACATATACCACAAACGGCGAACTTATGATCAAACATGAATAATCATTACATTTTTCTCAAAGGATGGAAAATAAAGAAATAGATGCCGTTCTTTCCCAGACTATCCGAGTCTCCGTGGTTCATTACACGACTATGAAGTGAGGGGTCATGATCAAGGGCTCTCGCGTAAGCAATCTTTTGTAAAGAGCAATACTTATATGCTTAGTGCTTAAAGCGCCGCAAGTTATGCTTAGGCTACTCTAAATATAGCAATTATATTTATAAATAGTATCATTTGCATCTCTTACTCGTCAGTTCGTACTAGTTTTCTGCATTGTGCGTTTTTCCTTATCTCTTACGATTGGTTGTCTCTACTCTACTCCGCGCATTATTCCTAAATCATACACCCCTCCCTTTCTTCAGGCTTGTGTAAGCTATTCTCATTAATAATCTTAATAGGGTGAGCTGCTGGATTATGGCTAGTTACTACAAAGTCCTCAATTGCGTGGACTGCTCATGCTTCCACTTTTACCGTCGGTTTTGTGCAGTTCACCGTCGGTAAAACTCAGTTCACTAATATGTGAATACCCTCGCCTCTCCTTCTATCACCGAGCTGTTTTTCGCTAAATGACGATATCTGGCGGCCTCTATATGATGTTCTAACCTATAATCACTTGTAATTTGTTTCCCACATTGAGCTTCAAACAACGGGTTTCTTTTTCGCATTATCTTTTTTGACTCTTCGGGTAGAAAATTAACATCGCGGAGTAAGGTTCCACCGAGAAGGCTAAGATCTATGTTGTGTAGCAAACGACCTTAGTGCTCCGATCCTGCCTGTCTTCTAGGATCTTTGTGGGGGTTTATTTTAACATGTAGCATGAACAAAAAAATACGTTAGGATAATCGAACCGCAAAGCATCCTGGGGAAAGATTCTTCATGGTAACGGCCTTTTCTTTTATACTGTGTGTAGTTATGGCATGCAGTGCTCGACGCTGTTACGTTACTATCGAAGGCAAATATGCTATGGAATTTACGACCGGAATAATTAAATTAACTAGAAATCATCTGGTATTAATAATTCTGCAAAATGTTAAATCTCTACCAGAGAGTTTCTGCCATACGGGTGGTCCTTATATATTTTTCTGCGCCTGATGTCTTCAACTATATATTAGCTTTCCCCCCTCCCCCTTGAATGAAGCTGCTATATAATATGGCTTAACATCACTTTCGCCAGAGTTCCTACGATTTGTTTAGAACCTTGTAACACAGTCAATATTAAGATAGCATAAGTGGCGAGAAACGTGGACTGGATCTGTAACCGGAATAGTATTCTTCACTGGAATGATAGACAATACACAGACTGTTGTACGTCGCAATTGTATTCAAGAAATCTGCTATGGTGAGGATGCGATCGTCGCAGAGTGATTCCAATACACGATTAACGTTGGCTGAGAAGTGAATTGGTCTGCCTAAGTGCGGTCCGTGCCTAGCGAAAGCTTACCAATCGATAGCGTATGTAAATTGAATATGTACATTATGTACTGTCTTCCCACCATCTTACTCGCGTTAGTTCGCAACTTAAATCATGCTTTACCCTAAGATTTGAGAAATAACAGAGAGAATCTGAGAACAGTGACAGCTCTTTTCTCGGGATACCAGCCAAAATTGGAAATTATATAGCTACACAGTTGATGCAGTTAAGGTGAGAAGAATACTAAGAACATCACTGCCAGGTTTGAAAATGCCACGTGAGGTTTTCAAGAAAACACGCGAGCTTACCGTATCTGTACTGCTGCCAAATATTGAGGCGAGTTTTCGATCGACGTGAGATAGTTGTATCAGATATGATGCACTTACCGAGATGGTCATCCATGCTCAAGACTCAGAATACGTCCTAAACGCATTCATCAAATGATGTGGTACGGCTGAAGAACTTAGGCTGGTCGCTTGAATATGTTGAATATGTTAGTTTCGGAGATTCCCGACCTCGTGGTGGTTGCATCGGCCGACCTACCACCATCAGTCCTTGAAACGGCTGTCAAGCGGCACATGGATGACGCCAATCAAATCATTAACTCAAGGGAGAGGGGAAGCAGTTAATAAAAGGTTCTAGAACAATTCTTATTTGCTTGACAAGGCTTTACGTACCGAGGGATAAGTTATGACGATCATAAAAAATTCAGGCGTTATTTTTCAGCACGTAACTATATTTTTGCTAGAGGTTACAGAGAGCCGAATCGGCTCATTATACTGAGGCGGTTGATTGTTCAAACTAGAGACGTAACTGAATTTCACAACTATCGCAAGGACAATGGTTATTGGTACGAGAAATAGGTATAGGTTTAATGTCAGGCCTAAATAAAATAACAAAACAAAACAAATACACATTAAACATTCTAGTAAATGGTGATTTAAAATACATCATGACTTGAGACTGACCATTTTAGCTAATTGTGCTTCCCAGCTAGTGGATGCCAATTCATGCAGGCCACTTATAGGCTGCCTGGGAGGCTCTTAATCCCTGTCTGGATTGCATGCGCAGTCTGCCTTACTGAGCTTACTGAGGGCGTTGCTGCGCAATCATGAAATACATACAACAACGCGATACCACTGTCTGGCAAATTTGGAAAAAAAAAAAAAAAAAAAAAAAAAGAAGAAAATACCCTCTGTGTTGTCCGCTATGGAGACCGATAACAAAGAGTCAATTATCGATTACCAGTATAAGGCACTAAAAGATGGCAAATCGATCCGACTTCTGTACTTGCATACATCTAGTTCATATCACCAGCTGCCTATCGAAGTCTCCCTTTGCGAATTCCCTATCGATGCCTGTCCAAGCTTTGGCGCACTGTCTTATGCATGGTCAATCGACGATGACCCTGCTCCATCAGATCGAGAGTTGCTCTGCGACGGGGCGTCCATTAAGATAACCAAAAACTGTGAGGCCGCACTGAAGAGATTACGGCGGCCAAAGCAAGACCAAATACTTTGGGTTGATGCGGTTTGTATCAACCAAGCCGATCTTGAAGAACGGAGTCTCCAAGTTCGCTTGATGCGTCAGATCTATACCCAGGCGTCTTGGGTCGCTCTGTGGGTTGGCGACGCGTCTACAGCCGTTGACGAGGAGTCTGGCTTGCCGCTTTCGGATCTGGGGATGGACTTTATCCACGACTTTGCAGTCGAGATTGCGGAACGAACGAATTCAGGGCAGGCTCTAAATGAAGGACCTCTTTATCAAGAGTTTATAAAAGACCGAAGGGCATTCCAATATTCTGAAAGCGAAGTCTTCGCTCCCCGAGTGCGCGGCGTCTGGGATGTCTTTCACCGGAATTGGTGGAAAAGATTATGGGTTATTCAAGAAGTTGCTTTGGCCACAGATCCAACGTTATTATGTGGCTTAAAAGCAGAGACTTTCCACAATCTCAAAATTGTTATCAAGGCCCTGATCAGATCTGAGCAGCCGGTCGACGTGATGGAGTTTAACAGCCTCTTCATCGCACACACGTTTCATCAGTTTCATGTAAGACACATGATTGAAACTGGTACAATGGGCAAGATATCACCACCTGGGATAAAAGCGCTCGATATTCTAAACGCCACCCGCAATACGCAGGCTTCGGATCCCCGCGACAAGATATACGGTATCCTTGGCTTTTTTGGCCCTCCAGCAACGGATACTGAGAATATTTTCCCAGATCCAGATTACACAAAGCCGGCTGCAGAGCTTTATGCTGATGTCTCGCGAGCCATAATACTCAACACAAAGAATTTGGATGTCTTGAGCTCATGTTATGGCTTCTTTAAGTCAACGGTTCCTGATCTGCCATCGTGGGTGGCATCTTGGAACGACACTCCTGTGCAGTATTTTGATGGGAAAATCTTCAACGCAGCAGGCTCCTCCACTGTTGTCTACGAAGATTGCGGCGACAAGCTTCTCATGCGAATAAAGGGCAGGCACGTTGACTCCGTGAAACTCGCAGGTCAGATACCGGACTCCATAGGATATAGCAACGAGGCATGCATCGAGCTATGGCGCTACTGGTGGAAATTTGCCTCTACATTAGATTCCTATCCAACTGGAGAGACTGTTACCGACGTATTTAAAGATACGCTTTGCTGGGGAAGCCATTTAGATTATAGCCGACAGCAACTTGGAGAAAACAAAGAGAGCTTTAACGCTTGGCTTGAAATCCTGACTGGAACAGATGACACGGATATAGCCGCTAAGCGTATTTTCAACGACGGAGAGCCGTTCAAGTATGCTCATAGGGCTACTTCAGTTACTTGGGGGCGTAATATGAGCATAACTAATAAAGGGTATCTAGCTATGGTGCCCATAATAACAAAAGCTGACGACAAGATTGTGATTTTTCAGGGATCCAAGCTGCCGTTTATTGTACGAACCGAAGACGGCACGTCCAAGCTTGGGGGACCTTGCTACGTGCGTGGTATGATGGACGGGGAGTTTGCTACTGAGGAAGACGCAGGTGCCATGGATGAATTAGAATGGTTTACGTTGAAGTAGCAAACTATTAGTCTTGCTGGGCAATACTACAAAATAACGACATGAACCTCTGATGCTTAGTTAAAGGATGTAATTTATCTTAATATTGTTCACGGACGGCATTGGGTCAAAGAGGAGCTCAGTGCATAATACTGCTAGTAGTAAGATCTAAAGTACGGAGAAGCTGATTAAAGCAGATATAATAGCAGTGAATGTAATGATTCATTACAGAAATGCTACGTGAAACTTTTGCCATCTGCCAGCGAATATCTCTGGCGGGAACTGGATTACTGTCACACGACCAATTCTTAATCGTAGCAATACATTCCAGGGGCATCTAATTATCATCGACTACCCCATCCCGTTGTTCTTCCAACTAGACTAGCTCTTTCGCCGATTGGTGACTAGAGGAACCATTGCATGTATAGTATCATATCATTTCCGATATTTCGAAGTGCCGTGGATCGAGTTGCTTCCGAGCGCAGATACGACGTATTCCGGGCTGCGAACTTTTGATAGTGGGGCCGGGTGCACGCCAGCGATGGCCCGATGATCTGCTGCTACCAATCACCATTCTTTCAACTGCGCTTACAATACTCAAACTATAGCTGCGGAGGTTTGCCCTAGAGATGCAAGCTCTTTGGCGGCTTAACGCAGCTATTCTACCCCGAGTAGCGCGGATTCATACTCCACGTCGGCCAAACTATAGCTGGATACCGAAGATCTGCGCTGCTTCGGGATTTACACGGCCCTTGCTGAATATTAGATCTATGGCGACAGTGGGCTGGTAAAAGGCGACGTCCTCCGGTGGCCGGCCGATTAGCCTATACAGCTGAGTAAGAGGCATTTTACTGTTGATTATATGTAGATTCGATGCGCTCTTGGTTCTGTTTCTCTCTCATTTTCCAGCTTACTCCCGTTAGACATCCGGAATATAGGTGGTATTCCGGCATCAGTAGTGGCTAGCCCACGGCGACGTGAATCTCAGAAGATCCACCACGGGCGGTGCCCGCAGATATTTCTTTTGCATCCGATCTATCAATAAAAAATTTTGTAATTTACTCTTATGGATCACCGCCATATCAGCGGTTCCCGCTTACGCAAATCTGCTCTCTGGCTATACCATGAGTCTGGAGTACGGTCCGTCCATCTCACCGGCCGTGATGCATGGTTCATCATCTTGGCGCGGACATGCCGCATGTTTGCCTTTGGAGGAGCTTCCCTCATCATGGCTCTCTTCTTTGCTACCCTGGGCTTTAGCGACCGTCAGCTCGGGCTCTTTATGACAATGACGCTGGCCGGGGACACTGTGCTCTCCTTTGCGCTCACTTTCATAGCGGACAGCATCGGTAGACGCCGCGTCTTCGTCGGCGCTGGCCTGCTAATGGCAGTCTCCGGGCTGGTATTTATCTATTTTGAGAATTTCTGGATCCTATTGCTTGCAGCCGTCGTCGGAGTAATATCTGCCACTGGCAGCGATTTTGGGCCATTCCGAGCTATCGAAGAGTCGGTATTATCTCATCTCACCAACCCAGAGACACGCCCGGATGTGCTTTCGTGGTATATCGTGACGTCGAATCTTGGATCCGCTGCGGGTATAGAAGTAGCTGGTCGGGTTGTTGAAGCTTTGAAGAATCGTGACGGCTGGAGCGAGAGACTTGTATACCATGCCATCTTTGCGGTCTATGTCGTCATGGGAGTCGTTAACATGGGATTTGCATTCTTCATGACTGACAACTGCGAAATCGCCAAGCCGGCACCGTCGATGGATGACGGAACTCAAGCTGCACAAGGGCTTCTCAGCGAATCTGATGAAGAGATAGAGGGCGAGATGGCACCAGCCAGCACTGCGCCTCCAGTGCCACAGAAGAAAAGCCTATTTTCAGGCATATCCGCGACAACCCGGTCCGTCATGTATAAACTCTGGTTTCTTCTCACCGTCGATTCTTTGGCCGATGGCATGGCTTCTTACACGCTGACCAACTACTATCTCGACCGCAAGTTTCATTTGCCCAAGTCACAACTTGGCGACTACATGTCCGCAAATTACATTCTTGGTGGCATATCTAGCGTCTTTGCTGGCCCCCTAGCACGACACTTGGGACTCGTCAACACGATGGTCTTCACCCATTTGCCATCTTCAGTGGCCGTGCTACTCTTTCCAGCACCACAAGGGATCGTCCTCACGGTGATACTGTTGCTCATCCGGGGTGGCCTAAACAACATGGATCAGGCTCCGCGAGCAGCCCTCATCGCTGCAGTCGTGAAGCCCGTGGAGAGGACGGCGGTCATGGGAATTACAAACGCATTACGGACATTGGCCTCGACAATTGGCCCGAGCATAACAGGAGCTCTTGCAGACACAGACAGGTTCTGGGTGGCGTATGTGGCTGCTGGTGCGCTCCGTGTGGCGTATGATATAGGGCTCTGGGTTTTGTTTGTGAATATGAAGCTTCACTCGCACGAAGAGGGCGGCTCAGGCTCAAGCAGGTCAAGTAGAGTAAATGATGAAGAGGATACGGTAGAGATGGATCCAGTCAAAAGGGAAGAAGAGGAACACGCTAGGTGATCTGCACATATACATGTACCTACAGTCTCTCTTCATGTTATCTTAGAATTAAACTTATATCCTAATCACGACATGTATTCCAACTATCCGTCGGCCATTTTTGCGTGTACTTTGCTCTTTTTGTTACTCCGCGATTGATAAGGCAAAAAGTACAAGTGTAGAAAGATGATGGAAAAAATCGAAACTTGTCAACTTCTTGCTGCATGTATATTTCAGCACATGTACAATGAGAAATGTGTGGTATCTGCATTAGTTGACCAGCAATTTCCATTTACTTGTACTGGCCAAATTATCCATGCATGATCTCAATTTCGCCGAATCTTCTCATCGCCTGCCTGGATAACATGCAGCAGCTGCCTGGTCCAAGTGTTGCACAGCCTCCCACGGAACTGCATGTAAGGCTTCACAGTTCGCGCCCCATTTTCGACGGGTGCTAGTAAATCATAGGCTTCCAATGAATGGCATTGATTGCCATCACCTATGCATTTGGAGCAATTGAAGTATGCAGGGGCTCTTCGGTAATTCGCACTAATTACTGCATGTATGTGCACATGCATGTCATGTATATTGATGTATTCTTCACGATGAGCAGCTGGCGTGTATGCCAAGATGGCATATGTGCCGGACGCTTTTTTTTTGATTCAATTGACGTCGGGGTCTTTTAAGCCCTGCATAATGCCTTGCGCAGCGCCACAGTGTAGCGCTCAACCACGGGAGTTGTACCGGCTAATCTGAGATGCATTGTTGGCGATGGCTGTGCTGGAAAGTAGAATTTGATTGGTGTTGCTGTTTTGTACAAGCTTGCGAGGCTCAGCAAATGCACTCCACTAGTTACCGCCCAACATCGGTGATGCCTACATGTAAAGTGTGCAGTGAGCCCTCCGCCTTGGGCAGAATAATACCTAAGCGCGAAATGGGAGATTTAGCGTTGACGAGTCTCAAGACTATATTTATGGAAATTTTTCAAATGTCAGCAAACTTATCACTCCCCAATATGTATGTTAAGATTGTTTACTTTAATGGTTTCTAGCGATGATTGGGTCTATCAGCTCCATTGAATTACGGAACCGGGAGCGATACCCGGATGAGGACGATTTGGCTAAAAAGCCTGATGCATTTCGTTTGATAACACTAATTCGAGGTCGTTGGAACGACAAGATCCTCTGCACACTTAATGTTTATTATCGAAATCAAGGCAAATACCCTTCATACAAAGCCCTATCTTACGTTTGGGGGCGTGGGCGACGCGACCCACCCAAAATTCTAGTAAATGGCTTTGCAGTTAAAGTGACGAATAATCTGGAGATGGCCTTGAGACATTTACGAGAAGAAGATGATGACATTGTTCTGTGGGTTGACGCATTGGTGACTATTCCCTCAGCTTTTCAATAGAACATGGCAGTATTTATTAACTGGTGCTTAGTGCATTAACCAAAACAGCACTGCGGAGAGATCATCGCAGGTATCTCAGATGCGCAGCATCTATAGTATGGCCAGTCAAGTCATTATATTTCTCGGCGATGGGTCAGATTATAGCACTGCCAAGCCGCGCTCTGGAAAACCTCCGCGCCCTCGTCAGAAATTCGGACTCAAAGACGCAAACGTTTCGTTCGCACGCCAAATCATCGACATTTGGAAGACATCAGCCCTAAAGGAGCCAGTTCAAGCCTCGGAAATGTTTGCTTTCTTGACTATAATTGTTGAATTCTCAGACTCTACGACCCTATTCAAACTCCTAGCAGATATTCCAAAGGCCCATTTAGCTGCGCTTTTTGAAGCAATGAGGTGTACACTGCTTCTTCCTTGGTGGGATCGAATATGGGTTGTTCAAGAGGCAGTTGTCGCCAAAAATCTCACTGTTAGATACAGTAATGTTGAAGTATCCTGGGAATTCTTGGTCGAAGTTGCAAAAGCCCCTTCTCGCTGGGGCACCTCATCCGTGAGAGATCCTAGCCCTATCCCGGCCGATGACTTGAAAGTCTTCAAGCTTTTCTCTCGTGTTTCTGATTTGAATCGATTTCGCAACGATTGGAAATATTTACATGAAGTAGATCTCCTATCGCTTCTCCGATATTTTGGCCACCGAAAGGCTTCTGATAATCGAGATAGAGTCTATGCACTCTTGGGTCTGTGCAACAACGGAACTACTATTCGACCCGACTACCAATTGAATGACACAGAAGTGTATATTGCGCCGGTTCTAGAAAATATAAAATTAACCAAGTCTCTCTCTATTCTATGCGGAGATCAAAGTCGCAAAGGAAGCCAAAATTTGCCATCTTGGGTTCCAGACTGGAGCTCGGTACAAGATGAAAATGATCGCCAGCGAGCTACTCTTTACAGTCTTTATAATGCTTGTACAGTCACGCCAATGCTACTTAATTACCGAGAGCGAAAGCAAGAGTTACTCGAATTTTTTCATTCCTTTAAGAATGCCGATGATAAAGATCATTTTTTACTCCAGGAATGTAAATATTTATATCCACCAGAGATTCAGGAAATATGCTCAGTTTTATCCAAACGCAAAATTCTAAACGATCACCAACGCACATTTCTGTCCTTCCAGAGCAATGACAACGAATATTTGCCAACCCATAGCTTCATCAATTACCGTGGCAACTCTCTGGTGGCAAGCGGAATGAAGATCGGCACAGTAACCGGTATCACAGAACCGCTATATACGCATACCGATATGAATACGGCTGCGAAAGTGATTAAAGGATGGGGAGAAACGAAGGCGTCGGCCCGCGAGGAACGACATGAAGAATTTCTGCATACTATCATGTCTGGGGTCAAGAAAACATCAGACGGACTCCTAAAACGACTTGAACCCGGAGATACGCCAGCTTTGAAATCCTGGTACCGTGAAAACATAGAACAGAGATCGTTAGGCGAAGATCAACACCAAGCAACCGAGTCTCATGATACCAAAGCTGACCCATTCATGGAAGTTTTGGGAATGTCTGCAACGAAACGAACTTGTTTTTTCGTTAGTGAAGTTGATGACTCCTTTCTTGACTGTCAAAAATCGATCGACACGCAGAGAGCATTCCTCGCCAGGTATAAGAAGTTGCTGAAAAGCCATAATGTCGGCAATACGATCGAGAAGTCGATATATGAGAATTTCGAGCAATTAAAGAAAAGAATGGATATCAATTTAAAAGCACCTATTCACTCCTCTAGGATGGGAATTCAGCACAGACGTCTTCTCGATAAACATAAGGCAATCCACCAAGAAATCAAACTCAACTCAAACATAAGAGAGTCTCTCAGGTTATACGGAGAACTTCTGGATAAATATGAAAGCCTCCTCTACGAACGTGCGGAACTCTTTAGCCATGGCCATCTAGGCTTAGGCCCATTGTCAATGAAGGAAGGCGACGAGATATATGTTCTTCCAGGTAGCCGTACACCCTTCGTTTTACGACCAACCACTACTAAAAAATATCAACTGATCGGCGATTGCTTTGTGCATGGTGCAATGGATGGAGAATTTGGTCACATTGGCAGCATTATTGTCGATTATCTTGACTGCTTAAATCATCCATCCAAGGACCCAAGGGAGCATTGTTTTATACCGCCACGTACATCAGGTAGAGAAGTAGGCACAAGGAAAATAGTCACTCTAGAAATAGTATAGATTTAATTGTCATTTACATTATAGAAGTTGGGAATTGAAAGGAAATACATCAAGGGCCGGGTAGCTATATGTAACAGAAGACTCATCCATTCCCCCATAGTCAAAATTAATCAGGAGCATATTAGAATACATAATTAGTTAGAATGACACTGGTAATGATTGTTATTTATGGAGGCACTTATTTTGGCTCGTCTCGTTAAAAAGTCTCTGAGCTGGTTTCATGCTTTACAGGTAAAATGATTGATACAACTTCATTGATAAGGAGTTTGGATGACATGCGCCACGTAACACCCGGTACAAATGTTTGACGATTACGCCACTCTGCTAAAGCTTGATTCAAATTCTTTTGCCTGAATGTCGCAAGGTACATGTAAACTACACATCAATCACTACCAATTTCTACATATGTAGGTACTTTTCTCCAAGCCAAATATCTATGCTGTGCCAATGCGTCGCTATTGCTTTGATAGCCAGCTACCTGTACTCATAAGGCTGTAATCTGTGCGGACCTCGCTATTCTGAAGAATCATCCTGACCGACAGCATTAAACTCTGAAACGTTAGTCGGATCGGCCACAGCACCATCTGCACAATCCACGACAAAGAACTGCTACCGCCATGTCCTCCAGGTATGCCAGTCCAAGTGCCAAATACTATGAGTCCAATAACCCCCACGATGAATAGCACGGCCGTCAGTCGCATAATAGACATCAACAAAGACAAAACATGACCCCAAAAAACAAGAGATCCATTTCTGGTGAGGCTCTGCAGCGGAACTACGCGATTATCTTCCCAGTCTGCAAGAGTCCCGCTGTATGTAACCACATGTGGCTGCATAACTTCGTACGTCTCTGTGCCAGTGAAAAAACCATCGCTCCCACGCGCATGTCGAGTGATTTTTGGCGCCGTTGAAATCATCACGCGCGTCCGTCTACGAATCTGATCATCTTGAGCTTTGTTATGGCCATTTGAAGCCATATTCTTTTCCTCTCCAATACAGAGATAGCTGAACTGGTATGCCTCGCCGGGCTGAACCCATTCGAAAGCGGTAATCTTGGGAGACAGACGGATCGCGACATTGAGCCATCCCGCGAGAGAAACAATGTCGTGTAGTGTCTGATATGAAGACTGGGACGGTGTCTCTGCTCCGATAGCTGAGTAAATTGGCGAGAGCATAGCCAGAATCTGCGCAGTCATTTTGTCTACTCTTTTCCAGAATAGTGGCGGAACGCCGCCTGTTGCTTCAAGATAGACTCTGTTGGTTTTTGCCCGAAGATCCGTCCGTTGGAAGCCTAGAAAGTTTTGATGCATGCTATTAGCTAATCTGTATAGAATATCTCATGAGAAGATGCTATAGAGCACCCATACCTTCGATATTGACCATGAAACTGTCTTCCATCCGCAGCATTTCTGCATGCTCTGATCCAGCCCCAAACAGTAGATCGGAAAACACATGTTTATCTAGCACCATCATCACCACGCCCGACAAAAGGGCGCAGCGATATGGTCGCGATCTCAACAGCTTCTCCCACCCTCCATCTGCACCCGGCCGAGCAATCATGCCTGCATAGCTCAGAAATTCCTTGGAATGTCGCTTCGTCCAGAGTGACTTCTTTGTGTTGGCTGCTTTTTTGCCGACGCCACTTTTGATGAACTTGTTGATTTCGGAATATAGCAATGAGAAGCCTTCTTCGACACCTTTGTCTGGTATTTCTGCCTGGAGCTCAGAGAATGGGAGCTCACGCTGGCTTGGGCGAGTAGTTTTGCGTTGGCGAGGCATCTTTGCTAACAACTCAATATGCAGTCTCCAGCACTGCAGCTAGTCCGTGTTATGCCTTCTTTTCAGGCTCAACTCAAATTAAAGATGTTAGAACGACAAGAATTCCTAGTTGAAGAGCTTTTGCGATTCGGTGAAGAGAGTAAAGTTTGGTCTCATATCTGTCAGACTAGCGGTCAGGTCCTGCATCTTATCCTACATATGTACGCTTATATCCAGGGTCTCTTCGGAGCCTCCTGCAAATAGTAACGTCTTTCACAACAAGACTCTTTCATTTGATGGAAACGTGGCCGATTGTTCTACGTACAGACATGCTTCATTCTCCCATTGTCATGAAGAGGGGCGTTCAACGTCGGGCAACTTTTTGAATGAAAGGCTCGTGTAGTGATGAAAGCCAGCCTTAGATACAGCAAAGGAGACGAACGCAAAGATGGATAAAGAGAGTCTTTGGGACTATTTTCAGCCTCTGTATGATGAGAACAAGCGCGTTTTATTTTAATGAACCATCAATCGGCCTTGAACAATTTATGTATGCTACCACTAATGCTGCTAGACTGAAAATAGCCGCCTACGCTTTCATAGCCTCAACTCCTACGAGACCCACACATACCGTCATAATTGATTTCAATCATTGTAATTTATGAAACGGAGGACAAAAAGAGAAAATTGGTATTGCCTGGTATACAGAGAAAATGGGGAAATTTTTTAAGCTTTTGTAGATTAGAAATGCTCTTTCCAGAAGCGAAACTCGACCTCGCGAGCTGTGGCGGCTTTACAAGCAGTCTTGATATCACGAGCTGTAAAGATTGTATGTTAGCAAGCTTGTACCATTTTTGAGAAATAAATTGTGGAAAATAGTAAATCTTACCTGCAACAGAAGGACCACAGAAGTAAACACCAACCGTCGTCTTCATGCTTCCTTCCAGACCACCAAGGTACGTTCTGTCAAGAATACCATCACGCATAGTTTTGAAAAGACGAGCAAAGTTAGGTCGGCCGAATTGTGTCCGCGACTTGAGCTCAGTAAGAGGATCCATCTCAGCACCCACGCTGTTCAGAACAATATTCTGGGTAGTGTCCATGTCCAGTTTTTGAGTGAGGTAGGTGTGGATCTTGAGGAACTCAAGGCCAGAGCTTCCAGGAACGCGAGCTGCCTCGTTGGACTGCTCTTCGAGGGAAGAGAGCAGGGTCTGGAACCACTCAAAGGAACCGGTATCCTTGCAAACCCAGATGAACTCCACACGACGAAGACGAGTGGGAGGGTTGGGAGAGTTTCGGAGATGCCAGATGTTCTTCAGGATGGAAGCCCAGGGAGTGACACCAATACCAGTACCGATAAGAACAGCGATTTCGTTTTCAAAGACATCTTCAGCCGGAGCTCCATAAGGTCCATCGATTCGAAGAGCAGGCATCTGCTGGCCATTTTGCAAAGCGACCTCGTACATGCCCATAGGATCGACGCCGTCGTAGAACTTGGCCTGAGCAGCACCAGCACCAAGGGCATCTCCCAGCTGACCGGTGAAGTCACCAACCTGTCGTACGTGGACGGAGACATAGGGGTCGAATGGGCATGAAGTGATGGTAAAGGGGTGCCACTGGTACTTTGAAATGGAAGGCACCTGGAGGAAGAGCCACTGGCCAGCCTTGTACTTGAAGGAAGGCTTGTTGAACTGGATCTCGACAACGTCATACGGGTGTCGGATAACACGAGTGATCTTGGTCTCCCGGCGAGCGCGAACTTCACGGTACAGACGCTCAAGCAGGTAGAAACCTCCAGTCCAGAGCTCCCATCGCCATCCGAGATAACCGATACAGTGCGACCAGTATTGCTCTCCCTCAAAAGGCGAGAATGCATTGACAGAGTCGCGGACGAAGCAGCCAACGGTGTGGGTATAGAGAGCCAGGAAGAAAGGAATGAACAGGTGGTGGGTGTACCAGAAGGTCTCGAAGGATTGTTGACGGATACGGGCATGAGCAGTGGTGTACATGAGCATCATGCAGAAGAGCATCACATGGCCAGTAATACCACCAGGCTGAGCGTAGTGGATCTGCAGAGCGGTAACCGGACGGATCTGTCTCTTCTCGACGTTGTAGAAGTTGACATAGTGAGCTGAGGTGTGGAGGATGCTGAAAAAGAGCAGCGCGTAGGCAATTTGGCGGTGCATCCACAAGTTCTCATCAAGCGGGAGGAAACGAATCTTAGGTCGGATCCAGCGCATAATGGTTCGGCAGACGGGAAGCAAGATCAGCATGCAGTCGACGCTGAGGACCAAACCGGCACCTCGAGAGATCCATACGGAGAATTTGAGCGTGTTCAGACCCGCTAATCTGATATCAGCGGCTTGTTTCCACCTGATACGTTTGTTAGCATTAATAAAAAAAGACATTTGCTGCGACGAAGCAGGAATATGGAGTGATCAAGGAGTAAGGCTCACCATCCATAAGCAAAAATTCCCCAGTGGAAAGTCCAAAACAGAAAATGATAGAATAGCTTCTGGGTAGTGAACTGCTTGCGAATCAGCTCGCCATATGAGAGCTGGCCAGCCATTTTGGACGTTGGTTCTGAATTTCCTCCTCTAAACGATTGACGAGTTTTTGAGATTAAAGAGTCGACCTGCGACAATACTGAAAATTATGATAGGACGCCTCGGGATTTAACCCAGTGCAGGCAGTTTTCCAACTCTGATATTATCCTTGTTTCGTGTTTCCAAACCCAGGTCCCAAATATCGTTAACGCGATTGGAATAAGAGAAAGAAATCCGAATCGGAGGTGATTATAAGTGAAAAGAGTGACCTGAGCCAGCAGTTGACAGAAGGGAAAGCCCAAGAGGACGTCCGAAGAAGAGAAAGAAAATACAACGAAAATAAAATAAAAACAATGGCTGCTTTTTTGGCCCGCCTAACGACAGCTGGAGGAAACAAGAGGGAAGAGAAGAAGCCAAGAACACGGGAGTCGCGGTAAGATAAAGAGAGCTCCTGGGCTGGGCTTGAAACACGGACAGGCTGGAGATGGCCGGCGGAGATGGACTGGCAGGGCCCAAAATTCCTTTGACTTCGGATCTGGACGTTCCCTGTAGCATGAAACAGCAGACCCCTGTCGGTGCGAAGCGAACCGCCGCCAAATGGCACGATGAGGTCTTGCGGCTGCTGGCTTGAGCCTCTGGGTTGGATCTTTGGCGGCAGCTGTGGGCTGACTAGTCCTTGTGTGGCCTGCACAGCTCGCGGCGAGCAGAAACAATGAAGACGAAAACCGCAAGCCGGGTCCAAGATCACGGCGCAGACGTGAGACTCTCGTGGAGCGAATTGTGCGACGGCGAACGTGAGAGCCGGCGGAGGGGACGCTGGTAGCGGCGTTTCGGGCGCTGGCTCAGGGGGGCTTTCGGGGGGGTCTCTTGGGGCGTGTGCGTTTGAGAGTGCGCTGAAGCTCTTCTGCACTTTTGGGGACGTGCTCCTTGACGGCAGAATCCAGAGATGAAGTTGGATGAAGATCGATTGCAAATGCATGCAGAGATTTGGACCGACCTGCGGCGTATAAGTCGCCTGCAGGTCGCATTGCCGCATCGCTCTGTTTTTTGTATTTTTTGCACCCAAAAATAGCTGCCAGCAGTCACATCGAAGCCGCCGGCCCTCCTCTGTCCTCCCTCCTCTTCGAGGCTCTGGGCGCGCTGTGACTGGCCTGCTGGAGTTAGTCCGGCAGCCGCTTGGCGATGCCAGTCCTGATGCGGCAACGGTCCCCTGGGCTCGGCGCTTAAAACTTCAGTGGCTGGCCAACAAGAGTCTAGAGTTGCATCCCATGGTGATGGGCTGCGGGGTCTGCCGCTACGCAGAGGCCTTCCACAATGCCAAGTGAAATATCACTGCGACGCAGGGTTTGCTCTCTCTGTTGATTTAAAACCAGGCATCTCGTGATGTCAGCTTGGAAAACGGATGATTTGGCTATTGAAATCGAACGATGCCGTCACTGCTATAACAGAGATGCCCTTTTAATGGAACCATCCAGAGGAACTTTGGAGCGCTTAGCTTAGTTGACACTCCGTGATTTTGAACTCCCCCCCCCCCCCTTCTAAATCTACACTGAATACTACATGTATCTACAGTACCTGTATGCTACGGAGTACACTACCTACTGCTAGCACCTTACAGCTACCAATTTCAATGGGCATTTAATAAAAAGTGCCGCTACCGGCTATCTGGTTGCGTGCCGTGTTGACTTCTCCTGGCGCCAATCTCTCCTTTCCCCATGCCGTTGGTCGATGATTGTCTCGGCATCCTCCATCAGGTAATGTATAAGATTGTCTACCATCTACATTTGATAGGCTTTGATCGATTCTGGTTAGCACTACTCCGTACTATTCGAACCTTCTTTCCTTTCTTCATTTTTCCCTTTTTCTCTCCTTATTCTTCGCTTTGGATTGGACGGAGGCTCGGGGACGGATACAAGAGATAGCTGTGGATGCTCAACTGAAACGAGTAACAACCTAAAACATTAGTCTCTTAATAGAGGGACGCCCTGCACCTTTGCGTGCAAGCATACTGGCACTACTGTCCTATTATGGAGAGGGCCAATTTGGATAGCATTTGACCGCCTGCTTAGACGAGAAGCCAGTCCCACGCCGAGAATTGGGGCCTCTCCTTAGATTTTAGCGCAGCTCCTGCGGCCCCTCCCATCCGAGGCCATGAAACGCTTGGGATGGTTCCTAGCCAGTTGGGCCAGCATTGGCAAAGCGGCCGCTTGCAGTGGCAGACGTATACAGGTCGCATTCGATACTTTGACAGGAAACATTCATGCGATGATGAAAGAATCGTACGATTTTTTCTGAAAGCCCTCCAGTTCTCCCACGTGGCGGGATCCAGTAGGTTTTGCTATAAAACGGTGCCTCTCGCATGCCCAAAATCGTTCTTTTCTTCTGTTTTGCGTTTTGTCGGCTCTTCCCATTTCCATGCTACGAATATGCTCGATGCCACGACCTCGCACTCGCCGTCGCAAGCCGAATACGAAGTACGACGTGCCGACGATACTTGTAGTAGCGTGTAAGAGAAGGGCAGAACAGGAGTCGCTACGCCAGTATCCCGAGCTCGTGCGGCAGAACGCAAAACATAGTCCAGGGATGCTCGTCGCTCATTAGCTACATTGGACACGATTAGCCACTCGGCTGGACCAAAAGAAAAGAAAAGGGACCGTGAGAGGAGTTGGCGACAGGATGATCATTCAGCACGCGTTTTGAACACTGCGAATACTAGAGGCCCCCGAAAACCGGTCAAGTCCTCTGAAGGATCCAACGCATCTTTGTGGCACCATCCCTTTCTGCCTTTTGAGACTCAGTCATTCGGAGCTGCTCATCGCCATCGGTAGTCTAATACCCGCTATTTTCGCAAAAGGCCCACAACACCTGCTGCGAGCAGTTCTTACGACCAGAGCTATCAAATATTGGTCCCGTCGCTCAGCGCTTGCGACCGACTTGCGCGCGCTGCAAGTGCCTTCATATTGGAGACGCTGTGGAAGTGCTTCCTCATATTCCAGGCATGCCCACTGCACAGCTACCCGTAGGAGTGTGACCGGCCTCACCTGATGCTCTTTTCGGCATTTGTTGAATGCTTGGTGCCGTACAGAAGCTTGGCTTTCAAGCACTGCATGAATTTAATGACGTTCCCGCCAAAGTCTTGCGTAGAGTAAATACCAATTGTGCCTATTTGTGCGTCTTGGCATTGACCACTGGGCATTAAGGTTAACGTAATTGCGGCAGCATTGCCAAGCCTCTTGTGTGGGGAGTGGCCACACTGCCGAATAGATGACGTAGCGGTGATATTCTTATGCTCCATGTCGATCGCAGACTGGATGACAGCACGACGCATGAAAACTGACATCCTGCGAGATTGAAAAAGGGCTGCTTTGTTTTGTTTGACAGATAATTGTTTAACCAATTTCAATGCGTATGCATGCTTCTTTGCTGCCAAAACTCTTGTCCGTCTCCCAGTCCATGCCTACGTGAATGCGTGCACGTAGAGCTCCAGAATGGCTGGCAAAGAAGATTTGGAGCATGCCCATCGCTACGAAGCTCCGTATAGCGAAAGGCACCCGATCCCGACCATTTCCAAATATCGAGAAGAAAAGGAAGCCAGGCAGCAAGATGCGCTGAAGAGCGATACTGATGCTGTCGACGGCCGCGCTTCCCAGGTCGGAGACGATTGGACCCAAGATGGCGAAACAACCGATTCTCAATCCGAATCCGAAGTAGAAGCAGTGGTAGAAGAACCAAACGCGGAGGCCCCGATCGAAGACACCTCGCAGGTTGATCCCGCCGCATTCAATCCACGGAAGCTGAAAAAGGATTCCAAGAAAGAAAGGGCTGAGCGTGAAGTCACCGATCCGGTTACTCACCTTCCAGTCAAAATACATGACTTCACAGATAATGCTCTGAAGGAACTGGACATAAACGAGGACCCGTTTGAACAGACAAAAAGAACGGCTTCTGGAGTCGATGAAAAGAACAAGTCCGACTCCGAACTGCGGACGGAGCAAGACAGCTCGCAAAAGAAGCACCATGCTCTGATGAACCAATTCCCACCGCCCGACCTCGATTTCCTACGTCAAGAAATTGTCAGTGCAAGCAATCGTGGGTTTCTGGCCTCACTCGCCGGCGCATGCAGTATTCTGGCTATCGTTTGCGTACTCCGCGAAGCAATACCTGTAGATATGCGTCAGGCGGTGGGTTGGGCAGCCACTACTCAAAGATTGCTGCTATGGTCCTCTCTGGTCGGTACTGGGGCTGGAGCATTTGGCGCTCTTATTTTCGGCGTGAGAGAATGGACCGCCAAGAAGGTCGACAACGCCATCCAAGACGAGGTTTGGCGGTCGCAGCGCCGGCAAATGGAGAAGGAGACGAAGAAGTACGAGCGAGAAACTACTCTGTGGCTTAATTCTTTGCTTAGTTCCGTGTGGCCGCTTATCAATCCCGACCTATTCACTAGCCTAGCAGATACATTGGAAGATGTGATGCAAGCTTCTCTGCCAAAGATGATACGAATGGTGAGTGTGGATGACATAGGCCAGGGCAGCGAATCGCTGCGCATTCTCGGTATCAGATGGTTACCTACTGGAGCAGCTGCTCAAGCTGTAACAGAGGACGGCAAAATCATCTCAAATAAAGACAGAGACAGCCGCAGCAACACAGGCCTGGAGGAAACTGAAGAGAATGACAGCCAGAGTGATCAATTAGTCTTTAGAGGTATGGAAGCCGAGGAAGGCGATTTCATCAACTTGGAAGTTGCCTTCGCATATAGGACGCGATCCACCAGCAAATCCTTCAAAGAGAGGACCAAAGACATGCACCTTTACTTGGCTTTCTACCTTCCCGGAAACCTAAAGATTCCCGTTTGGGTTGATCTGCATGGAGCTGTTGGCACCATGAGACTGCGACTACAGCTCACACCGGATCCTCCATTCTTTGACCTCTGCACTTTGACACTACTCGGCCAGCCCAAAGTGAATCTGAGCTGCGTGCCTCTGAGTAAACATGGCCTGAATATCATGGACGTACCATTCATCAGCAACTTCGTGCAGTCGGCTGTTGACGCCGCAATGGCGCAGTATGTAGCGCCCAAGAGTCTCACGTTGAGCCTCAAGGACATGCTCGCAGGAGACGATTTCAAGAAGGATACATATGCAAAGGGTGTTCTCATGATACATATCAAGCGCGGCTACGACTTCAAAATGGGAGATTCGGGCATACCGCTTCTCAAGGACTCCAGCTCAGATCCCTACGTATCTGTCGGGTGGGCAAAGTTTGGCAAAGTCCTCTGGAGCACACGCGTTCTGCTCTCTGAAATGGAACCATATTGGCACGAGACTTGCTTTGTACTGGTCACCCCCGAAGAGTTAAATATCAATGAAAGACTGCGGGTACAGCTTTGGGATTCTGATCGGTTCACAGCAGATGACGATCTCGGGCGGATTGAAGTCGATCTTAAGGAGCTTATGCAAAGGGAAGAGTCGAGCGGACGCATGTGGGATCGTACAGATGGCTTCAGAGCGCTAAGATCTGGTGATGATATGCCGGGAAAGCTCGAGTGGAGTATTGGGTACTTCTCTAAAGCAAGGATCCAAGAATGCCAATTCAACCAGCAGACTCATGATCCGGAAGTGAGAACAATGGAGCAGCTAAAAGAAAAAGTCAGCGAGAGATGCGAGCGGAAGCTTCGAGAGGCCATGTTGAAACGTGCGTCCAATCGTGATGAGAGTGAGCTGCAGCAGCAAAAAATGCAGGAGCTCAAGGCAGAACAAGACGCGATGATCATTTCGGCACCACCACCAGATGGATACCCAAGTGGCATCTTTAGCCTGCAGATTCACAACATTACCGGCCTCGAAGTCCAGAAGCTTAGCAAAAATCTAAAGGATAAAGATGGGAGTGCGAGTGACGAAGAGACCGGCGAGGGCCTGCCAAGCGCCTACTGCACTGTCATCGTCAACCATAATAAAACTTACAAAACGCGTACCAAGCCCCAGAATTCAAAACCATTCTTCAACGCAAGCTGCGAGCGCTTTATTCGAGACTGGAGGTCTTGCGAAGTATATGTCTCTGTTAGAGACGCGAGGCTGCACGAAGACCATCCGTTATTGGGAATTGTCCACCTGCGTTTAAGCGAAGTATTTGAAAAACGCTCGCAAAGAAATGGATTCTGGCCCTTATCTGGAGGCATTGGATACGGAAAGATCAGACTGTCCATGGTATGGCGCAGCGTCCAGCTTCAAGCTCCGCGCAACCTGATCGGATGGCAATACGGTACAGTGAACGTTCAGCCAGTAGCAACAAGTTCAGATTGCCCTCCAGATTTGCAATACGCAAAACTCAAGTTGAAAACGGACATTGGCGGTGCGAAAATGTATTCTCGTGGGTCCGATGAGGCGATGTGGGCTGCAAGCAAAGACCGACCTCTGAACCTCGCGGTCCAAAAACGACATAGCAGCTGCTTGTCTATTGCCTTCAAAGACAAGAAAAAAGTGATTGGAGATAAGGTTACCGCGTTCAGTGTGTGCTGGTTGAAGGACATCCTGGACGGAGAAGAGATAACTCTCGAACTGCCAATCTGGAAAGGCGATATTAAAAGAGCTACAGCGTGCTGCTTGGACCAATGTGGAGAACAAGTCGGCACTCTTAAGCTGAAGGTCACATTTTGGCCGGGGATGGTGGGTTTGACTTTTTACGTACCCTACAGCACTACGAAATAATGCTAACTTTTTCCCTCTATAGGGCGCTGCACATTCTGAATGGGCTAATAATAATGAGCATACACGAGATGTTGTTGAGGTAATCGACGCCGCAAGGGACAGCCTGAGAGATGACGAGCTGGAAAGAGAGGCAGGAATTGTGGATGAGGAAATTTCGAGTAATAGCGATAGCTCCGATGAGCATGAGTATATACCAGATGGTAGCGCAGAGCATAAACAAGGCCCGCTAGACCAGATACGAGATTATAAACGGAGAGATAAAGCCCTACACAGACAGCATCGTGGGCTTATGCAATGGAAGGTAAGAGGCGGATTGCAAAGAGAGAGCAGCATGACATTAAGCTAACCGCTAACGCAGGTGCCTCGGACAGCTAAATGGGTGAAACATAAGGTGGACAAGGCGGAAAATAGCGTCACTAGCCTGCTTAATCACCGTAGCAAAGAGGCTGGGATTGAAACTGAGGTATAAACGTCGGCCTCTAGAAAGAGGTGGATATCATGTAGTATTCAGAATGATCATGGTCTATGATATAATGACAGTGGCTAATCTAGCGATAATGACAACTTTGATGAACTACACCTCCAAAAGAACCCCATTCAAACGAAAGAAAAGACTTTGTGAAGAAAGACGCAAGTGGAATCATGATGATAAAGACCCGGCCCCTGCATTTCTAGTCGTAGTATTTATGATGTAACGGATTTTTCTCATAGTGTTAAAACAGTTGACCTTTATCCAGTTAGTCATCTCTCGTAGACGAGTCCCCGAGCAAGTCGGCTTCTGAGGCTTCGTTGGGTGGTGAAGGAGTGGCGTTGTTCTTACGGTTCCGCTTCGATCGCACCTCAACGGCCACTGGCTGTGGGGTAGATCCATCGTCTTCAGGATCATCGCGGTAGCGTTCAGGATCGTCCACGTCCAGATAAGTGGAGGGAGCTAGCAAGGGAGCATCACTGCGGTGCCACGGATATCTTAGACCCAAGTTCAAACTCTTAATACTCTGGAGCCAGGGGATCTCAGGCAGCGAAGAAGGCCGTAGGTGGTGTTCGCAGTTTGGACAATCTGGAGGAAGGATTTGCCAGGCAACCCACTGTAAGTAGCCGTGAATAGCGAGCCCTTGGTAGACGGCCCGAGTCGCAGCAAGGAGATGGCAGAAGCTGCACGGCGCACATAAGCATCTACTCCTTCTGGAGGGCGTGGGGAGACTCACAAGCTTGTCAGGATAGGCAGAGTCGCATAGGCAGCCAGCATACTAAGCGAAGCTGAGCGGCCGTGGTGGGTCCATGTAAAGACGAGGACGATCATCAAAGCTGCAGCAAGTATGATGTCGTGGAGAAACACAACGATGGGATGCGTCAAGAAAGCGCGGAGGGAAAAGGCGCCATGCTGCGCAGACCCAACAGACTCGACGTCGGCATCCCGGCTGTGGCTTCTAGCAGTGCGTAGCAGCGCGATCGAAGTAGCAACAGAAAAGGCCTGCGGAATCAGACCAACAGCCGGAACAGGCTTATGCGACAAGACGCCGTGGGCGATGCACAGCGCGAAGGACGGGACGAAAGACGCGATAGCGAGAATGCGCAGCGGACGGGCAGCTGCGTCAGTGACTGATTCCTCCATGACAGGCGGCAGCGGTGAAGAGACGACGGGCTGCAGGTGAATCGAGATGCGAGGCTTGGCCGGGTTTATAAGGAGGACGGTGAGATCTCAGACAGCGGCTTCAGCTGTTTACCTTTTGTTTGTGGCTTGCGCCGTCAGGAGGAGCTCAGCTAATAGCGGAGAAGTTGGCAGCGGAAAGAACCGCCCCCTCTCTAAACCCCCCACGTCTACGTCTTGGGCTGACAAAGTCAGTTAGTGCGTGACCAATGGCGGGTTCTTGTGCCTGAACGACAGTAGCTGATTAGGAGAGTGGGGTGGCACAGAGGCAAGCTTGATTCAACGACATGGCATTGATGTTGATGGCGCAGCAGGAGAACAATGCAAACTGACTGGATATTTACCGGTTATAGAGCGATGTTTGCATAAACTATCATAGATTTAGAGCTGCTATAAGTGAGTAATTGTATTTCAGTTTATTTTTATTATTACCTAGGTATTTCTTTTTTCCCCCAAATGTGGTGGACTTGGGTGAGTTGACAGTTGTTGCAGAGCATAAAACACCAAGCGCAGTGGGCGGCTGAGATATCCCATCGCCATTCAGCCATTCATCGCCATTGACCTCCGCATACGAATTGGCGTCGCCCGGCAGTTGATTGTTTTTAATCTGATGTTGCCAAGTGAAAATCAGTGTTTAGATTTGTCAACTGGCAGCGTAGTGAGGAAAAAGTGAGAGCCATAGCCGTTTCAACTGTCACGACCTGCCAGCTGGCGAACAGTCACGCACACCATAACTGGGGAAAAAGTGAAAAATAACGCTCTCAATTGGCCAGAAACAACTGTAAGTCATGTGCCTGCGAATGTTTGGAAGAAATAAACAAAAGTCCTGCGCCCCCCCTCCGACTTTTTCCTCTTTTTCTCCCCTTCCTTCTCCAGTTACCATCAACACCATCACAAGAAACAAGCAAACCAACGAACGAACGACCTCACCACTGACAGAAAAAATGGAGTTCAAGACCATTTTCCGCCTCGTTCCCTATCCCAAGGACCCCTGCCTTGGCGATATCGCCTTCTACCCAGCCCTATGGGCTCTCCTCTTCCTTGTGTGCCTGTGCACAAAAATGGCCATCGCCCTCTGGCCATCGGTCCTCTCATACCTCGCCTTTGTCTCAGCATTCGCCCCGGACAAGAACTTTGTCGTCGCTGTGGTGTCTTGGCTCTCCCTACTCCGGTACTGGAAGCCCTGGGCTGCCGCGACGGCTGACCTACGTCATGAAGTCGATCTCGCGATTGACTTCATATTTCTCGCGTGGTTCTGGATGGGCGTTCCAGTCATTGTCATGACAATCTGGTTCGGCCTGAAGGGGGTTCTTTGTCTTGCCGCCAACGAAATAGTCCGCCGAATCCATGAAGCCATGGAGTTCGAATTCGACCTCACGGACTACATCGTCAAATGCTACTGCCCCATGGAGCTTGGGTCCACCGGCGATCGCGTCGTGGCCCATCAGATGGCAGCCTCCAGAACTCCAAATCTCGTTCTCGTCTTACGCTCGCGCCCTCCCCTGCTCGGCCTCAACAGTGCTGGTCTTGAGGTTATCCATCGGGGTAAACGATCGCGCCGCTCGGTTAAGCCGTCCTTCACAGCGGAGGAGCTGCAGAGCCAAGAACGATTTAAGAAGTTCGTAAAGGAGCGCGCCAGACAAATCCTGGCAGCAAAGAAGGATGGGAGAACCGCCGTTGAGCAACCGGTTATCGATCTGAAGCCGACAGCATCCGACAGCCAAGAGCACGCTTCGCCTGCTCCATCAGTGCCTCAGTCAAGAGAGACTCCGTCTTCTGCTTGGCCCACTGATCCCGAGTCTGAGAACGTCGCCGACGACGTAACGATTGCCAACGGACGAATAGAGACCGAGGAACCCGCGGACCAGAAGGAGTCCAAAGGTGAAGGTCTGGTCGGACCCGGCCCGAAAGCACCAGAGCCCGAGACCTCATCTGGGGTGGAAGGTAATGGCTTGCTGGAGGGTGACGAAGACAGCCGAGCTGAGGAACTGGAAATCTCGCATGAGAAGGAAGGTGAAAGCTCCGCCGAGGAACCCAAGTCCTCATCTAGGGAGGAGGGTGAAGGCCTGCTGTACGAAGTCGACCCAGCCAACGACCCCGAGATCTCATTTGAGGTGGAAGGCGAGGCTTCGTCGAGAGCCACGGTACCCGAAGCGGCCCAGGAACTGGAGACCTCGTATGAGGAGGAAGGTGAAAGCCTGCTGAACATCGACATAGCCGCAACCGAGGAACCTGAGACCTCAATGGAGGTGGATGGTGAAGGTTGGTCCACCATTGTGTCTGTCGCGGAGTCGTCGTTTTACGATGGGCTCCCAGTCACCGGTGGCAACGAGGACGAGACCTCCTATGGGGTGGACTCCGACGTTGAGATGGCTGATGCCGAGACCCTCGCGGGAATGGCGGTACCAAGGCCATTATATGATCTGTGTTGGGACAATTCCAACTCCCAGGAAACCATCCTGCCATTGGAAGTTGCCGCGACATGGTCTTCTGCTAGCCAGGAGCCTGTCAGCTGCGATGAAACCCGCGGATGGTTGGACGTGTCGCCTGCTCTCCAGAGCGCTCAGACTGTCGTCGAGGCCCAGTAGGACGGGATCGAACTTCAGCCTGACCTCTTAGCAGCCGCTGACTGCCACACATACCTGGAGGCGGATTACGCCAACATGGATCCCGACCTCCTTGATCGTCAAATGGACGATCTTCTTTCCGGCGCTTCCAAAGGAACGCTTCCCACAGCCGTCGACTCCTGGTTCGATGAGTACGAGGCTTGGTTAGCGGCCATTCCTGCGGTCGCCGATTCTACCCCCGCCGCCAACATCGTCGACGAAGATGAAGTGATGGCAGACGCAGGATTGACTCCACATTGGGGATCATGCCGTGACGCGCCTCCTTCCGACACAGACGATGACTCGGTCACCGACGAGGAGCCGCCTTTTTCCGACTTCTTCGTTCCAGCCGGCCTTCGGGTGTCTGGTATGGACCAAGAAATGGCCTCCTTGGACCTAGTTGGCAGCGAATTGCCCGACACCGAGGTAGAGTTCCTAACTGCAGCTTTTGCTCAGTTAGCTTTTACTTCGGTGGAGGACATCATCATCGAGGAGCAGCAACGATCCTTGGAAGATGTCAACATGGTGGAGCTCCAAAAGCCAATTCCCCCTGTCGTCGTCTTTGACATGACAGAGCCGGAGGAGCCCACTGACAAGGCGACGGAGCTCAACAGGTCAATCCCCCCTGTTTTCGAGATGACGGAACCCGGAGAGCCAACCCCAACTGTCGTCGATACGGCAGAGTTCAACGGGTCAATTTCCCACGTCGTCGAGATGGCAGAACCTGAAGAGCCAACTCCCCCCGTCGATGACATCGTTCCGGATGCCGCTCCAAATTCACCCAAGCAGACCGTATCGTCCCCGCGATCGCCTTACATGGGTGAAGATGATGAAGATTGGAACGAGCAGGAGGACTCAATCGACCTAGAAGCAATGTTTGATTTCATGCTGGAGCGTACGCCTCCGCAGACTCCGACTCGCGCTAGGTCGGCGAGTGAATCAGACGCTGGGTCTTCCCTCGCTGATGAGCTCGAGGCCGCCATGCTCGCGGCGACACCACCACAATCGTTCTCACGACCGCCGTCACCAGACCAGGACGTGCCCCTCTGGGCATTCCCTCCTGACATGGTGGACAACTCGGCTGGTACCGCCACCAATCTATCGTTGAACGATCTGTTCAACATTCGTCGGACAATCGAGGCCAATATTCCAACCGAAAGCGCCGCTGACGACCTTTTGAAAAGGGATATAGCCCCGACCGATTGTGTATCTAGATCGGACTCAGTCACAGAGGCGCAAGAGCCACTTCCAGAGGACCATACCCAGGCGAGCAGTTCTAAGTCCCCCGACGACGACGCTACCCTGGCCTCTGAAGCAGTTGTTGGTGAAGAGCAACAACCTGAGACTGAGCTTCCGACTCCGGTCACAATCCCGACGATCATTGTGACTCCTGAGCCGAGCCGAATGAAAGAGGTCGAGGTCGCGCCTATTAGGATGGGAGGACTCCTTCTCCCTGGCGGAAATCTTGTTCTGCCCGCGACTCCCGCCCCCATGACCCCCTTGCCGCAGCAAGTCAAGACCCCCGATGCTGAAGAGCTGAAGAAGCAAAAGGAAGAGAGCCTAGCTCGGGATCTGCGCAACGTCATGAGGAGGCGCCGGCCTGCTTCCATTTTTCACCCGAAGCTACCGCAGAAGTCTTCGGCCCTTATTCGTTCACCAGACGCCGCGGAGAGAGAAGCCCAGCTTCGATCTCCACAGTCCTTCCAAGCCTTGTCTCGCGCTGGAAGCGATGCTGATGGTGGAATGGATGTCGAAGACGAAGGAGCGGCAAAGGTGATTCTCGCTTCGCCCGCCGTTATGAAGGCGATTCGAGCGAGCGAGGCTCAGAGAGAAATTCTGCATGAGGGCAATGCAGACGAAAGATGATGCACGATGCTCATCTTTTCTTTTCTTGTTTCTTAATTTTTAATCATTAATTCTTAATGTTTAATGATGGATGGTTATCAGCAATATTCGAGCTCCCCGACTGCTTTTCGACTTTTGCTTTTTTTTTTTTTTTTTTTTTCGGTCTTCCAGCTATACTCTACATTTACGTCTTACATTTGGAGTTACGGTTTTGAGAATCTTGGGTTTGCGCAGGTCGAATCATTCCTTCTTGTTCAATTTTGGAACTGAGCGCATTCGTGTCGAACAGCTTTTTGGACACCAACCGAGACGATCAACTATTATCTTTAATATTGAAACCAACTGGGAAAGCAGCTGAGCTCGGCTCTTCTGAGGGATTTTTTTTTTTTCGATGGTATTTTTGGGCACCGAGCAAAAATTGTCTTCTGTCAGAGACTTGGGACGCGGACATTATTTATCCAGTTTACGCCGACCAATTTGCTCCTTACGCCCTTTGTCATATGCATATTGTGAGGATATGTTTTGGCACACACTCAATTTTTCCACACCATCTAAGAGAGCTTTATTGCAATTTTCGGGACATGCGATTCAGTAGAACGCACACATCATTGTACAGCACTCTCTTTTGCTTGTCTTTGTCGCTGAATTCGCCTTGCCCCTGTGTCATCAATGGCACATTGATGGAACCAAAGCCTCTTGACTCATAATCATTTGCTTCTGTTTGGACTTTATTTCTACTTTTATCGACGAGCGACTTTCATAATCTTCTTGATCTTGCTCTGCTCAGTCGACCATACAGAAGGGGTTCATATGGGAAAGAGATAATGAGCACAGATGGATCTTCATTCTACTTCAACAAGCATCACCATCTGTGGCTATCCCTTTTCCAGTGTTTAGAATTGTCGAAGACATCTACACAGCTCGACATTCAAGACACAAAACTTCGGGGAATCATTGCGATACATCGGAATGGCAGCGCAAAGCTTTGAATACTTCATTCGCATGCAGCTCCACTCGCAATGATGTCGAACAACGTCGCTTATCCAGACCTCTCACCAAGCGTTCGACAAAATCACATTCAGTCAGCACTGCGATCGGGAAAGCAAAGCAGCAACTAGCTACAGCTACAGTTACAGCACCCGCTATTTTTCCACTAAGATATCATCACAGCATCACATCTGCTTTTGCTTTCCTGCTCGCAATCGTGTCGTTGCCAAGTCAGTTTCACACTGCTCAATCTACGCAACACGGCAACGACATACTGAGAGCAAAAATATTGGTCTATTGTCGGTTTGGTCACATCTTCAACTATATCAAACCACTACTTCAAACAGACAAGACTTTGGTTCGGCAAATTAATATGCAAGCCACTGGTACAAATTAACTACCACTTCATCCAAACCCACTGGCTCAAGCAAACTACCACTTCAAACCAATTTACTGGTTCAAACAAGCCACCACTCCAAACTAAAGCACTGGTTCAAACTAAAGCGCTCCATCGAGCCACACTACCGGGCCAGACCAGACCAGACCAGACCATGCTCCAGCGCAACAAGCATCTACAATCTACACAGCTGCGATATGGTTGTCTTTTTGCTCTCACAAGACCGGGAATCTTGCATTTGATAGCGACAGGGGAACACTTTTTTTTTAAAAAAAAAATTGGTCGCTATCAGACTTCTACTTTCATCAAAGTCTCACAAGATTTCTGGCTTCTGTCAAAGGTCAACTCAATTACTCAAAACCACTTACCTTCTCGCCTTTGACACAACAAATTTGGGAAAATTCACACATCTTTGTCGAAGGATACCTTCAGCAAGCTATTCTACGCTTTATTATCCAGGAATACAACATGATCGCAAGACATCTTATTCCTTGATAAACAAACCACTGGGGAAATTGGGAGGATCTGAAACAACTTCATCTACTTCACATCGGATCCTCCTTTAAACACAAAAAAACATCAACGGGGAAATTCGGGAGAGACTAGAAGCTAGACACAATCTATCAGAATTCAGCTTTCGCTTGGTCTCTCCCAAGATCGAGAAATCGCGCTCAAGTTTCTAGTCTGAAAGCCTGACATCAAATCTCAATTCATCATGGCTGCGCGATAATTCTCAATTGTGTGTTGATCAAACTACCTACTCACGACAACACACAACAAATGGGGACTTGCCAGAAAGGAGAGATAAAAAAACATCATCACTCTCTTCTCATTTCTCGGCACAAAACACATCAAACTCGGAACCGCCAGAGATCAAGACGCAAAACTTCTATACATTACAATCCATCGTCATCTACTGATCTCTCGGCACTCATGGAGGTTTACTGCAACCACGGGCACCTGCGCAGCGATAAACCCAAGAACGTTTTGTGTCACTGCGCAGAATGACCATCTTACCAATTTATTTTCGAACCATTTTACCCTGCAAAAATCTCCGAGCTTCATGACATCAGCCATGAACTCTCATCGGTCACTCACAAGCGATACACTCAAACTTCTCATCGCCTTTCGAGACCACCCAGTGGTGGACATCAACCTCATCCAACAACTGATCCTCATTGGAGACGGCTTAAATCATAATCCAACTTCAAACCACAAAGTTCATGTCGTCTCCATTGAGTTGAACAGAATCCAAACTTACCACTCAAACTAACGATGATGGTTCGATGTCCACCACTCTCTCCAGTCAAAACCAATCACACGCTGGAACCCAATGTCTAGGCCAACCAATATTCACGCCTTTATGACTTGGACAAAATCGGCCTTGGCTGCCCTCCGCAAGGACCGGCACCATACGGGAGGAAAACGAATCTCTCGAATTGGTAACAAGCCATGACCGCCTTCTTGGATAATTTCTCGAAAGATAAATCACTTCAAACTCTTTACGGAATGAATTGAAACAAGACACACACACAACATGGGGCCAAAAAAAAAAAAAATGCCACAGCCCGCCCTCCGAAAGGACTGGCCCCAAACGTGAGGACGAAGAATCTCACGAATTGGGAGCAGGTTCGTTGGCGGCCCCATTCAATGCGAGTCATCATCCAAGAAGAACATGGGACAAAACAAAAAGTGTCTGACTGCCCTCCACAGTGTATTTGACTTGGACTGGCCCCAAACGGGAGGTAAAAGAATCTCACGAATTGGGAGAAGGTCATGACCAACCCATGGACACACAGAACGAGCTCGGAACCAAACCACAGCAAGCAAGCTTCGTCATTTGAGAAGAAGTAGAGATACAGAGCCTTGGGGAAAAAAAAACCCGGCCCATCTCCACTACGTCATCTTCTCAGCTCCGGATATTGAAGACAAAAACAAGATCTTCAATCGGACCCAGGTGCTTGAAACTACTTTCTACCACTCAAATGCGCCTGGAAATATAAACCACAAACATCAAACCACAAATAACAAACGGCATAAAATGCCAAAAAAAAAAAAAAAAAAAAAAAAAAAAAAAAAAAAACACAAAAAAAAAAAAAAAAAAAAAAAAAAAAAAAAAAAAAAAAAAAAAAAAAAAAAAAAAAAAAAAAAAAAAAGAAATGCTGCACAAAAAAAGTGTGGCAAAGTCAACATCGTGGAGGAACACAGCCAGAATATGGAATTTTGGAGTGGAAATCTCGTTCATATGATGGTCTAAAGGCGGTCTATCGTCTACCTAGTATCTACTCTTGACCTTCATCCACCCATTTGAGCTACTAGTCCGCGGCGAGTCTCTCACATCGGGAGTACCGCCATTCCTGCTGCCCACAGCCTTTGGATCAAACACCCCGTTACCCGCCATGCCTTCGTCCTTCCATTCATCATCGCCAAGGACCTCCCAATCAGGAGCGGGCGCGTCTCCAAGAAGCTTCTTCTTCAGCTTATCGGCAAGCTTCAACGGACTAGGCAGTTTGAAAGACTTCATCAGTTCGGTTCCTTCGTCGCTGGCAAGGCTGTAATAAGTCGTGCCATGAGCATACCGGCCGATCCAGCTCTGATTCGAATCAGCATTCTGGCCTCCATTGTTGGCGTCTACTCCTGGCGCGCCCATCGAAAAATTGATGGCACCGCCTTGAAGCTGATTATTCATCAACAAATTATGCAAGTTCCGGCCCATGTTGCAAATGTCCTCAAACGAAGTCTTATCTCCAACAGACACGCCCTGCGAACAGCAGAGCCAAGCGACATCATAAGCAAGCAGCGTGGCGCCTTCGAGGAACAACGAATAGGCAGCAGGATCCTCTTTGGAGAGCTGCGGGAGAGATTTATCCACAAACAGAGGGCGAGGTCGAGGGACATGGGAGTTGGCAAATGGGGACTCAGACAGGGGAGTCGGAGCCAGGAGAGTCCCGGGGAATGAAACGTCGCCATGGCGGTAGGAATTTTGAATGGTGAACATGGTTGGTCGCGGGTAATCGCGGTGAGGGAGGACGATCTCGGCAGGAAGGCGGATGGAAAGGTAGTGGGAAACCAGCATGAGAACATGCGCTACATGGGCGAGAGAGGTTGAGATAACCTCGGGCGAAAGAGCTGGAAAGAGTCAGCATATATATCTTGGGCGGAGGATTTTGGTTCTTGTCGTTTCTCTCTTCTTCTGTTCTTGCCACGGATCTCTTTTCTCCTTTGTTCTCTCTCTCTCTTTTCTGTCCTCTCCTACATCTCTCTCCAGTTTTTGTCTTCTTCTCTCTCTGCCTGTATTTTGTCCCGCAACTTCTTTTCGACTTATACTTATCTCCTCTTGTTCTTTCAATCTTCTTTTCTCTTCTTACTATTCAAATTTCGCTTTCCTCTTTTCATATTTCTTTCCCTCGAGTCCCTTGTTAGGGATAGAGAGGGATCAAAGAGATATATACCATGTATTTTCTTCTTTTTCATATCTCTTTCCCAAGTCTCCTTCGTCAGGGATGAAGAGGGATCAAAGAGATATATATCATTTATACTATACTAGGCAAGAACAGTGAAGAGAGAAGAGGAGGACGACATGAAGAAATGGGGACATTTTCGGAAAAGATGGAAAAGAAGGAAACTTTTGGGTACTCACAGTCCATGCTGGTTAGATCTACAATGGGAATCTTGCCGAGATGATATTCGTAGCGCCCAGTGCCGCCTTTCTTCGTGATCCTTCTAAGACCGTAGAGCCGGACAGCTTCCGTGCACAAAAAGGCACGAGTAGAGGCCATGTCTTCAGCACTTTGCGACCATCGGAATTTGAGCATATGAATCGACTTCTCTACTTCCTTGAGCTGCTTGGCTCTACGCTCGACCATACCGGTAGAGACGGAGGCTAGGTCAGATCTCCGCCGAGCGAGGGCCGCCTTTCTAGCCTGGATCTCATCCCTGGCAGCCTTGATTTCGTCGCGAAGCCTATCCGCGGCGGCGAGAATCTGATCAGTCTTCTGCTCCGCGGCATCTCTCTGCGAAATGGCTTCATCCCAAGTATGCTTGTTTGGTTTGGCTGCATCATCCAGGAGCTCGTCGATCTGCGCCTTGAGCGACTCATTACCGAGCATGAGCTGCAGGTGCTTCATGCGGCCCTCGTAGATCTTGTTGCGGGCATCTACGGCGCAAAAGAACGGCCGGCGCTGAGCGTCATGCGGGTGATGGCAGATGTCGCACTCCATATCGTAGGACCTGATTGCTGCAGTTGCCGAGGCTGAGATGGGGAGTCGACGGATGGTCAATATATATGTCGGGATGATGCAGGCAACTGGCGCTGTCCGCAACGACCGATGACGGAGGGAGAGCGAAGATAGGGCCGAGTTGGGAAATTTATACTTTGGCCCAGTCTGCATATACTTTAGGTGAACACATGTGAATTCTGGGTCTCTGAACGCGAGTGAAGCCTCTCTGGAGCAAGCGATGCGATGCTTGGACGCTTGAATAGAACAGAGGTTGAGGATTGAAGGCATGAGATCACGGGGTGCGATAACGACAGCTGAGCTGTTCAGACGCCACTGCCGGGCCTGGCCACCCCCCCAAGGCCAAGGGCGGAGGCCGCTGTGCTGCGCGGCTCTAGTTGGCCGCCCGCCAGGCAACTGCCCGTAGGGCTCCACTGTGGACAGCGGCAGCAGAGGCGCTTGCGTCTGGAAATCTGGCGAGGTGGCCGTCGATCTCCCTGACACTCTCTCAAATCAAAGTTTCACGTTCAACGCCCGCGGTGACGGTGACGTCCATCACGGCAGCTAGCGCGGCCCATTCACTGGATGAAGCTTGTCTAGTCCATATTTCTTTTTCTTGTCTGTACCATCGGTCTTGATAGAAACTCACATTTGCAGCCACGCTCGCGCTGCGTCCTTTGCACTGCAACGGTCTCCAGAAAGCGCTCCAGATGGCCGAGTCGACGCTCCGCAGTGATTCATTCTCCCTTCCAGCAAAGCAGCCAATACCAAAGCGCAATCCCCTTTTCTACCCCCTTCTCGTCCACGCCAAATAGCTGCCATAGATCACGCCAAGCATCTCAGGTACACGGCAGCCCAAGCATCATCAGTTCCATCATGGCTTCACCGAAATCGCCCAATGGCGCGGGCCGCCTGCCCGTCTATGGGACGAAAGAGGACCTCAACGACAAGGATGAGACAGCCGTGTTAGATTTCGAGAGACCGCGCTTTGCTCACACAAAGACGCCTGATCTATCAGCTGAACAGCATAATGGCAGGCTGACGCCAAACCCTCCTGCCGTCCTGGGTCCTTTTGATTGGGACGACTTTGAGGCGCGGTATGAAAAGGCTCTGGTTGACGCGGATGAGCAAGAGCGAGAAATCCTCAAAGAAGCTGAAAATCTTGCCAAGGTAAGACGTGCTGCCTCTTTTGATTATCTTCTCCCACATATTGTACTAAAGTAAGCAAACTATACGTGCAGTATTTCCAGGTATGGTCATCGGCTGCCTCAGCCCATGATGACGAGCGAGCGGTGAAGCGCTTACAGACGCGACAACGCTTTGTGAACATTTCTGAGGAAAAGATGGCCCAAAAGCAGCAGCATTGTAAGCACCCACGTACAATTTACTTGATGCTTGATTCTAAAACTAACGGTATCGCTAGACGAAGAAGTTGTGCGTGCGTTTGAAAGTGCATTGGCACTCCTTCGGTCTACATAGACTGAGCTGGCTGGATCGCCCGCTACCTCACATCGGCATGAAAAATTGCTTTTAATGCTTCTAGCCGATTCCTATTTTCCCTCCCTCTATCTTTGATATATATGCACGGCGCAAATGTCGGTTGAATGCCCCAATGTTCGATGCGTCTTCGTTATTCGCGTCAGGCTGCAAACTGGGGCACGTGACCAACGAATGTCTTGGTCGCGGTCAGTCCCGCCATTTTACGCAGCGACGGCCTAACCTTACCTCAGCCTACGGATGCCTGCGAGGATGTCGACCAACGAGCTCTCATTTAAAATTCCACAGATATCAAGTGACGAACTATCGGAATTTCACCAAAGTCACTTTTCAAACGAAGCAGTTTCTGATTTTGGACAACATTTCATAACTCTTCCATCACAAGAAGTCTCCGAGGATCAGCTGTACGAGGAATGGGGAGAGGAGGAAGAAGAGGATGATGGCCTCGGCTACTACGAAGACGGTGTAAAACGCACCCTCACAGATGAGCAGATCGAAATATTCAGGCATTCAGAGCTAAGGGAACTCGAACGACAACGAGAAAAACAAGCTCTGGCCAAATCAGGCACGCCGCGAGATGCCTCTATAAATGAAACAGATACCGCTTCTCCCCATGGACCGGGTGCCCCCACAAGTTCTCGAAGCAAGAAGAAAAAGAAAAAGAAGTCCAAGGCGGTAAAGCAAGAACCTAAGCCAGATTTACGGAAGCGAACCTGGGATGTTGTTGAAGCTGGGCTCGATTCACTTGACTATGATTAGAGCGGAACTCATGATATTTGATAGCGATCAGCCCTCTTGGCATTCTCGGGCGAATTTGCAAATTTTGGTTACCAACGCATGGTAATGTACAATCAGCGGTAAGCATTATCCGTCTTTTCTTTCTTTCTTTTTTTTTTGTTCTTCCAGAAACACTTGTACTGCATTATGATGAAAACCTTTTGTATCGTCATCCTTAGTCAGATCGCGCGTGCAAGCCTGACGAACCAACGACCAAATCTGGGGAGGGCTGGCAAAAGCGACATGACGAGTAATTATATAATCTTCTCTCTGAGGCTACATTCGTTCCCTGATAATTGCTTAGGCCGTTGAATTTGACTTTAGAATACAGGCTAACTTCAAAACTAAAGCACAGGGATTGCGTCTGACAAGATATGATGAAGTGGCTGGCCGGTGGAAACATAACGCAATGCAATACTAATATTCATAATATACCGTAATCTTTAGCCAAAAAAGGCCAAAAAAAAAAAAAAAAAAAAANAAAAAAAAAAAAAAAAAAAAACTGATAATTGCACAAGAGGTGACATCGCTTGATAGGTTTGTAGTAGGAGTAACTCTCTTCCAAGATAAGGTAGCTGCTGTAGTTGCTACGCAGCATCTTTCAGTATAAGGATCCAACAACAGCTACAGCCACTGCTTCAGCTTCAGCTTCAGCCTCAGTGACAGAAACAGGTACCGCAGGTAGTACATGCACGCACCCAACAGCAGCTGTATCTACAACGTGCCCAGGCCTTACAACGCCCGGTTCACATGTCTTGATATCCGTGCTGCCCAGCGCCCACCGCGCAACCTGACTCAGCTCAAATCTCTGTCCGCTGGCACCGAAATCAGCTAAGCGATAAGCGCTGCAGCCAATGGCTGATCGCCGTTGGCGCCAATGTGGGGCTGAACTGGCGGCACATCCCATCCCACCTTTGGATTCTCATCTGCATCGCCAGAAGAGGGATCCTCGCCTGAATCACCCTCCCGCGCGGTCATCGTCCAGCGCAACAACATACTTTTTTTTATCCTCATTGCGTCGCGTGTCTGCGACTCCTTCAGCCAAGATGGCGCGCGTCTACGCCGACGTCAATCAGAACATGCCCCGCAGCTATTGGGATTACGACAGCGTCAATATCAGTGCGGAGATCCCCCGTCCCCATGTCCACGCGAGCTGTGTGGTTGGAAGAGACAGGCGCTAACATGCTGAGCAGGCTGGGGTGTTCTCGAGAACTACGAGGTTGTCCGCAAGATCGGTACGTGGCTTGCCTGAATCCGCTCGATGCCGCGTCGCGCGACTGTCCCCTACGCGTAGCTAATCGGAAGATGCACAGGTCGAGGAAAATACTCCGAGGTTTTCGAAGGCATCAACGTCGTCAACTACCAGAAGTGCGTCGTCAAGGTTCTAAAGCCTGTGAAGAAGAAGAAGATCAAGAGAGAGATCAAGATTCTGCAGAACTTGGCTGGCGGCCCCAACGTTGTTGCACTGCTTGACGTCGTGCGAGACTCCCAGGTGAGCAGATGATGAGCATAATTGGCAAGCTATAGATGTTGCGGTGAGCTGACTGAAGGGGGGGGACATCCCTGGCGAATCGCAGAGTAAGACTCCGTCTCTCATTTTCGAGTATGTCAACAATACCGACTTCCGAAGCCTCTATCCCAAGTTCAACGACCTTGATGTGCGATTCTACATTCTCGAGTTGTTGAAGGCTCTGGACTTTTGTCACAGCAAGGGAATTATGCACCGAGACGTGAAGCCTCATAACGTTATGATCGATCATGAGAACAGAAAGGTAAATTCCGGACAGAAAGCACAAGATATGTCATGTTTGCTTCTATGTACTAATTTGCGGGGTACAGCTACGTCTTATCGACTGGGGTCTGGCTGAATTCTATCATCCTGGAACTGAATACAACGTCCGTGTGGCCTCTCGTTATTTCAAGGGCCCCGAACTGCTAGTTGATTTCCAGGAGTACGACTACAGCCTCGATATGTGGAGTCTCGGCGCTATGTTTGCCTCCATGATCTTCCGCAAAGAGCCCTTCTTCCATGGAAACAGTAACTCTGATCAGCTGGTCAAGATCGCTAAGGTCCTTGGCACAGACGATCTGTTTGACTATCTTGACAAGTACGAGATCGAGTTGGACGCACAGTATGATGATATTCTAGGACGGTTCCAGAAGAAACCTTGGCACAGTTTCGTCACATCGGAGAATCAGCGTTTTGTCTCTAACGAAGCCATTGATTTCCTCGATAAACTACTGCGTTACGACCACCAGGTTCGTTACTCGCCCCTTGCCTTTCTTTTTTTTACCGCTTTCCTAACTAACGCCAAATTTAATAACAATAGGAACGTCTGACCGCTAAGGAAGCGCAAGCGCACGCCTATTTCAACCCTGTTCGAGACCCTGAGGTTTTCAAGCAAAACTTGATCGGCGCTAACGGAGGACCGTACAAGTCCTGAAATGGCTACGGTGCTTTATTCTCTCTATTATCCTTTAAAGTATCGCGATCTCTCTGGCCTCTTTTTCCCGTCACCGGTGCTTGAACCCTTACCTCTTCAAAAGATAAAACTACAACTCTTTCGGCTGGGCTGCCTAATAAATTTTCAAGGGGATGAGTCATGGGAAATAAACGAAAAAAAAACAGCGGCAAACACTTCTTTTTATGATGAACGGCAAGTTTCTGCAGTTGTCAAAACGTGCAGGAATATGATAGGAACAACAATATTTCGGTGGCTGGATATGAGAAAGAAAGCAAGCGGTTAGGAAAACACTACAGCGAACAAAATTTCTCTATTCCCCTAACTCTCTCCTTTCCTTTCCTCTCTCTACATCCTTTCACCAGTTTGTGAAAACAACCTAGAGCTGGCGACTTTTGCACTCAGTCGGTCAGAGTTCAGCTAGCTCGGAGCAGCAAGTCGGTCTACGGCGTTTCAGGAAATTTGGGCATTTGCAAAGCTCTTGTGCGAGGCAGGAAAGGGATGGAGGGAGGGAGCTTTTCACCCATAATTTCTCGCTTCCCTTTTCGATGATTTGAAACAATTTATTTGATTTGCGGTTAGCTAATATGAGGTAGCGTGTAATACATCGTCATTCCACACTAACCTACCATTCTCCCTTTTGTTTCGCAAAAGATTTCCAGATATATTACTCCATTCGCCCAGTCCGCTAGCTATCCCGTAAAACGCCATCAATCACTTCTACTTTTCTCCCACTTAAAAAAAGAAACAGTCTAGTTACTATCCCCATAAACTATAAGCACGTAAAACAAAAATCGCGTCCACATCTATAGCCATCCACGCCACATGCCCTCAAAGTACCACCGGGCGTCTTGATAATGCTACCAGGACTAATAGGCTCAGCTGGTCGCTTCTTGACTGGCGTATGATACACCTCTCTGGTGCGAGAAGTAGATTTCCAAACTTTCTGTGCTGTAGTTTGTGCTGCAGAACTAAGCAACCTGGGCGTAGCAGCCAGGTTACGACCCAGCTCGTCAACCTCCTCATCTTCGTCATCCGATAGCAAAGACAAGATGGAATGTCGAGAAGAAGGAACCTTGAAAGAATGGCGATTCGAGTGACGAGGTGTTTGGGGAGGATTGCTCAAAGAGGGCAAAGATGCAACAGGATTAGATGTCTTAGCTTCATCAACGGAGGGCAGCTCTGAGTGCGTTGACGAGGTGCGTTTTGAAGGGCTTTTGGTGGGAGAATTGGGTGGTAACATCGAAGAAAGTTTCACAGGAGATTGTGAGAAAGCTCGAGTCACCACTTCAGGAGGCGGCGTGGTACGTCTAGAGGGGGGGGGGAGGACTGGTTCAACAGGTATAGAGGCTTTAGCGATAGGAGAAGATTCCACATGGTAACTCTCATCCGATGTCTCGTAGGAACTATCTTCAATGACGATGGGAGTTGTTGCAAGCTTCGTTGATTGGCGTTTCTTCTGCTTCTTAGAGGTCGTAACTTTCGGGGTATCTTCAATCACACGAGCACATGGACTTGAAGAACGAGTCTCCGCAGATTGCCGAGACCTAGCCTTCCGTGCTGAAGTGTATGAAGCTTGAGGCTTGTCGTCGAGAGACACTTCGGGGGTAATTCGAGATGAGAAACGAGTAGGGGAAGGAGGTAATGGCGCCACGCCACTCAAGTCTTCGGATGGAATATCAAGGTATCCGCCCGACCCCATGCCACTCTTATTGACTATAGGAGACGCATCTTTAATGGCCTCTTTTGTCTTCGTATTCTCGTCGTGAGAATAATCTAATCGTTTAGTTTTGTGACTTGCTGGCGAGCCGGCCTTCACAGTTGTTTGAGTCTTGATATTTTGAATTTCGCGTAGTGGGAGCACATCTTTGGGCGTATTCTCAGAAAAGGACCTCCTTGATTTTGACAGCAAGGTAGGAGCTTCATCATCCGAGAGGAGGCATGAAAAATCTGCATTCTTGCGAGGAAATGCTTCCGGTATTGGCAAACGAGGCTCGTCATGGATATCTGGTTGACGAGTTTCCTTTTCGCGTAGTATCGCCAAACCATCGTGGAAGTTTGTCTGGCCTCTTGTTTCTCCTTTTTCTTCTCCCTCCTCTGCCTCCTCTTCTTCGTCTTCTTCAAATCCTTCTTCATCTTCAGCAGCAGAATCGGGAACATAATCATCCTCCGGCGCAGCTAAGACAGGCCGCTCTTCAAAAGCGCCCTCGGCTTCGATAAGTTGTCCGTCACACCTATTCCGAGAAAATGCCGCTTCTTTTTCAGCTCTCTGCTCCGCCAAGACATCGGCCCAGGAAATTTTATTCAAAAATTCCACTTGCTTCCTCATGCGTCCAGAGCGCCTTAGACCATCAGCTTCATCAAGCTGCTCACCCGTCGACAATTTTTGGTGAGATTGATTGACCCTTGATAACAGTATTTCATCATCTACATGAAGAGCTCCCCTTGAAGGTTCGGCAACTCGGATCAGAGCGTCATTTCTAACAAAGTCTTCATCCGGTCTTCGCTTTCTCTTTCTGGCCTTTCGAGTGCTTTGTGTAGACTTATAGCCGCTATCACTCGAACCCCCTTCCACTCCTTTCTCTTCGAGTTCTTTGCCTGTCTCAGAAGACTGATTATTGACATATAAACCTTTGCTCTTCTTGGCAAGATTCACTGGAATACTGCCAAAGCTTTCAACCTCCTTGGTCTTCTTCCCTGTTAGAATCGCATCTTCATCTTCATCCTCATCCTCTTCTTCTCTCTTGTCATCATCTTCTACGTCCTTGATAGGTGGTAGTACCAGTGGATGCCGAAGAACTTTCTTCCTCTTGGCGAGTAAATGTTTCCCAAATGTAGCCGCAAATACAGATTGAAGCGGCTTATTCTCTTCATCTCGAAATTTAGACCGAGGCGCCCAGATCGAGCTTTGGCCGCTCTGCGCAGGAAAATCGTATCGGCTTGCTTTAATCGGCAATTGCTGGGATTTCGGCTGGTGGACTGTAAATAAATCGGGCTGGTTCCACAAAGGATCAGAATATTGGCCAGAAAAGCTCCATGGCTCCGTGGCGAACGGCGAACGATCGAAAGAGAGTGGCGAAGAGACAAAGGGTAGCTGTCCAGTAGGCTCTAAGTCTAAAAGATTACCATGTGGAATCTTGTGCGGCAAGGGGAGTAAAGAAGTTCTGGAAACGCCCCTCGCATTTGCTGCCATTGATCCCAAGACCAAGGCTGTTGAATGCGATTCGCGAGGTGCTTCGTGGCCCTGTATTATGCGATCTTCGTCGTCGTCGTCCGTGCCAATGTCATTTTGAATTTGTTTCCCAGAGACTGTTGCATCCCCCTCTTGCTCTGTTGTGTCCTCGTCCCCAAATTGTTCCTCGTCATCAAATAGATCCTCCAGAAGAACTCCTTCGTCTTCATCATCCTCTTCTTCGCCCAGATATTCTCTCAGGCCGTCTCCAACATCGCCTTCGTCACGCATATTGCGAACATGCCCATTATTAACGACAATCTCGCCCGTTACAAGATCGATCTCATCCCCAATGCCTTCGAAGTCACGACCATATTTGTCGAAAATATGCGCCATGGTGGCTTGGAACCGCTGGTCTGCATAGGCTCGTTCGATGGATAATTTATAATCCGGATCTCGTTTGGCTTCAACTTCGAATGGCTGCAAGGCGAGCTCATCATCGTCTTCGTCAACATTTTCCTTGTCCAGCAGCAGCTGGCTCATTCGGCGCCTTTTGGCCGGTGGTTCCATGGCAGCACAAACGAAGCTAAAACGCTATTGTCGCTATGAGCTACACGAAAAGATCAGTGTTTCCAATTGATATAGAAATAATGCTGAAATCGAGCCGACATTGGCCACTACTAATTGCCAATCTCTTGGTAGCCTAGGTGGACATTGAAAATGGGAGACAGACCTGCAGGCTTGGATAAAAGATGGTTGCGGGAGCAACGAGATGGGCCGAGCATGGGTCTGACACTCCGCGTCGCGATTTCACTGCTGTACGGAGCACTCGCAAGCGCGCGTTAAGTGGTTGCGCCTGCTAACAGCTAGCGGCTGTGAGCTCCCATCTACACTACCAGCTGGCCTAAAATAGTGCGGCGAGTCCACTAACAATCCATGTGCAGAGGGCAGATACTTCAGCTATAGCGGGGTTGCAGCGGCCCTATGCCGTCACAGTACCCGCGATTTGATTCTTGGTACATGTGTACGCAAGCGCGGACTTGAACCCAGCACTTATCTTTCGACTTTCATGCTCCCTCCTCAGCCTCGATCTCTTCCACTTTGCGACCGGCATCTTCGAGGGCATGACAAGGCACTTCTGCTATCGATACAACGAACCCTCTCAGTCGGCGTGCTTTCAAACACCCCGAGATGTACTGCCAGAAGTGCCGCCAGCCGTTGAGGCTGGACAGCTCTCTTGACGACCTCAACCCGGCCGCTTATGACCTTCTAGTTTGTGAGTCTCCTCTGACTTGCCGTCGCAGAAGATAGACACCGTTACTTATTGATTTATAACACAGCAGCAGCATCGTCGTCGCCAGTTACGAAAGCCTCTGCCCCACAACCGTCGATTCTACAGGCCCAAGAGCAGTCACGAAGATCACTCTACGACAAAGTATCGCAGAATGCTGGCCCTCCAACCTTTAAGCGATACCGTGGCAGCCAGCCTCGAGATTCTACAATGTCGTTCATTTATCTTACCGAGTCGCAAGTTGGGCATCCGCTGCCTCCTCAGCAGCAGCAAAAAGAACGAGCTGTAGTCCCCCGGTCCAGTACAAACGGAGCCCCCGAAGACGAGCCTCAGTCAAATAAGAGAGACGATATAGATAAAATCAACCGGTTATTTGAGATTTTATCCGCCAGATCCGATATCGATCATCCCGTATGTGTGGACTGTACCGAGTTACTTGTAGAAGGTCTGCAAAAGAAGCTCGACTCAGCATCAAAAGAAAGAGACGCATATGTCCAACATCTGAAAGATATTCAAAGTAATCAGCCAAGTGAGGAAGATGTCAAAGCTTGGAAGGAGGCCCTGAAAAAGGCAGAGAAAGATAAAACCGCCGCTATGGCAGAGTTGAAAAAGTTGGAGGCCGAGAAAGATGCTCTGGACGATGAGATATGGGCCTTGGAGGAAGAGTCGCAACAGTTAAATAAAGAGGAAGAACAATTCTGGAGGGAAAGAAATGCCTTTGCTACCAAAATGGCAGAATTTCAGGCCGAACGTGACAGCATCAACGCCAAGTATAACAACGACTCACAGCTGCTCGAGAAGCTCCAACGATCCAATGTCTACAACGATACATTTTGCATTAGCCATGACGGAAGTTTCGCTACTATCAATGGCCTGCGCCTTGGAAGGCTATCAAATAAGCCTGTGGACTGGCCAGAAGTCAATGCTGCTTGGGGCCATGCTCTGCTCCTGCTCGTGACGGTTGCCGACAAACTCGGTTATAAATTCCAAGGCTATGATCCGCTGCCTTTGGGTAGCACTTCCAAAATCATACGATATGAAATGCCCAACCCGGCATCCAGCAGGCTAGGTGGGCGGCCGATGAATGCGCCACCCAAGAAACAAGTCCTAGAACTATATAGTTCAGGAGACATGCCACTTGGACTCACGTTTATGCACCGCAAGTTCGATACTGCCATGGTCGGATTCCTCGAGCTAGTTCGCCAGCTGGGTGTCTTTGTTCAACAAGAAACAGAATCATCGGGCACGCCGTTAACCCTACCATACAAAATTGAGGGAGACAAGATAGGAGATACTAGCATAAAGCTTGGTATTGCGCAAGATGATGGGTGGACCAAAGCATGCAAGCTCACACTTACGTGCTGTAAGTTTCTGCTAGCCCATGCAAGCAATGTGACCTCGAATGCGAGAAATGGGACTCAGTGAGAGGAAATACGCTGTGTTCCGTGTAACAGCAGCGCGTCACGCCTCAGTCAATAGCACTTACTACGACATACGATAGTTATTGCCCTCTAGGCTGAACGAAACTATTGCTGGTACGTCATTATAGCTATTCACCTTCGTTCTCGTCGCTGGAGTCGTTTTCGGCAACTACTCAACTAGCACACTAACTAGTCTCAGGCACTCAGCTCATCAAAAGTGGCAGTGCACCGAAAAGAGCATACCTTCATAATACATCACGATAGCGAAAGAGAAGGGGTGCGATTTGGATTAGCACTTGGTAACAAGGACCATCGGGCAAAATAGACACCGTCTTACTGTGCAACAATGTCACACGAGATAACAGAAAATCATAGTCACGAGGCCCAATAAAACTTCCTTCTAATGCAAAAGCTTGTCACCAGCTAATCCAGCCGTCTATGACTATTGTGATCTAGAGAGACATCCGGTCGGATGGGATAGCCCAATATACCTGTAAGACGGCGTTTCAGCCGCAGGTGGGTAGCCTGCCGCATGGCATGAGCATGACAACACAGCAATTCTTTGGACCAACAAGGGATGCAGCCTCTTTTGGGCTGCCCCTCTTTGAACCGGCAGGTAGACTATACACACCATGAGAGCTGCAATGGTCCGGCTGTTGCCATGCATAAACTAAGTCCATATTCCGTCGCGCGCATCGTTGCTGGCCTCCTGTTGGCTGATCGCCAGGCAGATAACCTCACTAGCTTGGCTAGGCTGAAATCAGGATGCTGCTGCCTCGAGTAACAGCTAAATCGCATACCTACGCCTACGCCCGCTTTGTGCTGCGTGAAGGAAAGGTTATAATGTCCTCCAGCTGCCGTTCTCTGGATGAACCTCTTCTTTGATCTGCTATTTTCTTTTTGATTTTTTGATACACCTTATATCGTGTCTCTCTTGCTTATTCAGTCTGTTTTAACTACACTTCTGCGCCAGCATCATGGCTAGACGTCATATTCCTGTCATTCGGGACTACAATATGTCTCGTGAGGACAGTCTGAGTAGTGATGGTTTTGAGGAACTAGGGCCTCGCAGCACGCTGCCCAATCCGCGACGTCTTAGATATGTCGTCGAAGGCGAGGTTCCTGATATTTTGTATACCCTCAATCATGTTGGCCTCAATAGGCGTTTCCTTGGGCGTGAGTCGAAATCCCCCTTCTTTTGCTTCAAATAAAAGGTTCAACAATGCTAAACGATAACCCACAGGCTTGCGAAGCTCCAAGCCGTTCCAGAATGTGACCACCTACGAAATCAGACAAGATGAAACCGATGAAGGTGGCGAACCTATCAAGAAGCCTGTCTTCGAGGTTGTCACCACTGTGTGCATTGAAGGCAGACCTGATGACCATAGACGCATAGCTCATCCTCGCCGAGCGCCCCCTCAGATAGATAGGCCTCTCACGTCTGCTTTTGATAACATCGATTACCGAAGCGACGGCTACTATACCGATGAAGAACAGTATATTGATACGGTTGGATCTCCTGTAGCCGATGCTCCTTTCATGATTATCTACTCGGAACATCTCATCAATGCTCTTAGAGCTGTCGTCAGATACTACCCGACCGTCAATCTCAACGGGAAAACAGTTCATATCAACGCACCCTATCGCATACTTTATCACCACCGCAGGGAGCTTCTCGAGTACCGTGATAAGCAGCCTAAAGAGCATAGTGCCGAATATGTTGAGACCACAGTCAAGCATATCGACACTCTTTTAGATTTCCTTGATGAAAGTCTCAAAGATGAGATTACCAAGGAAGAGGAGCTCCACAAACTCGAGACTCCCATGGCTACTTTTCAGTATTTTTGGCTACTTCTCAAGCCTGGAAATGTCATCTATGCCAAGAAATACGACATCTGGACACCTTTGGTCATTAGCAGTGTTAGTGTTGGAAATCGTCACCTTAGCAATCCTGAATGTTACAGGATAAACTGTTGGCTGCTCGAGTCCAATGGCACCAAAGTTGGTCGCTTCATGGAGAGCTATGTTGTCAATCCATGGCCAGGTGAACAAGCAATTAGCACTTTGTCAGTGGTTCCTGAAGCGTTTTGGAAAGAAGACCTCGCTGCTCAAGGCGGCCTCACGATGCGTGAAAAACTAATCGAAGAAGGCAAGCTTTACTGGGAGCTCCTCAAGAGACCTACCTATATGGAATATGATGGCCTGCTTGTCAACTCTGGTTCCGGTAACAGACTGCCTGGTGGCCCAACTGGCTTTATGAATGGTCGTGTTATTTGTGATGCCTCTGGCTTTGACAAGTACTTTGATAACGCGCCAGACTGGGATGGAAGACGATATCCTCATCCTCCCCGCCGCCGTGCAACTCAGAGTATACCCAACAAAGATCACCTTCCTCAGAATTTGCCAAGATGCGGCTGCGCCATCTGCACTGAAGGTCGACCTCGGGAGAACGATGGTCCATACAATGGATTCGAAGACATTGATCCCCTGTGCGATACTCCTCCCGACAACGAACTTTTCTTCTATGTTCTCAGCAAGGTAATTCCCGGGTTCATTCTTGGCACTCGCCGTTGGGGGAATCTTCACGTTGCCAACCTCAGCCCCGTCAAAGCCGACAAAGAAGCTTTCAAGTATCTCGTCTTAGACGATGATATCAAGATGACCGTGAAAGCTCTCATTGGCCAATATGCAACTGGTGTCGACGGTCAAATCACTCCTTGGGGCAACGATTTCATCCGCAACAAGGGCGAGGGGCGCATTTTCCTCCTTCACGGCGCGCCTGGGGTTGGCAAGACTTGCACCGCCGAGTGCATTGCTGAGCTGACCAACCGCCCGCTTATTTCCCTCACCAGTGGTGACCTGAGCGTCGATTCATTCCGCGTCGAGACCAATCTCAGTTACTTCCTCGAATTGGGCCAGCGTTATGGAGCCCTTGTCCTACTTGACGAGGCCGACGTCTATCTCGAGCGCCGCCGCGCGAAGAATATCTCTCGAAACGGCCTCGTCTCCGTCTTCCTCCGCGCGCTGGAGTACTACCGCGGCGTCCTATTTCTCACCACCAACCGCGTCCGGTCTTTTGACACCGCCTTCCTCAGCCGAATTCACGTCGCGCTGCACTACAAGAACCTCAGCGATGAAGACCGCGAGCGCATCTGGACCCATAACTTCGACCGCCTGAACCGTGATTCCCACGGCAGGATTCGCGTCGCTATCGCGGCCCGTCAGTTTATCTGGTCGAGCCAGGAGGTCCGCGCGCTCAAGTGGAACGGACGAGAGATCCGCAACGCAATGCAGACAGCGCTGGCTTTGGCTGAGAGCGATTCCAACGAGGAAGGTTTGCCGACTATTACTATTGGAGAGAAGCACGTTCGTGCCGTGGTCAAGATGAGCAAGGGCTTCAAGGACTATATTAAGTCTGCGATGTCCCTAGGCTCCGATGAGATTGACTACGATGGTGATGGTGATGATGATGCTGTCAATGGGGAGGACTTTTGAGTGAGATGGTATGTGAAGGGAGAAGCTGAATGATAAGATTGAATTTCTTGACTTTCTTTCATTTGCTTTTAAATACTCGCCCAGATTGGCCTAAATATGTTGATTTATAGTATGTGAGGAAGATGGGGTTATTCTAACGTACGATTTGGTTCCTAAACAATTATTTTCACTACCTCAGTAGTATCTGCAGAATTTGCACTCGAGATAGTAACAATGACGAGACACGAGTTCATGACCAATCAAATTTCTTTTTTTTTTCTTTTCACTATGACCGTGCCATATATAACGAACAATCTATCGTAAGAGAAATAATTCGAAGAAGAGAAAACAAAATAAAACTAGGGGTGCTGAATGATAATTCCCTTTATTTATTTTCCCAAGATTGTTTCCCGGAGCTTATCTAGCTCACCACTGTGCTCACACATATCCCTAAACACACTTCCTTCCTTCTCCCACAGCTCCTTGGGTGTTCCGAATTCCGCCACAGCACCCTCACTGAGGACGAGAATGCGGTCGAAATCGGCAATCGTGCTAAGACGGTGCGCAATTACGATAAGCGTGCTGTCAGTGAACTCCTCGCGGATGCTGCGCTGGATGAGCGCATCGGTTGCCATGTCCACTGCCGAGGTGGCCTCGTCAAGCACCATAATCTTGGGTCGCGCGACAATGGCTCGAGCCATGCAGAGGAGCTGACGTTGGCCTTGAGAGAGATTGCCGCCTGATTCAGCGACGCCGCTAGTGAGATCCCGGAAGATATTGGCGTTGATTGGAGAGGCGGTTGAAGCAGCGGCGGAAGCAGCGGCGGAAGAAGGCTCATTGGCTGGCGTAGTTGGCTGAGAATCGACCAAATGGACACGGTGAAGCGATTCGTGGAGTTCTTCGTCGGTACGCTCGTTAAATGGATCAAGATTGCTCCTGACAGTACCAGAAAACAGTACAGGGTCCTGAGATAATTCATCATTAGTAAACTAATCTAGCACAGCTTAAAAAATCTTATGAGCAAAATAATCTTCTTACCTGAGGAATGATGGCCAATCGTGAACGCAGGCTGTGCAGGTCAATCTTGGAAATATCTACACCATCGATTAAGACGGTACCAGATCGAGCCTCGAGGAAGCGGAAGAGAGCCAGAGTAAGCGATGACTTTCCAGCTCCGGTGCGCCCAATAACACCAACTCGCTCATTGTTCTTGACATTGAAGGAAACGCCCTTCAGAACGGGCGGCAGATCTTCAGCATAGCCGACAACAAGATCCTTGACTTCAATATCTCCTGACGTGGGCCAGGCAGCAGGTGCCTTCTCTCCATCTAGCGGTTCAGTCTTAAGGTCAGCGTACTCGATAACACGCTCAGTGGCATTCATATCCAGCTCCAAGCTGGTATAGCTCCAAAGGGTCATGAGAATGTTTCCGGAAAAGTCAACAGCAAACGCCAAAGTGAAGCCGGCCATGGAAGCGTCAATGTATGGGGACACAGCAACGACAATACCAACGATGGAACTAAAGGCAGTACCAATCAAGGCCATTCGGAAGCTCATCCATCGATTGAAGAGAGATCCATAAATGCTCACAGAGTCCCAAGCATCAAGATGAGCGTACATACGATCCACGTATACTTGAGTCTTCTGATATGCTCGAAGGGTAGCCACTCCCGATAACGTCGCGTTGAATTGTTCAAAGACGGGTGACTTTGAGGTGCTTTCCAACCTCTTCATGGGCCTAGCGCCAGCCATGTACATCTTTCCAACTATCGCAGCAAAGATGACTAAAACAAATGCCAATGGAAGGATATAAGGCGACACGAGAGTAGCGGCAACACAGACGCCCATGAGGCCCAGAGAACGCCAGAGTAGCAAGCCAAAGTCCATGTTAATGCGGTTGTCGATGATGTCAAAATCGGAGGTGAGTCGGTTAAGAATTCGACCAACGGGGACTGTATCAAGCCATCGTAGGGGGGTTCGAAGGACTGTGAAGAGAATCTGCTTAAACAGGGTCCGGCTAGCCTTGATGCTCATATAAAACGACCAGATAAAGCGCAGTGTCCCGACAAATCCACTAGCCGCAGATAGAGCAACATAGATCGATAGGTAATAGTACAAGTTGTGCTCTGTCGATTCGGCGTTCAGCAGGTTCGACACAACATGGAACGGGCCGTGCTGTAAGGTGAAGCCATAAGCAAGGCCGTGCTTCTGCTCCGCTTCAAAGGTATGGATTCCATCAACTTGGTTATCGCTTTGGGACGTCCATATTTTCACCCACCAATTTCGAGCAAGATTACCTGCCTCAAAACTGGAGAATAAAACAGCAAGAATGATCCAAAACAGCCAGCCACCGCTATGGTTTAGATAGCTCATATAGATTCGGCTTTTAACTTGTCCTTTGTCGCGAGTCTCCTTTTCGACAAAGTCTTTAGCAGCCTTGTCTTTGGTCTTCTGGTCAGCCGTGGTGTTTCCATTTGATGCTCCATCGTCAGCGGTAACTGAGCCTTCTTCAGAGTTGACAACTGTCGAGCCTTCAGCAGCCGCTTCTTCTCGCTGAATCTCCTCTGGGTCCTGCTCATGGGTCTTAATTCTCTCGAGAATACCCTCTTCAGCTAACTCCGACGTCAGGCCAGCGTTTAGGACAGTGCCCTCTCCAAGTTCCACCAGATACTTAGCCTTAGATTGAACGAGCGCTACGTGGTGAGTAACCAGGATTCGAGTTCGTCCTTCGCAGATGTCACCACTAATGCACTTGTCGAAAATGTGTCGACCAACATGAGCATCAACAGCGCTGAAAATATCATCCATGACCAGAATCTCGGCGCGTGAGTAGATAGCTCGTGCCAATGTCACTCTCCACTTCTGGCCTCCACTCAAATTAATTCCGTTGGCTCCAAGTTCCGTCTTATCGCCATCAGGCAAAATTTCGAGGTCCTTCTTCAAGGCACAGACTTCAATAACCTTCTGGTATCTTGCTTCAATGTACGGGAGGCCGAATAGAATATTATCTCGGAAAGAAGCGCTTTCGAGCCAAGGCGTCTGGGCCACATACGCAACAGAGCCGGGAAGAATCCAATTTCCGGGGTGAGCCGCTTGATCATTGCGCTCAAGCGGCGATACAGCGGGGGGAGCATAAATGGCACCTTCCAGTAGGTCAACCTCGCCCAGTACGGCAGAGAGCAACAAACTCTTTCCTGTTCCGGTTTTACCAGAGATCACAGACAGTTCGCCAGCAGGGAATGATAGGTTGATATTCTTGAGAATGAAGCGTTCATCGTCGGGGGTTTCGGCGTCAACAGGCCAAGAAATGGCGGCATTTTCGAGAGCAACATCCGGACCATCAGACAGAATCTTCTTTATTTCAGGGCCGCTTAGATACGTGTCAATTCGCTTGATCGAAACAAGTGTGTCGACAGATGACGTAAGAAGCTCTGGCAGAGCAGAGAGAGTAACTTCCAAACTCTTAAAGATACTGATACTAACGAAAGCAACTGACGGAGATAGGCTGCCATGAAGGACAGAGTAGACGGTTAGTGAAGCCGCTGCGAGAAAAATCGGGCTAATAACCCAGCATGCAAATAGGACAGAGTCCGCCATGAACGTTCTCTTCAGAGTTGCAAGTTCCTTCTCTCTTTGCTCTTGAATACGCCCCTCCCACTGGCTCTCCAGGGCAGTGAATTTAATCTGCCGAATACCCAACAGCGCCTCGTTCACAATTGCCAGCTTAGCATCGCGATCCTTCATAAGTTGGGCTTGTTGTTTCATGTAGATCTTGGTGGCATATGTGTTAATAGGCAAAACGAGAGCCCATGCCAAGATACCGGCTGCAAAGGGCAGAAAACCAATCAACTTTAGCAGGAAGCCACAGTAAAAGATCAGATTGGTCAAGCTGTTGATAATGAAAAATTGAAAGGCTGCAAGGTTTGACACGTGCCGGACGTCAACACCAACAAGATTCACAATGGCCTGGCGGGACTTCAAAACAGTGTCGTCCTCAGGTTTCTTTGTGTCTTTGTTGCTTTCATCCGTATCCCCGTCTGCTTTGGGTGTTTCTTTCTCTGCCATCTTGACATTTTTGCGTTTCAAAGACTTTTCGAAAATAAGAGAAGAGAGCTGGCCCCGGAGAGGAATGGAGTTCCTGTACATAGAAAACCACATAATCCATCCTTGTGTCCACTAGATAGCGTGTTAGTATTCAGTAAATTTTAACAACAGTGAGATCATTCAGAGTGAACTTAAGTACCTGTCCACATAAAGAAAAAAGGGCGAGTGAAACGATGTATGCCAATATCTGGGCCATCGGTCGTTCGCCAGGGGGGTAGCGCTTTTCCAAGAGCTCAATCACACGCAACATGGCCCAAAAGGGGCCAAGTCCAATAAACGATCGAAAGATGGTGACCGTCCATTGAATTAAAAATCCGGGCAGATATGAGCGAAGAAGCTTTTTCAGAAGTGTGCCTTTGAATTCAAACTTGTGCCAAGCCTCGACTAGGTCTCGGGCTCTGAAATTATGATCTGGGCCTGGAATATCTTTTTCGTCCAAATCACCTTTCTCAGTGGCCAACGATACCAGGGGCCGTCCCCAAGACCAAGTATAACGACTCAGAAAAGAGCCTGTAAACTGTGCGTCCACTGGTTTGCCATTGTGGAAGACAGCTGGCCGTCGGGGGAGCGAAATGCTAGCAAATAGCAGCAAGATGGTAGCTACCAAGCTGACGATTCGAAGAATGAAAGCCGCGTCATTCTTGGTAGCTCCCAGCCGCGAAGCATGGTGGGCCTGGAGTATACTGATCAAAATAGCGATGAACGATGACCCAAATGACCAAATACCGAGGTCGTGGGATTTAACGGGAGACCGGTGAGCAGAGATGCAGATAGCTTGTAACACAATGGCAGCCTTTGGGAGAAAAGGTAACTCATCAGCCGACATGTTCGAAGCATTTTTACGATTCACTGGAGCTAGAGGGTGCGAGTAAGCTTACAAGAGCGGCAGTAATCAGCCAGCTTGGAACAAATAGGCCATAACGGTCCGCGTGAAGGCTGGATAGGATCGAATGGGCAAGAGATGTGCCAAAGCTTGTCAGGGAGAAGAGAAGAATGGCAATCTTGGGCCGCTTGTTGGAAAATGCAGCAACAGCCTCTGGCGTGCTGGTACCGTCGATATCCGAATAGAAGTTGTCTTTTGGAGTGCGATTGCGAATCTGGGAGAGAAGAGCAAAGGCGCCCGGCAGCGAAAAGAGTCCGACAACCGTTAAGCCAGCGATGGAGAGCGGCAGCACGAAGGAACTGAACTGGTCCGCCGAGTCATCGACAGCGCCCAGCACATGCTGATACTGATGCTGCTGCTGATGCTGCATCGTCACAGCGAGAAACCCTCGCCGGCGCACCGGTGGGAGCTCAAATGGAAGTTAATGCGATCTACGGAAGCTAATCGAGAGATGCCAATGGTGAGAGCATCAGCACGCAGACGGAACGGCACAATTCCAACCGAGATGAACAAATGCCTCTCTCTGCAGGAAGAAAGGAGACAGTAGAGCTAAAAGCATGGACATGAGCGATGAACAGGAAAGGAAGCAGAAGGCGAGCAAAAGACGTGCCGTCCGAGGCGGTAGTTATCAGTCAGCCGGCGTGCCAAAAGAGGTTTATCGCAGGAACGCCATCCCGTGCTCTAAGCTATCCACACAGCATCCACAGAATGCAACCTCCCGGCCAAAGCCCGCAGGCTGCATCTCCCAGGATACCCCGGCCGGGTAGCGCATCCCAAGGGTATTGAACCGAATGCTAGTCGCGAGTTGAACTAGCAGTGTCTCGTATGAGCTGCCCGGTTGCTATATGCGGATGGGGGCGAGCATCAAACACTGCTGTTGGCTCGATCAGAGTCGCTGGACGAACGGATTCTGGCAGGAAGCGGAGGCGATTTCTAGACGGAGATAGCTTGGGCAAGGATCAGGTACCACAACGGCCGCTTGGACAGATACAGCAACGCTTGTATGCCGTGCGAAGCACTTTTGATTGACTGTAGAAGTCGCTGGCTGAAGCCTTGGAGGCAGAGCGTGTTGCGAGTCTTGGCTCATGGATACTAAGGACGGTGGGGATCGCCTTAGGCATGTGCCTTGCCGAATCAACCGCTGAATACCTTAGGCTGCCACTTCCTGCCCTCCAACAGAACATGGACCCTTTTTCTCCTATTCCCTCCGCAGGCTACGAGGCTGCAAAAGTACCTGGTGGCTGCATCATGCTAAGATGCCTAGCAGGTAGCTGCAATTCCGAGCTGGTGCCTGAAGAGGCATCAACATCGCGGCACTGTCTAGCCCGAGCACATCCCAATACTAGTACTAGTATCTCGGGCCGGCAGATATCAGTAAAGCACTATAGCAGGGCGCTTCAGTCGTCTCCTTCTTTTTCCTCCTATCGCGAACAGAAATCACCGGCTCGCGGATTGATTAGGCCCTCCGTCTCACCTCAAAAAGACCTTGTCCAACGCCACCTGCAATTGCACTGATTGGCTCGATGCGGCCGCCATGGGTACTTTTACTAGGCGGTGCTGTGTTGCGGGGAGCTGCTAGTGAACCCATGCCACCATATAGGCCTTGTCTTCGCATCGCCAACGTACTTGTACATATAAGTGCTACCGTTCTGAGTACACGATAAACCAGGGGAATTACTATCCAGCACCCCAGTTTCATTTATTCAGCCTAGCCGTTATCTAGCGAAGCAATCAGCCCATGCATAAGAATACTTAATGAAAATACAATTCAATTGAAAAAGTAAAAGCAGTAGAGGAAGCAGAGGTAGCTTCAGCTACTACGCCTGGGGTGCTGGATAATAAAACTGGGGTGTTGAAGGACAATTCCCTAAACAAGCTGCAACACGCTGAAAGAGGCGTCTGGGGGCATAATCCATCGCATCGTTCGTATCGACATGGGCGCTGAATGGTAGATCGGGCTACTACAGGTACTAGGTAGTAGCTGTTGTAGACCCAATATCCATCTGAGAATTCCAAGACATGCATCAATGAGCATGGATACTAGGTACCTTGGGTAGTTGAGACAGGACAGAGCTTAGTAGGTATGGACATACATCTTTTTAGTTCTTATCAGAGTAATTGGCAATTGGTAATAGTTGAATTACACCGCTTTCTCTGGGTGCTGGAGGGTGTGCTGGCTTGTTGCCTCTTTACTCGGTTTCCGTCCTTCTCATGCAGACTCGAGATCACGAGCCGTTCATGTTCATACCTCGCATCCAACCCTCCAGTACGAGCACGGGCAAGTTGTATCAACCATGGTGTGGTGCATGCTCCCAGCAAGCCGTCAAGCGGGATCCAGCGCACCACAGCTATTGCATCTCGACGACCCCACCCACCTGTAGTTTCACATTCAGGAACACGGCTGGCCTCGTGAATTGTTCTGGGTGAAGTATCCTCTCTGGATCGGTCGTCGATCATGGCATGGCATTTGTTGTACAAAGTCTGACAACTTCGTCCAGAGTGCGCCTCCAAAGAAAGCTTGCCATCTTTTTCTCGCGTGGTGATGGGTGAAGGAGCACTGTTGAATGCGAAGTGAGTCAGATACAGATACAGAAGAGCAGCACACACACACACTTCTAGTGGGAGGCCTAGGCTACATGTAATATAATCGCATGCACCTCGGAGATTTCCCAATCCATCTGGCCGTCAAGTGACTCACTCGCAGATATTTAGTGATTCTAGGAGTTGAATCCTTTCATGCCGTGGTTGCCCAGTGCCGCCGAGTCTTGCATTAATCTACGTCTACTATGCTTCAACCACATCGATGGAGGCCATGTGTGGCTAACCAAGAGGCGGCACCGCGTCAATCTATACGCATGACTATTGCATACATTGCATACACTATTGCTGCGTGCCTACAAGGTGCTACCTGCAGACAGCTAATCACGATGGATGCCTGCTCAGAGTAGCATTGCTATCTGACAACCCAGGCCACCAACAAATGCGGCATGTAGCCTTACCAGACAAGCGCTGACTGCTCACAATAGGCTCTTTACCTGGCTGCCTACCAATTGAACTACATCTTTTTGGCCAGTCTAATCAGGCCATGTCTTGGCTGATGGCTGAAAGAGATATTTGCCGTGTCTTCAATTTGATGAAGTTTCGCGACTATCACAAGGGAACTGTTACCCGCCAACGCAGCTGTACACAGACTCTTGCAGTATGGAGGGTAGAACAGACCGAGGGAAATCAACAGAATAGCAGAAAGTCGTGAGAAAAGGGATTCGGTAGGCATATGTCGCCTTCGCCACTACGCTGCTTCGCCTGAAATCGTGAAGCCTCGATTGAAACAGGTACGAGTACGGATCATTCGGGCGCCTAATGATATGCAGTGATATGTGGGATTGGTACTAATCCGCAGATCTACATCAGCGAGGCCGTATTGAAGCATAGATGTAATCTGCTAGTAGGTCCACCCAGCACTGCCAATTTCTTGGCTCGAGTGCAATGAGGGTTAAACGGAGATGGATGTACAGAGGTCCGCTGCAGACTGAGCAGGGCTCAGTACGAGCCAGCAATGAATATCGTAACGACCAAAGGGCCCATCAGCCAACGGAAGCAATAATCACCAGTAAGTGCTTCAAATACCAGCAGTAGTAGTGTGATTTATGAGCTTACCGTGGCACGGTGCAATCAGCAGAGTGAGCAGTAGCAAACATCAGATGTGGAGATGGCGTCTAAACCGCAAGCCACGGGGAACATGGGGAAGAGCGCTTCCAAAAAGAGTGAAAGGCAAAAAGGGTTTCCCTGCGTGGAATCGACAGAGGCCAAAGCCAAGCTCTGGCATGATCAGCCGAGCATCTCGTACCAATCGCGTAATGCAGTTGGGTCCGGGTGGCAGCCCTGCGTCCCAGCGACAGGACTTGCGCCGTGTCATGCAGGGCGTTAGAGCCCACAGCAGCGTGTATGCAGTCGGCCACGAAAGCGGCTGGCATCGTCGTTAACGGGCCAATGGAGGGGCCCTTCGATTGGCGCGCTGAACGGGCTGCTGCTACGGCCCCTGTAGGGCCAGCACACAGCACTCGACCGGCCCTGCAGCACCCCAGCCCAGCCACCAAGATTCGAGCCTGTAGCCGCCATTAGCCTCGAGCAGTTGGCCCTCTCAGGCGACCCAGTTTCAGCCGGCTATCCTGACCTTACATGCTCCTAGTGCATGCCACTCGGAGCCATAATAATATTTCCATAGCTGCGGCAGCTTCTTTGTCGCGGCCAAACCCGTCCCGTCTCTTTTTTAACTTTGACCACCACGAGCCTCTGTTGCCCGAGTCTGTCACGCGTTTGAAGCCTCTTGCCGACTAGACCGAATCCCGCGCTGTCGAGACGCTGCCTCAATCCCTCCTTCGAGCCCGCCATTTTTTTTTTGCCCGCCCGTCGAATCGACAGAGCTTGTCCCACGACCATCGTCCCTCCGCCTCTTATCGCTGCGGCCAGCTCCTCATGCTGCTTGTTCGACGGCCGCCCTAGCACACAAGCGTTACGATGAAAGCCTCGCCGCTCATCATCAATTGGCATGACCAGAATGCCCCGATCTACTCTGCTCACTTTGAGCCAAACGGCAAGGGTCGCCTGGCCACGGCTGGTGGTGACAACCATGTGAGGATATGGAAAGTTCAGGCCGACGGCCCGGAACGCAAAGTCGAATATCTGTCGACCCTGTCCAAGCACAATCAAGCAGTCAATGTTGTGCGATGGGCACCAAAAGGTAAATAGCAACGGTGCATCTCTGTATAGCTGTCCGCGAGCTGACAGTGGCTGTCAAATGAAGGAGAAACGCTCGCTTCCGCCGGCGACGACGGCAACGTTATCTTATGGGTTCCCAGCGAGATTCCAGCAACCAACTTTGGATCCGAAGGTTTGGACGACAAAGAATCATGGAGAGCCAAGCACATGTGTCGCTCTAGCGGAGCCGAGATATACGATTTAGCATGGTCCCCCGACGCCGTCTACTTTATTATCGGCAGCATGGATAATATCGCGAGAATCTACAATGCTAGTTCAGGTAGGCAGCGGCAATGCCATTGTTTGCGAGATTCATCGCGAGCTAATGTTGAGGCCATGACAGGAACCCTCGTGAGGCAAATTGCCGAACATAGTCACTACGTCCAAGGCGTCACTTGGGATCCCCTAAACGAATACATTGCAACCCAGTCGTCCGATCGGTCCGTCCACATCTACTCTCTCAAAACAAAAGACGGCCAGTATTCCTTGAGCCAAGACGATAAGCTGCCAAGGTTGGCAAGCCATGTCAAGGCCGATCTCCCTACTCGACGAATCTCTTCGAGCAGTCCCGCACCCCCCGAATTCGGTCACCGAGCACAGATGTCTACCGTAGACTCTGCCACATCTGTGGGATCACCAGCTCCCTCAGCCCCGAGCACTCCAACTTCGGCCCCTCTCCCCATGAACCCGCCAAGCGTCATCAGCCATAGCCGTCGGTCTTCATTCTCCTCTCGTCGTTCGGTCTCGCCGGCACCTTCTCTTCCCCTTCCTGCCGTCATGCCAATGGAGGCGTCGCCGAAACCTCACTATGCTCTCAACACTAATTGGGCCACTGGAATGAAGAACGCCAGTCTTTATGCAAACGAGACTCTGACATCCTTCTTTCGACGACTTACGTTTACTCCCGACGGAAGTCTCTTGCTCACGCCGTCTGGGCAGTATCAGAATCAACACCAGACAGACAAGGATGCAAAGCCAACTTATGAAATTATCAATACGGTCTACATCTACACAAGAGGCGGCATCAATAAGCCCCCGATAGCTCATCTGCCAGGCCATAAAAAGCCTTCAGTTGTTGTCAAATGCTCTCCTATTTTCTATACCCTCCGCCAGTCTCCGCCGGTGACTAAACACGTCACCATTGATACATCTTCTGCAGAGGACACCATCCCCTCCCTACCAGAACCAGTTTCCAAGGCATCTACCACGTCATCCGTCATGGATCCTCCCCCGCTGCCGACGCCGGCTTCGACAACTACCGCCGAAGGAGGTGCTCCATCAAAAGGGGCGCCAACCGAGACAAATGTGTCAACGCCAGGCCCTAAGCCCGCCTTTGCCCTGCCTTACCGGATGGTATACGCCGTCGCCACCCAAGACTCCGTTCTATTATATGATACACAACAGAAGACTCCGATATGCATTGTCAGCAACTTGCACTGCGCAACTTTTACTGATCTTGCTTGGTATGAATACACGCCCGCTTAGCCTGGATGAAGTACTACGAACTAACTCTTTCTCTTTTTCTAGGTCAACTGATGGGCTCACTCTCATCATCTCATCATCGGATGGATTCTGCTCATCACTAACATTTGCCCCCGGCGAGCTCGGCGAGATTTACAAGGGCGAAGTTGGGGCAAAAGCAAGTGCATCCACACCAACTCCTACGTCGACTTTTGCATCGCCTGCCCAATTCCCAAGCGGACCGCAGCATCAATCGCGTAACTCGGCAAGCTCTTTCACAGCACCCTCCCCTCCCACCACATCGTCTGTGCCATCCAATCGCCCATCCTCACCTACAAGATCAAATTCTACATCGTCTATAGCTACGCAGTCTGGCGTCGTGAGCAACCCGCCTCTCATTAGCGGCAGTGTGCCGTCAATCACGGCCGCCAACTCGGGCAGGGTAACGGGCGTGCCTTTGACTACGCCTCCAGAGACGCCCAAGGTGGTACCTGGACCCAGCACGGGCGTGAAGAGAGACGCTGATGAAGCTGAGAAAGAAGACACCAAGGAGCCCAAAAAGCGAAGGATTGCTCCAACTCTTGTTTCAAATCCAAATTGAACACGACGCTCCAGCCTCGGCCTGTCTTTTTTAATGTCTTCTTTTTCTTTTCTTTAATTTATTTTGTAGAGCGAGCCATGTTCTGCGGGCTATCTTATCTGCTTTCTTTCGGCATGGCACTCGCCCATCACAAAACAATGAGAAGCGTGGTTTGGCAATGACTATATAGATGGATGACGGTAGGTGCCAATGTCACTGGTACAGGCTGGCGTTTTACGGGTTGGCGTATCTTGCTTTGATCTCAAGGCGGCGTCTAAGCTTGCTGAAGGAGATGTTATTATACGTTTTTGAGAGAGAAAACTTCTCTCTCCCTATGACCTGCCTAGGGCATGGGTGGTTTACCCGGCCCGCGATTTGGCAGACGGGGTAGCGGTTAGGCAAAAAGTGCAATAGTTTTATAGCCTAGTACAAGTAAATGAAAGTTTTGATTGAATACCTATCATTGGCGTGTGGATTTAAGCAGTGGTACTCTTTTACGTGTGCGCCTTGATGTCTTGTTTACAATTGTAGTGGTAATGTTGTTCACTCAAGTAACCGACACTTTGGAACAAAGTGTGAGACACGCAATAATTTTACAAGGTATTACCGACTCCTCAAAGACGCTCATTTCATCACAGGAGTCCATCCTTTCCTAGGGACAAAAGCAGTCACGCCTTCGTCTCGCAGAACTTCTTCTCCTAATCTTCCGGTCACTACACTCTGCTCAAACTGCGGCCCGCGGACGTAGAATGGGAACGAGAGCCGACGGGATTCTAGCTCCGCTTCAGAGTCGGAAGGATGCTTAGGCGCCGTGTCGGGGAGAAGCTCCCACATGCTGCCTCCATGGCGCTTCTTTTCGGTGAAGCCGCAGGCGCGACGGTCTAGCGAGAGGTACCACCGCCGTTGATATACGCTGCCGATGGTGTTGGATGCTCCGAGGTAGGCATTTGTGAGGCGGACTTGGGCGTCTTCTTCTTCCTGCTTACGACGCGTTTCATTCAGGGAGGGTGAGTCATTGTTAGTTTTACCTTGCGGTTCATCGTTGGTAGGTTCTTCTCTATGGATATCGCTGTCGTCATCATAGTCATCGCTGTCGGAGGGGGTACTTTCTGGCTCTACAGGGCGCACTTGCGTCGTCCTCCCGCGGCGCCTGGACCGCGGCGTTCGCGAGCTTCTAGATCGCCCTGCGGCATCTTCCGTCTTAGTTAGGCGGATGTTAATAACGTACGGATCGGGAAGTTTGGTTCCATGGAGACGCAGCCGGATCTTTCGGTTTTGGAAAGCTGCGTGAAGTAGAGACTGCGCTGTTGGAGCGTGCTTGTTAGAAGATGACGACGATGATGAGTGAGGTGAGCCTGGCGGTGAGGAGGGGTCTTCTGGAGGGGCGTGTTTGCTGCGGCGTGGGAGAACGGAATATGTGCCCGTGTCCCATATAATGAGGGATCCTGTTTCTAGAGATGCCGTTTCGATAAGGTGATTCTATATATAAATGTGGATCGTGTTAGTATTAGGAGTCGAGGTAATGTAACATGAGGGAGAGAAGAAAGAGGGAAACTTGCCCAAAGGGAGTGGATGCGAGTCTCGGTGGCATTGCGGTTCAACCGACTGCTGTTGGCATCTCCCGGCAGGCCATACATGATGGCCCAGCTGACGCTACTGGTCTCGTTGATCTGAAGGCGGAGGTCATAGTGGGTGCCGGCTACGGGGTGGTCGTGCTGATGGATCACGAAGTGCGCGCCGTTGGGGCTGCCAGCACAGCTTTGGTACAGCTGTGAATAAGCCGGGATGGACAGTCGAGGGATGAGAGCCGATGTCGGGCGGAGATGCGAGGAGAGAATCGACGTGAATTGGGCCAGATGGTCAGATATCTGGACGACTCCGGATTCGATCTCGGCGGTGGTGCCGGCAGTGGGCCTGGGGCGGACTGTTGCTGTCAGAGGAGAAACGGTGGTAGAGATGACAGCAGTGTCGGTGGCAATATTAGTACCAGTAATGGGGGGAGTGGAAGCAGAAGCTGTATCTGTAGCTGTAGCCGTGGTTATAGCCGGAGCTGAAGTGGATGAAGTAGGGAGGAGAGACGGTAAAGTGGCAGAGTGAGGGCCGTGAGGTGATGATGGAGACTCAAGAGACCAGGCGAGATTACGCTTCTTGATGAAGGGATTGGGGATAAGCACAGGGGGGCTGAGAGGGCGTTTGCGGGATGAGGCCATGAAGTTGAGATTGTGGTTCGTTGTGGTGAGTGTACACAAGTATTAGGTGGTAGTATATAGAAATGAAGGGAGAAGAAAGCACAGCTCGAAGCCTTTATTCACTACTATGACGGATGTCAGATTAATACAAGCTGATACGTAGACATGCCGCAATACTTGCCCAGCTAACGGACTTGATGCCAAGTTTCAAACATCCTCTCGGTCAAAAGTGCACTTGATAATCACTAGCAGCTAGAATGAGCCTGCTTAACGAACAATCGCCATTGGCTTCATCATTCACATTTCTGATAACTCAGTACAGGTTATGTTGCAGCAACGGACTAGGTAAATGCTCCGAACTTACTCCGTAGTGTCGTCCAAATACACGTGCGTATTTGCACATGCTGGTACCAGGCTTGGTAGGAAATAACACCCAGTGGCACTTCCCGCTAGCCAATCATGATGCGTTCGCCGTGGTAATCGTCATATCCGGCTCGGCTCTACCGCAGAGCCAGTAACAAGTCGTGAATAAAAATGAGCCGCGGGGTGGTGCATACTAATGCTACGCAGCAGGTGCCTAGTGTTATAATGATTATCTGCATAGCCATGGATATATGCGCGAGACTCGGCTCATGCAGTCCGAAATGGACCGCGGCTATGAAAATCTGCCACGCTGATGCCCATGGATAGAGCATGGAGATACCTATGCTGCAGTATGATATACTACTCGTAGATATTCGCGAGCATTGGCGTCAAACAACAGCCTGCAACAATGCTCCATCGCAGCTGTATGTATATGCCTAGCAGTACTCGTATACTGCGCATGCAGCTAAGCCAATGGGCGCTGCGCCATCGTTTCAGCGCTCGCCTTCAGCGCCGCATCCGCTACCAGCCTCCGCCATTGCCAGGCCGAGCAGTGCTAGCGTCTCGGCCCCGTCGTCATGGCAAAGAGCCAGTACCGAGGCAAACAGAAACTTGGAAGCCACGGCGCCCCGCTTTTCCCGTCCCCCAGAACCGCCTTCAGCAGGTCAGCCGCAGCTCCGCCCCAGTGGGAAGCGCAAGGGAGATACCTTTTCGGTACCCCCTGCATTGCGTCCGCAGGGATGAGCTCGTATGTACTTGAGCAGTACCCGGTGCGAAACCACGCGAGCCCCGGGATTTGCCCAGGCTCGATTTAATTACCAAGCCGCCGGGGCTTGTGATTGCCCCAGCCATTTGATGAAGGCTCATCTCCCCTCCTCCCGTCAACACTGGAGCTTATCGCAACTCTTTGCTCTCTCCCAAATTCCAGATTCGAATTGCATCCTGCCAGGCCCGACGCGTTACTCGCACAATAATAACAGCAGACTAAGCCTTACGCGCCGATTCTGCTCGTCTTGCTTGTGCCGTCGCTTATCGCCACAACCTGGGGCCTGCCTCAGCCCCAGCTGGGAAAAAAAAAACGAAATTGCTGGCAGCACACCAAACCAAGCCAGCCTCCACACCCCAAGACTCAAAGAGGCGACCCTAAAAGGATTGCACGCGCTCCGTGGCCATAGCACTGTTGTGATACCCCGGCTGTTTTTCTTGCTGCTCATTTCTTAACCCTTTCCACAATGGCCTCGCCACCTAAGCCTTGGGAACGAGCTGGAACCTCAGTACCTTCACGTAAGTCCCAACACATAACCGCCCAAAGCTCTTGTGCCCAGAGCGCGCCTCGCTCGTGACCTTCACATGCTGACTAGCCTTTTGCCCTCTCTTTAGTCACTATCCCTCCTTCATCAGCCTCATCATCAGCGCCTCTGTCGCCGGCATCATCTGTTGCATCTATGGACGCACCACCGATACCAGAGCGCCCGGCGTCGTTTGCTGCGGCCATGACCCCGAGCGCTGCCACTCCTACCCCCGGTGTTATGGGCGGTATGGCTGCCTCTCCCTACGGCGCCTACAACAGCGCATACTCATCTCCCTACTCAAGTCCCTACTCGCGCCTTGGAGGTGGCTATGGAGGATATGGCGGCATGTATGGCGGATACGGAATGGGCATGGGAGGCATGTACGGCGGCGGCATGTATGGCGGCGGTGCCATGGGCGATCCCAACAGCCTGGCCGGCCGCTTCAGCAACGGCACAGCGGCGACCTTCCAGATGCTTGAGGGCGTTGTCACCGCCTTTGGGGGATTTGCACAGATGCTCGAGAGCACCTACATGGCCACGCACTCTAGCTTCTTTGGTAAGTTGATAATACTTCCGGCTTGCTCTCACGATTAGAGCTATATGCTAACGCATCGGCAGCTATGATTTCTGTCGCCGAGCAGTTCGGCAACCTGCGCGATACCCTAGGATCTCTGCTCGGAATCTTCACCCTCATCCGCTGGATCCGTACTCTACTGGCCAAGCTCACTGGCCGTCCCCTCCCGGCTGATGCCGCAGCCCTCAACGCTTCAGATTTCGCTCGATTTGAAGGTCGATCCGGCGCTGCTGGATCTCAGCCCCCCAAGGCCAGCCGAAAGCCTCTTATTTTCTTCCTCCTCGCCGCTTTCGGTATTCCTTACCTCATGTCCAAGGTCATTAAGAACATTGCCGCTTCCGCCGAGGAAGAAGAGAAGCGTCTTCAGCAGCAGGCCCTCGAGGCCCAGAAGCCTGTCGATCCCGCCAAGCTGGAGTTCTGCCGTCTCCGATTCGACTTTGCCCCCCAGCAGCCCAACGGTATGGAGCTTGAGGGACGCAAGGGAGATCTCGTCGCCGTCTTGAGCAAAAACGACCCTGCTGGTCAGCCCAGTGAGTGGTGGCACTGCCGCAGCCGTGACGGCCGCCAGGGATACCTCCCTTCAACTTACCTCGAGGTTCTGAAGAGATCTGCTGAGCCCAAGAAGCTCAAGGCTGCTCCCGACAGCAGAACCAACTCATTGACTAGCTCATCAACAAGCGAGGAGGGCAAGAAGGAGTATGCCACCGCTGATGGCATGCAGAGGAGTCACTTCTATTCTTAAACGGAGAAAGCTTTATACACATGTCTGTAATGATTGGAATTGGGTCGTCAAGGCTGCGCGATTAGATGCTCTGGTATAGCATGCTCTCTATTTTTACCACTGGCGTACTCTTTATTTTTCCTTTGTTCTTTCTAACTATCTAAGTCGCTTTGGAGTTCTATTTTCGGGGTATTTGCATGCTTGCTATCGCATAGCCCTTTTGTGTTAAGACGCTTTCATGGAGATGTGGATGAAGACCACCTCTATTTCCTGTATAAAAGCCGGGAGGTGTTTATTATTTTGTATTATTTACATACACCTTTTCTTAAATTCATTTTATGATGATTGGACACATTAGCAATTAATTAACTCGTGTTTGTGATCTTATTTGCTCAACTTTCTTAGCCGGCTCTACTTATACGTGATATACCGTAACAAGAAAAAAAAAAATTAGCTTAGTAATTTGACACAGGCGGTTGTTGCTCTTCAGTCCCGCATTGCTTGATAAATCAGTCTCATATACGATCAAGTTCCTCTCTATATGCTATTGACCTCCAGCATATTTAGCCCTCAGCTTCATAAGAGTTGGACTTATGCTTGGGTTGGAACTGGAAGCCTGGGTGAACAGGTCCAAGGAACATCTCACTGTCAAGAACATGTTAGCATATGATCTCATTGCTTTAAAAAAGGCTTTATGAAAACTGGGGAGAGGGAAATGAGATGGTGAAAGCAACAAAATTCCAGCCTACGTACCTGATCTTGATCCAGTCCCTGTAATTGTCTGATGCCATCAGTGTCTCCATCTCATCTCTGCCCTTATACGCCGGTGGTCTGTCGTTCAATCGCGGAGGCAGGTGCTCCAGCAGACCGATCGGCACATAGCGGTGCGCGAAGCTGAGGTACTCGAGGAGGAAACGTCTGGTGAAACCGATGCCCAGTTCGTCCGAGCCCCAGGCCTCGAGACCATATTTGACAAACTTCTCGATGTAGCCGAGACGCTCAGTGGATGATTTGTCAAGGTATTGGCCCTTTTCGATTTCCTCAAAGATCCAAGGCTTGATGAGGGCACCACGGCCAATCATGACGGTGTCGACGCGGGCCTTCTCGATATGCTCGTAGTAGTCAACGTGGGAGTAGCAGTCGCCGTTGCCGAGGAAGTACATGCGGCCGTCTTTGGCATTGGGCAGGGTGCTCTCATCGGGCTCGGCAATAGTGTCGGTGATCTTGGCCTTTTCATCGTTATAGGTCTTGATTAGAGCTGCGCATTCTCCGATGTAGCACCAGTCTGCCGTCTTGGTATAGCGCTGCTCACGGCTGCGGCCGTGAAGAGTAAGCGCCGCACAGCCAGGAGCACCAAGCCGTTCGCGGTGCTCGCGAGCTCCAAAGGCCAGCTTGCCAATGACCTGAGTCGCTGTCGGGCGGTCCTTTCGAACACCAGTCCTGATCTTGGCGGTGATGGGAATCTCGCCAGACACGGCATTCATACCTCTGATCATGCGCTCCATTTTACCACTTGCCTCAAGGAGCGCAGATCCGGCGCCTGACTTGAATACCTTGTCGATGGGGCAGCCGCAGTTGAGGTCGATGAGTCGAAGGTGAGGGCAGAAACGGTTGAGGACATCAGCAGCCTTGGTGACAACCCAGTGAGCACTGCCCGAGATTTGGGCGCCAAATTTCAGATCGCGTGAGTGGTTGTAGTCGTCAAACAGCGGGATAGCTCCGGGATTCATCTTGGGAGGTGTAATCTCAGACTTATGCGCGCGCAGCAGCGTCCAGTCGGGCTTAGAACCTTGGAGCAGGGGCATTCCCAAGGCCATTTCTGAGTAGGTAGCCTGACAACCGAGCTCTACACACAGTCGCCGGAATGGAAGGTTTCCCTGAGTGGTCAAAGGGGCGAGAGTCGGAGTCTCAGCGCCAAAGTAAAGGCGGCGCTTCTCAGAGGGCTTGAATGGTGGGTCAACAAACCGAGCCCGAAGGTCTTCAATCCCCATTTCTGGCTGGTCTTTGCGGCGATGATGGAAGTCTTGGCTGATGTTAGATTCGTGGTTTAACCATGTAATGTACTGGTCCGTCTTGGTGAAGTCGATTCGTTTGCGGTTCAGCTGAATCTTTTGGCCCATAGTGACCACATTGTAGATTCCAGGTCGCAACTCGTCTTCGCCCTTCTCTCGGCCATAAGGAGCCGCCTCTTTATCCTGCGATGATTCTTTGGAAGGAGATTCGTCCGCTTTGGGTTCGTCACTGGACTCCTTCTTGGATTCCTCTTTGGGTGGTCGGTTATCCTTCAAAACCAGCTCCTTCCTGCCATCTTCGTGCTCGATTTCTTCCATATGGCTCTTGACAAATCGGCATTTCCAGCCTGAAGCGCAAAAGCCATGTGCCTCAAAGGCAGGGCACTTTCCACCAAGGGCGTCCACATCCTCGCGTCGACCCTCGTTGAGATACTTGCGTAGATCGTGGCACATTTTGCACTTTTCACCATATGGACATTCTTTTGGCGAGAACTCTCGGGCATAAGCCCTGCTATTGCAGAGGGGAATGGCATCATCGAATCTTCCGAATGAACGATCGATGTTTTGACCCTTGGCCTTCTTCTTTCCCTTCTTTCCCTGGGATCTGGAGTCTTCCCCGTCTCTACGGGGCTGGTCTCGGGGATCTGAACCTCGACCTTCAGCGGCATCATCATCCACTGCAGTAGATCGTTCATCTTGCTTCCCAGACATATCAATGAGATACCTAGGATGCATAAGCTGGGAACATTTATGAGTTATCAAACAGGGGCAACTTACTCCTTCTTAATCGGAGCTAGGCCCTTGACACGGTCAGTAGACTCGCCATTCTCTTCTGATCGTTTCGGGGTCTCAGAGGCAGGTTGGCTTTGGTTGTTATCTGAAGTATCTACATGATTGCCATTTTGAATGGCATCAGACGCGGTTTGGCCATTCTCTCCCTGAGCAGGCGCTGCTTCGTCAATCTTAATTCGCTTGGCGGCTCGCTCTTCAGGATGCGGTTCAACATCCGGGTGATTTCCGGTCATGGGGATATCGGATTCTGTAGTCATATTGTATCAATGGTGTCGATATATACTTGGGTCGAGACAATAGCCGCTTGATATGCCCAGATTCCCAAGATGAAATATGCGGTTGAGAAAAAGAAGCCTATGCCAGATATGTACTAAGCAGAATCCCTAAAGTCCCTGCTAAATGTAGTGAACAAAAGAGATTGGAAGTCTCTTTCGTTGCGGATAATAGACAGAAAATGCAGGCTGAATTCCAATTGGCCCAGCCTTGGAGGTCGATGCTTGAATGAAGATGGGAAAAAAAATTGCTGTGGAGTTGGAAAATTCTACTGGATAGTGAAGTAGCGCCTGTGAGAAATTTCAGAGGTGGCCAAGTCACTGACTTAAGCCACTTGCCTACTATACAAACATAGGTAGGAATTCACTGTATGCCCACTGCACGCTGACATGAATGTCACTTTTTGCTCGGCGTCCCGTCATAGAATAATTAGGACTAATGAGAAGTTTAAATTAGAATACAGATAAACTGATTCCAAGAGAACGGTCCCGAGCGATAAACGATTGCTTTGACGCAAAAGGGATAGAGGCATTTCTCATTTCAATATGAAGAATCGCAGTGGCTTAAGGCTTGAGCATCCCCCGCAATAGAGGCTCCAGAGGGCCAATTCTCCAGCTCTCAGACCGCTATAGCATCAACATTGAGGCCCGGCTCAGCGCTCAATAGCCCATGCTACCCCACTACCCAAACCCCTCCTCCTCCTAGTCGCCTTCAACCTCTCTCCCCCTTCAAAGGAGTTAAGCTCCTCCCGCACGCGTCCCCGAGACCTCGCTCCTCGCGAATCGACGCTGCCGAAACTCGGCAATGAGGAGCAGCTGGCGAGACCATGGAAGATCTGGGCCAGCCGTTCGCTAGTGCGACCCGATCTCCTCACAAGACATCAACGTACGGCTCTAGACAGGGCGTGTCATCCCAAAGGACCGTTGTCGATCCGTCCGCCAACCGACGGCATCTGATGCTGGACGATGAGGGCGACGACGAAGATCAGGATGACGAAGAGGGTTACTACGGGAAGGACGTGAGACAAGGGAACGAGGAAGATGAACAGCGATATTCCGCGGCGGAGGATGATGAGGAGGAGGAGCAATCAGTCACTCCAGTCCCCAGGAGCCACACGCCTGGCCGACTTGCTGGAGCCAGGAGCAATGTCCCGAGCGATCAGCCGCGCAGCAACAAAGCAACCGCTGAATTGGCCATTCGCCAACGAGCAATCTCGGCCTCGCACCCGCACCCGCCAGCGACTCGCCCGACGGGCCAAAGAAAGTCGACCGCAGACAGTCTTCCCGACGTCCCTCCCCTTCCTCGCGATGGCGAAGTAGAACAAAAGACGGCAGCGGCTGCAGCAGCCGCAGCAGCTGCTGTAGCCGCATCATCAAGAGCAACATCTGCCGTGTCAGCTCGCCAAACAAGCTCCATCATGGCTCGTCCATCGGCCGGCAAACATACCACGTTCCCCCCGTTGCCGAGACCCGGTGATGGGCCAGAGGTCCCTCCAGCCCCGGCATCCGGCATGTACTGGTCGAAGGCACCAATATCCGGAGCTGCACACTCGAATCTCCGAGCTCATACGACGACGCTGATCGGCTCCAATGTATACGTTTTCGGCGGCTGCGATGCAAAGACATGCTTCAACTCTATGTACGTCCTTGATGCGGACTCGTTCTACTGGTCTGTGCCACACATGGTTGGGGATATTCCTATGCCTCTCCGAGCTATGACATGCACAGCAGTTGGGAAGAAGCTCGTCGTATTTGGAGGTGGTGACGGCCCGACATACTTCAACGATGTCTACGTCCTCGATACGGTCAATTTCCGCTGGACCAAGCCTCGTATCATGGGAGACAAGGTGCCTTCGAAACGTCGCGCCCATACGGCATGCCTATACAAGAACGGCATCTACGTCTTTGGTGGAGGTGATGGCGTGCGTGCCCTGAACGACATCTGGCGGCTCGATGTCAGTGACATGAACAAGATGTCGTGGAGACTGATATCCGGTGCCGAGAAGACAGCTCCGGGAACACGGGAGCGTCGGCCGAAAGCTCGCGGCTACCACACAGCCAACATGGTCGGCAGTAAGCTCATCATATTTGGTGGATCGGACGGTGGCGAATGTTTTGACGACGTGTGGATCTACGATGTGGAGAGGCACATCTGGAAGCTCGTCAACATCCCCATCAGCTATCGTCGGCTCTCACACACTGCCACCATTGTGGGCTCATACCTCTTTGTCATCGGAGGCCACGATGGCCACGAGTACTGCGCCGATGTGCTGCTCCTCAATTTAGTTACAATGACGTGGGACAGGCGGAAGACGTACGGCCTGCCACCTAGCGGACGAGGATACCACGGCACGGTCCTGTACGATAGTAGGTTACTTGTGGTTGGCGGGTTTGACGGCAGCGATGTATTTGGCGATGTTATGATTCTGGAGTTGGCGGTTCATGCGTATTACTCGCAAATTAGTCATTTCACGATTGATGTATGATGACGGGAAGCTTTACACGATTATGAAGGAAGAGGAGGGAAGAAACGTTGGATATTTCTTTTGTTAATCTTGCATTTTCCGATTTATTTGACCCTATGTGTGCATAGAAGAAGCTGATTAATTCGGTTTGGTTTTCCCTTTTTCTTAATGTACAGAAGCAAGCAGCATAGCCTTTCCCATGTATGTATGTAGCTTGCCAAGAAGATAAGATATAGAGTAAGCTTTCTTATTTCATGATACCACAAGTCTTTTAAAAAGAAAAAAAAAAAGAGGAGCAAATTAGATCATAACGTGAGTCCATTAAACAATTTTGATTTTATTGTACAATATAGGGAACTAATAACCATGTATGTGTAAAGCAGACTGTTTTGTTTGAACCACCCAAAATGTAAGAACGAATCAAACACGCCCTATTATGCAAATGCTGATAATAATAACAGTGAAGAAAAAATATGAAGCCGATTCCGTTGTTTCCTCGTCACCCATAACTTGGCCTATTTAGCCACCTCTTCAATGTACAAGTGTTTTTTCGTGTTCTCTATAACCGTGACGGGTAAAACCAGCCTAAAAATAAGAAAAAATAGAACACATTAACCTCCCCCTTGATATTCATGGAGTAATTTTCTTTGATATAAATTTTTTTTCGGAGTTTAGTTTCATTTGCTGTATTAGACATATGTGAGTGTCTGATGCAAGTGTATGAAACAGCGTCTATGTGATTGGTTTCATGCCAAGAAGGGGTATTTCAAGATGGGAGGGGCCGGTTTGTTGTAACCGGATGTGACGGATAGATGTTGCATGCCATGGCCACTAGTGCAGAGCGCCTCAACGGGCGCGTGCTGCTAATAGCCGCCATGGGACGGGAGAATTGAAGTGCATTCAGCAGCTTACTGGGCTTGCTCCTGGGCCTGGGCAGCCTTGCGGGCGGCTATTCTCTTCTCCTCAGCCTCAACCATGTCTGGTAACGAGTTTGTTAGCTAGCTGTTTATAGAGTGTTGGGTAGGGATTCAAACTTACCCATCCACAGATCTTGTCCCTCGTACTCCTCCTTGTGGATTCTCTTCTCAATGAGCTTCTTGTGCTCAGGGTCGTTGGGGTCCAAGACCATGACGGTCTCCCAGCGGCCCTTGCCGCTCTTGGCATCGTTCATCTCGAAGGCGGCGGAGACGATCAGCACGGCGAGAGTCAGGCCCTGGGCGTAGACACGAGCCTGAACGATCTTCTGGGGAGTGCTCATGGGCGCGCGGCTGACGAGGGCAAAGGCAACGGCCAAACTGGCGAGCCACGACGCGCAGACAATGCTGTAGCGGTGCTCGCGGCCATAGTTCATGAAGCGCTCGTATGTGGTCTCGTTCTCGCGGATGATTTCCTGGGCACGCTGGGAGTTGTCTCGGTACAGGCGTCGGGGGTCCTGCTCCTTCTGGTGCTTGATACCTTGGCGATCAGCCTGCACGATGGCACCAAAGGTACCGGTGGATGTGACAAGGAAAGTTCGGAATGGGAGGGTCAGGCCACGGAAAGAAGGGTATTTCCTTGAGGCGTAGATGACACCAGTGGCACCGATAGCGAGACCCAACGAACCACCGATCAATCCGCCCTTGACAACGGCGTTGTAGTGGGCGGCTTCTTCTTCCTTGGTAAGGACCTTCATGGTGACTGTTGGAGTTGTTTGTCTGAGACTATGTGGTTGTTGTGACAGGTGACAACTGAGCTAACTCGGCAGAAAGTGGCTCAGTTTTGGTGATTATATATGTATCTCGAGCCCAGAACCTTCGCGAAGCGGGGGGATTGGGCGGGCAGGAATGATTCCCGTTGAGTAAAGGGGGTTCGCGTATAGGCTATTCGAAGAAAAAGCAGCTACCTAATTGGATGAGAAGGCCGGCTCAGGCGGTAACTTTTGCGTAGTCGGGCGAGATTGATAACCCCAGGAGAGCTGCTCTGATGAAGAGGGGTGGTGGTGTCAGAAAAGCTCGGGTGGATCCAAATGTAGCAAGTAGCAGCGAGCTGATTCTAGCTTTGTTGGATGATTTGATGACTGCAGCGGTTGGTCGTGTGATTAAGTGCAAGTCTTTGTGGTTGAGTATAGATGGGATGGCTGAATGAATCTGCTTGAGATTGCTTGAAGTGCTGGATGTTTTGGCTGTGATGATGCTGAAGGCAATGAAGACAAAAGCCCGATATGATGGAAGCGAGCGCCCTGTAAATATAGTGCTGGGCGTGGACGAAGCGGCATGATGTCAGCCAACCAGAAAAAAAAATCTTGCCTCTTTCCCTTCCGAGCCGCCCCGCCACAAACCCGAGAATTCCCCACCGAGAAATTCCCGTGCGCGACACACCGGGCCTCCGCAGGGCGATCGAGGAGAGGGTTTACGCGTTTTCGACCAAATAGGAAGAGCTGGAGGATCGAGAACTGGAATATCACTTACGCACTATTTCCAAATACCCTTGTTTGAATTGCAAGTATGGCAATTGAGTGCTCGCATGTAGGCAAAGAAAGCAGAGCGACACTGTAGAGATGGAATTTTTTTCACTCGCTCCCTACATCATCCGATTGCTCGTTGCGCGCCGCAGCGGCGACCGCCGACTTATGTGACGACAAACGATGCGCGGCATAATAGAAGGGAGAAAACACTCAAGCCACAGCGCTCATCGCGGCGGCTGCGGCATGTGCGGCGCCGCTCGGAGGCGAGGCCGCCTGATGCTCTGCGGCTTAGCAGCCTGCGGCGGTTTCGCCCGTTGAAACAACCGCTCGCCTCATAGGCTGACTAACCGGCGCAATCATGCCAGCTTACACACACCCCCTGCAGCCTTGCCAGCCGCGTGCCACGCCGGCAGCCGAGACGGGCATGGCGCCGACCGCGAGATCATACGAGCTGAGAGTTTTACTGTCTCGCCCAAGTTCGTTTGACGTCAATGGACCCTTGTGTCTTCTAGAATTCCGGGCGGTTCCGCCGCAGCCAGATCGTACGACGATGAGTGATTGCATCTCCGCGCTCCATATCCGGATCTGGTGTCGGCATAACTAGCTGAAGTAGCCGGCAGGGCTGTTATACCTAGATCGGTAGGACCAGTGATGATAGTAGTATGGAATCGTAGTACTAGTAGCAGCGGCATCAACGTCATTCCCACTAAGCAGCAAGCCTCAATCAGCAGCATCAACCAGCCAGAGTGAGACATCACAGACCACGTATTGAATAGACATACTCGATAGTACTTTGGCTACTTTGCAAAAGGAAATCATATTCTAACGAGGACACAAGCACTCTTGCAGAGAATACGTCTATACGCGCCGGCCAAATTGCTACCCTGGAAGCGACCCCAGATTTGAGTTGCAATCGAGCAGCTATCAAATGCACCATTCCGACATATCTTTGCCACTCCCCCGGACCCAGAGCCGCAATGCATGATCCTACCGATCGGTGCCGCTTGCCGCCCCTCTTCCGCCAGCCGCATCACGGTGGTGTGCTGGAGAACACTCGGGTCGTCGACCCCCCTTATCTTGCAACCCCCTGTTCTTCGCACCCCTGAGACGGTTTGATTGATTGGATGTCTAATTGATACCAGTTTATTGCCAAATACCACGGTGAATTATATGATGTAGATGTACCACAAAGATTACGCCATGCTCGGGTCTTTATCGCTGAGATCCCTCTGGGGTTACGAGATTAATGTAGGCGACTCGGACCGGACACTCGTGTCCAACTACTGTTAGGCTGTGCAGATCTAATGCTATACTTTGTAATTAGCTATATCAATGTACCAGGTACTCTATAGTCCCATATTTAAGCCATGTGCGACTCTTGTTGGGTCATTTAAGCTCGTGGATCTCAGTATTGGAGCTTGCACTCGCAGTACACTAGTCCATCTTGTGATCCCGGCGGCATTAGATCTTTTATTCTACTCATAATAGTAATTCGAAGAGCCATAATTGGCCATTTATTACGTTTTTGTTCCTATTACATCTCAACAAAACGTACTCGGGGCTGTTGGTAGGCGGCAGACATACACAAACCCACATACGAATAACATATCTAGTGATAGCAGAACGCGAAAAATTCCACCTGCGCCGAGATATATTGTTCCACCTGCTTGACATCTGACCATGTGCCGAGTGGCTGGTGCAGCATTTGCCCTATGCAAGAGCTTGTACAAATCAGCCCTAGGTATGCAGCGAACCGACAAGAGCCGATAGTCAGCCTTATGGTGTGGCGTTCGACAGACCTTCAGAGACCAGCATCAATGGCCAAGTACCGGGAAGGTTTTTGAACTTAGGTCATATCACTCAAAATTTACCTCAAATAAAACATATGCCCGTACAACTAACAGCTCCTGACTTTTACAGCCGAGCGATATCACGCAGTGTACGCACGCGCTTAGACATTCAACAACACACTAATTTCTCTCCAAGATGAAAAGAATATTCACATAGGAGATTACGTCGCTGCTATCACTGACAAATTACGGTACTTCGCATCGAATAGGTTCATACTTTTCTTCTTCTATTGAAGAACATGCCAAGGCTCCTTGGCCACTCTCGTGGCATGGAGACGACCAACATCACAGACGGCAGATATAAGCCAATGCGCAACACTAAACACTAAATCCCACAGCTAGCGGTGCACTCGAGCCTCATGTTCTAAAAATGGGACGATTTAATGCAATAGCTCAAAGCACGGCTACGGTATGATATATGGGGACGATATGGAGTAAAAAACAAAAAAGAGATTAGAAGCGTTGAGCTTCCCTTTCTTACTGCTCGGTGGCAAAGTGCGGCTGGTTCATCCGGCTTAGGACTCCAATATTTCCAAACGCCTCATGCAAAACATCTGTCAAAAAGGAGAAGCTGCGTAACATCTCCTTCCACGGCAGTGGCACTCGGCTACGAGGCCAAAAAAAAAAAAAAAAAAGAAAGAAAGAAAGGGCCACACGTTGAATCTGGCCTGGACGCGAGGTGCCGAAGTGGAGTCCCTTTTTTGGTCGGCGATGGTTGAGGCGAGGTGATCGACAGCGCCAAATGTGGGAACAGAGCTGCGTCTCGAGATGCATCCAGGGTCCAGTCCGTCCCATGAAAGCTTTACAGCACAACCGCTAGCGCTTGCCAAAGCGGGCAAAAAAGTATGTAAAATAAAAGAAGAAAAGCGGACTGCTCTCCAAGGGATGCTGAGGCACTCACTCTGATGGATTCGTGGCTCTTCTTGGCCCCCTTGTTCCTTGTTTCTAGCAACGCCATGGAAGGGCTCCATTTGTTCCATGAGATGCCGAAGTCTACCGCGCGCA